GACAAAACCATAGATGTGGCAAGGGCAAAGCCTGAGCCAACAATGTTGAAGTCAAGGGTGCTGAGACTGTAGAATCAGCCTACATTGAAGAGATCCCTGACTATCAACAATATGAGTATGCTGCTGATGAATTTGATATCACTGCTATCAAAATACCTCATGAACAAACTCCAGAACTTTCTCCCAAGCAACCTGCTCCAGTTGAGAATGTTTACTCTAATGACCTCAATACTTATATTGGCTCTCATGTCATTGGTAAAACAATGGCATATGATCCAGACCTCACCTGGCAAGATATAACAACTGCTATGGAATTGGTTGAGCTTACTCCCAATCTCCTGGTTGATGCCTCCACAGGCCAACTAGCTTCTTGGTATCTTGAAGAAATTCAGAACCATCAGCCAGATCTAGTTGAGTCAGTCAAGATTTGTATAAATATCCCTCATTCTAATTCACCTTGCACCTGTTCTATATGTTGCCAAGCAGCCCTCACTTTACACCAAGTGGTCTCACCCCTATGGGAACCCTGGGAATGGGAGACTCTGATCTCTCATTCAAGGCAGATTCCCCTTCCCACTATTGGGGAGGACAGGATATGTCCTTGTAGTCCCAGCTTGCCCTCAAATCAAGTGGCAGATCCTGTTTTGGCTCATGAGGACATGGTGGCGATTAGGGATGTTGAGGGAAATGGCAGGTCGTCTCTGAAGGCAGATGGGTATTTTAGTAACCCTGCTGGAGATGTTTGAGGACATGATCATTGCAACTGAAGATCTGTCTGAGTATTAAAGAAAAACTGCCCTATGTCATTAAAGACATTTTATGAATCTGTGCCTACACCTGTGCCATGTAAACCTTTCTGTATTAAACATAATCCAGACATTGAGTATGACCCTAACAAATCAACTGTGGGATATTTCCCTGGTGAATTCAATAGGAATGCATACAATGCTTATGACTGCTGCCCCTTGGGTGTGCATGCATCTTTTAAGAACCTACCAAAGGGTGAGTTGATATGGATGTTAGACTCTGGTGCTTCACATCATGTGACACCATTTAAAACTGATTTCCTTACTTTTCAAGAGTTTAAAACTCCTTCCCTTGCATCTACTGCTGGGTTAAGTAGAGTTCAACTCTTAGGTGAAGGAACAGTGGTTATTTGCCTTGAAAATGGGCAGAATTTATCATTCCATAATGTTGTTTACAGTCCTTTGTTCTCAAAGAGACTATGTTCAAGAAATGTGCTGTTGAAAAATGGGTATCACAGCCCTGTGACATTAACAAACAAGGTGATCCAAGCACCAGATGGCTGGATTGTCCTTGAGGCACACTTAGCCTCTCCGACTTCACCATTACATTGGTTTGTGGGCATACCACTTCCACCTACCAACACATATGCAGTCCTTTGCCCTCTGGTTAGGACTTTGCCAGAGTTACTATGGCATAATCATCTTTTCCATCCTGCTCAAGCAATACTTTGTCACCTCTGATGATTGGGTCTTCCTGAAATACAAATACAGGGGGAGACTTCTTCCTGTAAAGGTTGCACTCAAGGCAAACTTTCTTCTGAAGCCTTTAAACCTTCTTGGAAACATGCAACTAAACCTCTGGAATTGGTTCATGCTGACTTAATGGAGTTACCAGTGGAATCCTATTTCCACTCCAAATATATTCAAACTCTTCTTGATGATTATTCATCATTCAGCTTCTGTCTCTACCTCTGGAATAAATCCAACACCTATACTGCTTTTGCCAATTGGATGGTGTCTGCTCAGAATCAGACTGGTCACCATCTTCTTGTGCTCCATTTGGATTGAGGGGGAGAATTTATGGGTTCTACCTTCAAAGTGCTCCTTTCTACGTGTGGTATTACTCATCAATTATCTATCACCAATCAACCACAGCAAAATGGTCATGCTGAAAGATTCAATCGAACCATTTCCAAGAAAGCTGGAACCATCCAGCATCATGCATGTATTCCAAAACACTTGTGGAACTTTGCCTTTGACTGTGCACTTCACATGTACAATAGAACTCCACTCAAGCAGATTCTATTTAAAACTCCTACAGAACTATTCTTAGGAAAAGTTCCTGATATATCATATTTTTGCACCTTTGGCTGCAAAGCCTTTGTATGGGTTCCAAAAGAACAACAAAAAGACAAACTGGAACCTCATGCTATCGAGATGGTTTTCCTAGGCTATGAGCCTAATACAAAAGGATATCATTTTCTAAATGGTCAGAAGATCATTTTATCTCATACAGCAAAATTCGTAGAAGACTCCTTTCCTTTCTGCTTGGATTCTAAAAAGATTGATACCTTTGACCCTGGTTCCAAAAGTGACTCATCATCCAAATCATCATCTGACTCTGAAAGCCTTTATTCACTTCCAGATCCTGATCAGATCCAACTGCTGCCTCATCACCAGCAACCACCTCATCCATCAATACCATCAAACCCACAGCAGGGAAAAGCTGTGGACCAGCCTAGAGCTTCCAGTTCAAATCAACTGATAAGAAGAGCACCTGCTGCTGCACCATCAGTCAACCCTCAAGTTCTTCATCATCCTCATACTCCTTATTCTATTCCTGGTGACTCCTGAAATGTTCAGAGAGCTCAGCCACAACAATCTGAAGACCAAGAACCATGTCCCAAGCATTGTTTTATCCCTGTTTCCTGTCCTGGAAACATTTACAGAGATAGACCTCCAGTTCAAATTGAACAGGATATTCAACAAAATCAGGATCAAGCTCAACAATGGATTCATAATGCTGAGCATAATATTAGAGAAAGAGAAGAAGCTAGGAGATGATATGATGAAGAGCATAGACCACCTTCTCTGGTCTTGCCACCAGCAATGGTACCTCCTCAAGTTCCTCATCAGTGGACTGAACATCCACAAGGAACTACTCCTCCTTTGCCCTTATCTCCTTTAACTCCACTTCCTGAATCTCCAAAAGGAATGCTGGATCAAGAAGCTGAGATGCATCCATTTGAATTTGCTCTCACTGCTTGCATTAAAGAGTCACCAGAACATTATAAAGATGTTCTAAAATTATCTCCCAATTTGCAAAAGAAGTGGTTTGACACTATGAAGGATGAATTAAAGTCTATAGAAGAAAGACAAGTCTGGACCTTGGTGGATCCTCCCAGAGATCAGAAATCAGTTAAGTGTCGATGGGTTTTTGCTATTAAAAGCGATGGTCACTACAAAGCTTGTCTTGTGGCAAAAGGCTTTACACAAGAATTCAGCACTGACTTTGAAGATACCTTCTCTCCAGTGGCTTGATTTGAAACTGTGCAAATTTTACTCACATTCACTGCCCAAAAGAACTTGGAAATGGAAGCCCTGGATGTCAAAACTGCCTTTTTATATGGCAACCTTGATGAAGAAATTTATATGGAGCAACCAGAAGGTTTCAAAGTTCTGGGTCAAGAGCACAAGGTCTATCGGCTGCTTCAAGCCCTTTATGGCTTAAAGCAAGCAGTGCTTGCATGGAATAAAGCCCTGCACACTTTACTTCTTTGCATGGGCTATACATTCTCAAAAGTGGATGCTGGCATTTACATCTATTCCTCAAAAGCTGGCATTGTCATTTTCCTCATCTATGTCAACAATGGATTATTTTTAGGATTGGACAAACATCTTCTGAAAGCCAAGAAAGAAGAATTCATGAAGAAATGGGAATCTCATGACCTTGGAGAAGTTAAAGAATATCTTGGGATTCAAATCCATTGAGATTGATCGAAGAAAGAAATTTACCTCAATCAAACTCCATATGTCAAAAAGGTCATCAAACAATTTGGAATGGAGACTGCTTGAAATGTTCACACTTCACTTCCTTTGGGATATCAACTGGAAAAAGCTCCTTCTGATTATCAAGCAACTTCCCAAATCTGCTCCCAGTACCAGTCAATTATAGGGTCTTTACTCTATATGGCACTTGGAACTCATCCAGACATAGCCTTTGCAGTCATTCACATGTCACAATACATGGCCAATCCCACTGAGGATCACCATAATAAAGCCTTGCACATAGTTCACTATGTTGCTTCTACTCCAAAACTTGTGCTTTATTATTCTGGACTCGAACCATGGATTTTTGGTTTTGCTGATTCTGATTGGGTGTCAAAGAAAGACACTCATCATTCGACAACTGGTTATGCTATGTTCCTCAGAACATCCCTCATCTCTTGGCAATCACATAAACAGAAGACTGTCACACTCTCCTCTACAGAAGCTGAGTATATGGCTCTCTGTGATGCCACATGTCAAATCAAATGGCTTCATATGCTATTTGATGAACTTAAACTCAAAACCGAAAAGACCATACTCTACTGTGACAACATGGGTGCTCGCTTCATTGCTGAGAATCCAGTCTCAGACAGATGCTCAAAACATATTGACATTCAATGGCATTACATACACGAATGTGTACAAGATGGTTTGTTCAGTATTGAATACATTCAAACTGACAAACAAAAAGCTGTTTTGAAGGATGCTGTAGGTATCCTCAGTAGTGCAACAAGCTACTGAGGGAACAGTGAATAAACTACTGTAAAATGTGCGCTCTAAGGTGATTATGTAAGCACCCAAACATCGCACCAAAGTGAGCAGAACACAGGGGAGAATATATCTCCAACAAGCTGATGGTCTTACAAAATCTTTGACATGGCAGAAATTTGAAATGAATTGCTTGTCAATGGAACTTGTTAATCCCCCATTTTAGAGTGAGGGGGAGTGTTGGAAATATGATAATATGTCTGACATCTAGGTTCATCTAGACATGTTTTGATACACATGTTCTATCATATGACTTGCCTTAGCAATCAGCTCCACAGTGATGTCAGAATGACATCACTTATTGCATCATATTCCATAGCATTCTCTGCTATTCCTTACTATATGTAGTAACTGTTTCCATTTACATTACTGGTCCATGTGTACAGAAACATGTATATAAACTCAGGGATATTCTCCCTTAGTCTACATTGAATTTTACATTTGTTCTATTGTTCTCTCAAGAACAAGAGCCCCAGCAAGCTTATCTTCAAAAACTACCATTTAACTCAAGTATAAGGCAAGTGCTCTTGTCTATTGCTCTTCATACCATAGCCTGTCCTCTGCGCAATAGCTTCTACTGTCATCTACATAAATACATGTTAACTTTAGTGTGAGCAGTAGATGAGATTATGTGGTGTCCATCGTGTGTCCCATGGTTAGTACATCGCGGGAGATAGTAAATATTGCATGATAACAGATAACAATAGCAAAATTAAGTTATGCACCCAATAAATACGTCAACAGCGATTGCTGTCGACTCTCCTCAAATACACGGCGTGAAAGACATGATTTCCTCGTACAGAAGCTCTGTTTGCACATGTCAGAAATGATGCTGAGTGTATGAATACTTGCAAACCTTTGAGCTCAGCTTTAGTGAGATCGTCCTTGTACTCTGCCAAAAGTGTCAAAAGACGGGCGAATGTGCTATGCGAAAGGTGCTCACGGTCAAAATAAAAGTAGTCGGGATCCAGTGACGCAACCACAGGTTCATCTTCTGGATCGTGCTTGACAACGGTCAGTACAAGCTGGCATGGTTTCTCGGAAAGTAAAAGGTGACTGACATAGGTAGCCAGGTATGGATGCTCAAGCGCTTCATCGACGGTCATCCTCTTCCTCTGATCAAATGTCTAAAACAGAGCAATTCAGGAAACGAGCCTGCTGACAGTTTGAAAGATAATACCAGTGTTTTCTGAAGGAAATCGATAGCATCCGGGGAAACTTTAGGAAACAGCGTTGTGAATGATTTCCGCTTCCGTATAGGTAGCGCCCGAATGTAATCTCTTGATCTTCTCGAAGTGATGGAATAAAATTCATCTAACGTTGGAGTGCCTAGACGAAATGCCATTGGATCACAAGACATAATCCCATGTTACATCCTTACCTATGACATCTAATATGAGGTCGAGTTGATGTCCGTAGTCCCGACCGGGAAAGAGAGGCTTTCCCGTCAGCAACTCTGCAAGGATGCAACCGACAGCCCACATATCAACAGCCTGTTGTCGTTAGCGGCAAGTTGAAGGGAATCGGTGGGACAAACTTACCTTAGTATACATCTTAAAGGACAACATAATTTCAGGAGCTCGATACCACCGAGTCGCTACGTATTCCGTCATGAGGCCCATCTCTTTTCCTCCAGGCACGGTTGATTTGACACTACGTGCCAAACCAAAATCACAGACTTTAAGATCGCAGTTTGCATTGAGTAGGAGGTTTGCTGGCTTGAGGTCACGGTGGGCGATGTCTGCACTGTGAATGGACTTCAGCGCCCGGAGAGTTTGATATATGAAATACTATGTGAACCGGGGTCAACGACAATAGCGGAAAATGCAAGTGGAACTGACTTGGCAATGATCATCTGACAAGGGTTGTGTGCGTATCACTCGATGTAAGTCCGTCTGCATGAGCTCTTGAATGACTGAAAAAATCGCGTAAGAGTGGATACACCGGTGTCAAACTGAGCTTACAATAAACCTCCTTAAAATCGTCAAACGAAGACGGCTTGACGATGTCCAAGATGGAGATGATCTGGGCTCATGAGTCAACAAGAATGGCATGACATACCAAAGGGGGACACTCACATTCTCATTCACGCAAGTTTCGGAAAAAAATTTGAGTAACTTGAGTTCCCGTAAGGTTCGCAAGCAGAAGAGGGCATGGTCGAAAGGGAGGATCTTCTTGATGGCCACATTGCGACCGCTAGGCTTGTGCAAAGCAGCGGTAACGGTGCCATATGCTCCTTCGCCAAGACTGTGGAGAATCTGGTAATCAGGACCTTGTGTATGATGGTAGTATAGTCAGTTCGATCAAGGAAAACTAGAGAGGCTTAAATTTACCGATATTGAACTTTGGCATTGGTTTCTGACTTTTAGATTTAGGTGCTGGTGCTGTGGCAGCCGTCATCTTAGGCAGAGCAAAGGGAGGAAAGTCAAGTGTAGTGCAAATTCGTGGACACACCTGATGCTATATAATATATCAGGAATGGTGTTCTGGTATAGACAACCAGAGGCTGGAATCTTTGATGTGATGATGGACGAGAAGGTAACGGGCAGTGCCTGGTGTCTGAGTAGCCCTCTGCATCGCCTGTCGATCCACGAGCTGAGCACATACGAACAGTACCGCTTCTTCCCGGAATGCCATGCGAACGTACCAGTGGCGATGCGGGCAGCAGGGGCAGTGACAGGGGCATATTAATGATTGTTGGGGACATTAGGTGTCAACAATTTGGTTTGATGGAAGTGTCCACTGCGAATGGTAAGCTCTGATTTGTGGTTGGACACCCCTGCAGACATGGTAATATGTAGGTCGCTGAGAAAGTTTCCTGTTGGGGTTCGAGGTTACTTGCATACGGTTAAGTATTTGATCGGATCAATCTGATGGGAAACTGGCCCACTCCATCACTGTAGTCAATATTTCGCCTGTATACTACTAGACACGTGGGACTGGGCTTCTTAGACACTGCTGTGCTCCAATGTGGGACTGTGATGTATGATACGTCAAGCCGGATCAAAGGTAACCCAGCCCTAATTATCATGCTATGAGGTGGCTCATCGCCCTCTGATCAGTCCCTCACCTCCCGCATTAAAAACCTGTGAGTGCAAATCTGTATTTATATAGATACTGCCGTGAGCAAAACTGTATAAACATATGTGCCAAGACGCGCTCCCGCCAAGTGCAACGTCCCATGCAGTGAGCCGGTGAATGCATGGACCCAATAGAATGGCTGTACATAGCCTGGGTATGGCGTCTTTGAGGCTACGGTGGAACGTGTCAGTCGTGCATTCTGCGCACTGCGAGGTTTTTCGAGATCAGTCAGGACCAGTGTTGCCGCCCTTGTACAAGACAAGAAAAAAACCTTGGAGGCTGAGTTGGACAACATGCGTACACCCGCCTTTACTCATCATCTCCAGCCTCTCGCGCCTTTTTCTCCTTCTTCAGGCGCTTTCGCTCTCTCTTGGCGTCGTCATCGTCCCGTCTGTCCTTCTTATCCTTCTTCCGTTTCTTGTGCTCGCTGGGTTCGGTACTGTCCACTCCTGCGGGTACATCAATGGTCATTGATTGATCAACTTCGGATTCTGCAGCTTCCGATTTCCGTTTCCTCTTCTTCTCCGGTTCAGCCTTGGTTGTTTCGGAAGCGGGGGCGAGCGCAGGAGTAATAACCGGGGCGACGGGAGCTGCAGTCCCCGCGGTAGCTACTGGGGGCTGAAGAACAGCGTTTCAACATTACTGCAAAATATTTTAATGTACTCACGTCTCTATTGTAATCCATATAGTCTCGACTCCACTCAGCTGGAGTGACACCTTCGATCTTCTCTCCATGTTTACCGAGTTTCCCATCCTTGACTAATTTTTTCTTTTGGAGGGCTACTGGACCGAGACCCCATCGCCGAGGATAGGTATCTCGTTCCATAATGCAACGTTTGACCTTGGCCACTACCCCGTGATCACATGTGGCAAGTTCAACCGTGGACATTTGGGCAATGGCAAGAGCAATTGCCTCTCCTGCGCAAGCCATCAATGCCTGACTAGCGGTGGGCACAGGCGACAGGTTTACCTTTTGTTGTCATCAGTACCACTTCCTCGCTAACGGCTATGTCGGCATCGTATCGCAGAAGTCCAGGAATCATAAGCTTAGCGCCATAGCACACGGCATTGACGGCACTATCTTTCACAACAATGCGTTTATAGCCCACCAATAAGCTTTCCAAAGGCCGGATGACACGTCGGAGATACGATTCTACAATCCAATCAGTCAATGTTACACTGTCTTCGCGATTGCTGACCTACCGTCCCGTGTGTTGTCATACATCCATTGCGCATCCAAAACGTCGTGCATTGTTACAATATCATCGTTCTCAGACATAGCACCACTCCGTACTCTTCGCAACTCCTGCATGTGGCCGCCGACTCCAAGTAAGAGGCCAAGGTGAACGCATAACGTACGAATATATGTGCCAGCTTCGCACGATACCCAAAAAATGGCGAGGTTACGCTTTTCGTCGAACTCTAGAAGCTTTGATTCGTAGACCGTACGGATACGGAGTTGTCGCTTCACGGCAGAAATAAGTGGCGGACGTTGAAACAATGCACCGCTCAGAGTCTGAAGGGCTCGCGGAAGAGCAGTAGGGCTCGGAAGACTGGAATGTAGTCGGAGGACGCAAACATATTCTTTCCCTAATGACACATCAGATATTTTTCAGTCAGGTAAAAGAAACAACAAACCAGCCCCTTGTTGCGACTTGACTAACCGAGTTGCTCGGTCAATGCAAACGATTAAACAGCCCGTGACCTTGGGATCGAGAGTACCACTATGTCCTGTTTTCTCCACTCGTAATATGCGCCTAATCCATGCAACCACCTCATGTGACGACGGATTGGATGGCTTGTCAAGATTGATCACGCCTGACCTACGGTGACGAACAATGAGTTTGTTGATTAACCAGCGTATGAGAAAAAGTCCGACTTCACATAGGAACTGATGTCACGTTTGAGTGGACTGCTTCCTGATGGGATTGGAGTGAAATGGCTTGAACGAACAAGCAAATTATCGTAGTTCTTGAGCAACAAGGGCCATTGGGAGGTGTCGAGTTTTGGTTGGTAGGATTCCGATTTTATTGCGTAGTCTCCTTGAAGCTGAGCAACAGCAACCTGTCTACTGGTGAGTGACGACATTTTTTGTGGACGACGACAAGGCGAACGCTTCGATCAGTCGACTACCACCGTGGGAATTTAGATGACATAATACACAGAGGGCGTGAGAATGCCACTGTACAGTTAATATCCCGTCGATCATCCCTCCCCCGACGGGCCTCTATTGTAGTTCCAAGTCACTTCTACCATTTTTCACCATGGTCAGTTCGGGCGATGCTTTGCTGAGTTACCTTCTCAGTAGGCTAATGCCTCTCGAATGTAGCCTAAAGCTGCGGCTGCCAAGACCCCCACAACCAAGAACAAATTCGTGATCGACTACTCGCGTCCTGCCGCTCAGGGCGTATTCGACGGTGCAGACTTTGAAAAATACCTTCATGATCGCATTAAGGTGGAAAACAAGGCCGGTCAGCTAGGAGACAAGGTTAAAATTGCTCGAGATTGTGAGAGCTTCATCCCATTCTTTTTAAGTTTGTTGACAGTGCTCCACAGCCAGCAACAAAATCACCATTAGCGCCAATATCCCTTTCTCAAAACGGTATCTTAAATACCTGACGAAAAAGTTCTTGAAGAAGAACGCTCTGCGGGACTGGCTACGGTATTTAGTCCGCTCTGTTGTGACGCTACCCATCAACCCTAATTGACTGATAGAGTGGTTGCGTCATCGAAGGACGTATATCAGCTCCGCTTTTATAATATTGCGTAAGTTCTTCTCTCCTTCGCTCGGACTATGCTTACTTTGGGTGATTACAGTCATGATGAAGAAGAGGAGTGAGACTGATGTTGCCTCGCCCGCATGTACTTAGCAATGATGCATATCCACTAAGAATACATACTCAGCCAGATACCTGGTCTGTGAAACACATTTCCTACTTAGGGTAGCTCTAGTCTACTCATTGATCCGACCAGATGCATGAAAGTTAGTGGATAAACTTGATATTCCCCCCGGTAGCATTTTGACACCCCTCTTTGGGTCCGCTGAGTGCAACCATGGCGAGTTCGTACCATCGAGATTGAAGCGCTGTTAACGGCTTCCCTTGAAATCTTCGTGCTAAGATGTTCTGCAACTGCCTGCGTAGAATTTTTATTGCGACGTTCGCCTTAGGTGTTATGCGATATCTAATTTTCCGGTCCACAATGGCAGAGTCGGATATGAGCTGTGCAATCACTTTTGAACTTCTGCGCGATTGCAAGGGTGGATACACTTACCTTAAATTCGCAATCCCCACATCCCAACAAGATGGCAAGATCATCCACAGGCGCAGTCTCCCGGGCATAGAACTTTTTCGAGTGCCTATGAAGTCACTGAGATGGCGTAATGCGCGGATGATCCGGCATCACTCACATCAAGGCGTAATGCACAATGTGATTGGCACTCAATTCCCTGGGTTGCTTCCGGAAATTCACCGACGAAGGGTGGAAGGAGTATGCTTGGTTGTTCGTTATGGTACACATTTGGCCCGTAGTGGCATCAGTCGAAAGAAGTTTTGGAAACAAGCCCGCTACGACCGCAGCATTGATTATCGAAAGACTATTGCTGTTGCTGTTCAAATCAGTTGGAATGGTCACGAAACGAGGTTTATATGAGTTATTACGGCCGAAACGAGCCCTTTATTTCAATTGAGCCATGAAGCATAAGCCGGGATGTTTATAAATCATACGCACCGATTAAGTTCCCTCATAACCCCAGGGTCTACGTCAATGAACGACGAGTCAACGAGGTAACTCAAAAAGAAAAGAGTGTTACACGCGGAAAGAGCGGTTCACGAGCATAACTGACCCAAATAACTGTTGGCGCAGCTCCTCGATTTGTAGGAGGTTTTCGTAGCTGAGGAAATTTTGTCGACAGTACTTGCGAGCGGATCCTGGATTGTGACAAGCCCTGCGCCAACTTGAAAACGCGTTGTAGATTGTGAGGAAGTCTGAGTTGTCTGGGTTTTCCAGTGACTTTAAGCCCGAAAGGAAATCTTCGAAGCAGAAAAAAACCATTACATAGTTGAAATGAGTCTTTCGCCCTATTGGCTTCATGTTCAAACCCCAAGGGTTTCACGAATAGTGATCGCGAGTTAAGGGCGGCCGCAATCGTTAACGCCGGGTCCAAACATCGGAAGACGACAGCTATCAGGAGGAATTTTCCAAGGTATACATCTGAAGGAAGGGCACTCAGCAAGCGACCCATCGGAGTAATGTCTTCCGTCATTGTGAGAGCTTTTGCCTTGGAATTATGAGTTTACAATCGTGCCAAGTTCGGGTTAGACCGGTACCTCCACCAATGCAGATATGGCCCTGCGAATGTTGGCTGGAGTGGGTGGGTCGAGAGCACCGCACAGAACACCCTCGATTGAATCGCCCAAGTTCACCTTTAGGGTCTTGATGCGCAGGGCAATGTCAGACAGACTTAGTCGCATAATCTCCGGTAACGGACGCTCAGCGAGCTGCGAAAGAAACGTTGACACGATACGTAGATATCGACGTTGCTTCAAGGCACCCTTACCAACGTGTCATGACGAAACCTCGTGAACAGGTGGAAACAAAGACCACGCTGTAGTCGACCAGCTCTACCTCTTCTTTGAGCAGCATTGCTTCTGGCGACGAAATTGTCGACCAGACGACTCAACTGACGCTTTTCATCAAACCTGTAGCATGTATGTCTGAGTGAAGAAATTCAAGAAAGTGGAGGTAACACAAACATCATTTCTCTATGCTTCCCACTGTCAATAACGCATGTTATGTCAGGAATTGTGATGCCCGTCTCCGCAATATTTGTCGCTGGGTGCGAGGTATTAGTACAATGGACAACTGGGTAAAGTCATTTACCGATGACAATCTTCCTAACTCCAGAGGGCAGCATGTCAAAAACCGCGTGCTGATCGTCCGTAGAGATTGTTGAGTGCAGAGGATATATACGGAACAACTCTTCGTTCCTAAATAATTCATGTTCTGAGAGGAGCTCGCTCATGCGGCGAATTTCAGCCAGGCCGGGCATAAATATCAACACTGCACTAGAGTAGGCGCTGATCGCCTCGTCCTTGAAACATAGATGTTCGAGAAGACGAACGATAAGTTCGTAGGGAATGAAGCGTTCGTCAATGAGCTTCATCGTGGTCAGCGTCCCGGCGGAATAGGACTTGTCGAGTTTGGTAGATGTTGCGGTACGCTCTTCGTTAACCACGGTTCTTTCGTCGTCGTCGTCATCTCCTGCGACCAATGTGGTACTCTCTTCCCAATCTACGCGAGTTCTGTTTTTGTGAGAGTTGCCAAACACTAAAGAAAGAGGTGTGTAACATTGTAGACTCGCTCGAGACAACTTACGCCGTTTTGCATAAGGTGAATCTTCCGCTATTGACCAACCCGTGCGTTCCACTGCGTCTTCCATGAAAAACACGTCCACAGGGAAGGTGCGACCCGGAACGTGCAGTACAGGGCAACCTCCGAAATAATCGGAGAACTTGTTAGTGTCTAGTGTTGCAGACATGAGTATGATCCTGTCGTTATGTTAATTCACGATGGGTAAGAAAATCAGTATTATAGTCACCTTAGGTGGGGCTTCGACTGTGCTAAAGATTTAAGCACCATAAGCAAGAAATCTGATTCGATGGTACGTTCATGAACCTCATCGATAATGATGTGCTGTTGTGTCTCGTTCACATTAAGAATTACAAGAAGACAGAACCTCGCACAGTGATCTCGCCAAAGGCGGTGCTGGGGGTGAGACCACTGGGCCCACCTTCCAGCATTCTTAAGGCGACACCTGTGGTCACATAAGCCAGTCTTGTGTTCCTCGTTGTGCGGTTCTCAAGGCGAATGGCATATCCTACCAGTGAACTTGGTGTGCCAACTATGCCAGGGGGATCACCTAATTCTCGCGAAACGCGTTGAGCAAGCGACACCGCTGATATACGACGGGGTTCCGTGCAATAAATTTTACACTGCTTCCCGCGCCCTAAATGATCCTCGAGTATAAATGCTGGGACTTGGGTGGACTTCCCACTGAGTAATGCTTTAACCTAGCGGTATAACCAACGGAATCCAATGGCTTACCAGCCAGTTTCACCGCACAGCACAAGAATCCGCGACCGCTCCAGAGTTGCGAGTATCTGCTTGCGGAACTTTGCAATGGGCAACAATTCACGATGAGCCTACGGAAATGTGAGCATTCTTTATGCTCGGCGATAAAGATTCCCTCACAAGCATTTCTTGGTAGGCAGGGCGCTTCTGGCGCGCTTCGAAATCTGCGATCAACTTATCTGGTTCTACTTCGAGATTTTGCCGGACAGGCGACCCGGATCTAGCACTCCTGTTGTCGGTGCCAACTTTTGGGCCGGTTTCGCTGGGCTGTGGGAGTCAAAAGAAATACAGAGTGATGTACCTTTTGCACTCACTAGGTCCCTTGGAACCTTTTTCTCCGCAACATTCTGCAGCTTAGTCCAAATGCTGCGATTGATACAATCATTCGTATTCTTCCAGGTAGCGTCCAACTCGTCCCAGAGATTTCTAAACGCAGGTGGGAAGAACCGATACGAAGTGAATCCTACCGGCCGTGCAGTTTGTGATCCAACGGCAAATCCTTCCGCCTTTGAGAATATCAAGGCATGCAGAGCAACTGTGGCAATGTACTGCTGCGCCTGAGACTCGTCGTGGCAGGCAACGTCTTCCATTGTCCACTCATCCACTCCCTTCCAGGGCCATAGCACGCGAACCCTAGCACGCTTGGCCCTACTCAACCCCGATATGATATTGAATTCTACCGTTGCAAAGCGATCAATTGTAGAAGCGTATTCCACGAGAGCTGAGTTCGGTAGCTTGGTTGACCCATGCTTGGAAAATGACATATCTTTGATACGGATCGTGTTGCCCTTCGTGTCTTGGGTCCCGGCTGGGATGGCTTCCAGGAGTTCTAGTAGGCCCCCAGACGATTCGTCGCCTTCATCGAAGAAGTCTGGCTCGGAGTTGGGTTCGGGCGCTTTGGTGGGCGTGCCAGGGGACAGGGCTCTCCTAGGGTGCTCTGACCTCCGAGGGGGAAGAAAACCCCGTAATTTGTCCTGCAGTATTTGGGTATTCGCTTTCTTAAGTTCTGCCTGATACAGACTCTCGGCATCTCTCTCGTCGAAAAAGTAATGTCCTTTCGCTTCTCGGAGTTTATCCTCCAACTGTGCCACCATACTCACGTTTTGGCCATTCCTACGAATATTAATAATTTGCAACTTGGTACGGGCATAGGCAACATTAGGATCTTCGGGTTCGGGAGAACTGCACGCCAAAGTACTGGCATCAAAGTCACTACTAGCGTTTGTTGGTGAGCTCGTTCGTTGCCTGTCCAAGAGCATGTCATCAAGGGGCGGAAAGGACGCCGCACCCGTATCCGACTTCGCAGATATCTGGGAACAATGAATGTCACGGGTAATGTCGGAGGGAACCTGAACACCCTGGACATCTTGAGGAGTTCTACTTGGGTCTCCCCTTTTCGCATGTGACAAAGTTGTGTCTTCATTCCATGCACAGGTTCGTGTCAGTCTTTGCTGGTTATAGTCGAGATGACGCACCATTCTCCAGTTCGGCGTCGGAACAGTGGACATACAGCTAGAAGTCGTGTTGGCATGATAGATAAGCGACAGAGGGAACGAACTAACCCATTCACAGGCTTGGTCAAGGTCGACACCTTGGATAGTATGCAGACACTGTTCGACCTTATCCACTGCAAAACCGAGCCTTCGCAATATCCCGTATGTGACGGCCGCACGAGCCGCGACCTTCTCTACAGGTTCGTCGAGATACTTCCGTACTGCTCAGTCGGAGCGCTAATTAAATGAAGGAAAAGCATGCAAACACAATGGACAGAACCTTCTAGGGCTTCTTCTTCCTGGTGCAACTGAAAAATCTGATCTACAAGTGCGGGATCAACTGATAAAGATAAAAATGTTCTCGAGTACCGTCGATCAGCTTCGATGGCCTACCAAGGTCACAGTGAACATAGGAAACTTTGACGCAGCAGTTCGAAGGGATGATTACCTTGATCGTCTTTGATATGTCCTTCTCTACCTTATCCTGATATTTACCGAGTAGATTTTGTACTTGTTGCTGCTCAACGACCTGGGTGTTGGGCTCATTTTGAGCGGTATCCTCAGTGGAACTCGGTCGGCTCTCTGGACATTCTGGCACTTGGCAACAGTCTGACGTTGATGGTGCGGTCTCCGTAATGTCAGCTTTCTTGGGCACCGATGTAGTTGCGAACCCGCGGGCAACAGCCTTCAATTGCGTCTTCTTTTTCTTGGCCATTCGTATAATTGTTGTCCAGGAGTCGTTGCTCACAATCGTCGGGTGTATGACAAGCACCCTGATTGGAGGGTATTAGCGACTGAATACGAACCTATTGTAAGCGGTAGTATCAAATAATTGTACGAAGACTTAGGGCTGGCCCTCGGCGGCACATTTGGAACACCAGCCAAATATTAATGCAAAAGCTTGATGCAAAATGATAGAAAGAACTATAAAGCTTTACATGCTGTATCCAAACTTACTCTACATCTACGCGCCCGTAGAGATGCAAATAATGAATGAAACAACAAGGAAAATTCAATCATCTACCCCAGATCCAGCTTCGTTACCAGCTTCGACTTTCTTCCTGGCAGATTGCTTACTTCCGCCTTTCTTAGGTCGCACCCCACTTGCTCCGGCCTTGCGCTTCTTTCCCCGACTTGGTACAGGAGCAGACTCGCCTTGGTTCCCCTTGTCTACAGTTGCGGCGTTGACCGCATGTCCAAAGAAGTCATCACCTTCTTCGTTCCAAAGGTCCCGGGCGGTATCGCCGCCACCATCGTTCGAGCCAGCAGCCCGCTTGCCCGACTTCTTGGATGACAAGCCAGAAACGTCATGGCTATCGATACCAGCGAGCTGATCATCATTAAGCAGAAGCTGCACAATCTCGCTTGGTTTCGTGACGTCGGTGAAGTTTTTGTTGCCAACAACAATATCTTGAACCTAAGAGGGGACTTGAGCCAGAGAATATCCACGAAGCAAAGCACTTACATCTTTCTTGACACGTGCCAATTGAATAATCCGTTCATCTATGGTGCCCTTCGTGATAAGACGATAAACAGTGACCTGTCGGGTTTGTCCAAGACGATGCGCACGATCCATAGCCTGGGCATCATTGGAAGGATTCCAATCGTGATCATAGAAGATGACCGTGTCTGCGGCAGTGAGGTTTATTCCAAGGCCTCCTGCTCGCGTGCTGAGCAGGAAAATAAAAATATCCGGCCTGATACCATGAGTCATGCAAAAATTAGGACAGTGCAAAAAATTACCTCGTTTGCCAATCCATCACCATGTCCCTGCGATCTTCGAGTTTCGAGGAGCCATCCAAACGCAGGTATTTGTATTGTCGGAAGATCAAGTACTCTTCCATAAGATCCATCATCCGCGTCATCTGGAAGTAGATCAAAACGCGGTGGTCACCAGCTTTCAGCTCTTGTAGCAACGAATCTAGCCTCGCAAGCTTGGCAGAGTCGTAAATGAGCCTCTTTGCTTCGGGGATTTGCATTCTAGACCGCGGCAATTGATCTAAAGCTGACGACGTTACCAATCCCCCTGTCGGTATCGTTGGCAATAGGTCATTGTAAAGGCTACAAGCTGCTGGTGACTCCTGCAGTCGAGGAGGAATACCGTATAGTGCCATGGATTCTAATGGCGCATCGAGGAAATGCAGCCGATGCTCAATGAAAGTCCGGTCCGAGCATGACATAAATATCGACGGTGCTACAGCAGCGGGAACAAACCAGCTGAGGCTTGCTCTGCAGAGGCACGACTCCGTCCACGCAGATAACGAGATGGTGGACAGGCGAAGGTGTTGTGACTGGTTGGTTGTAAGTGAATAACGAGGGGTTGAAATATCCGATGGACCAAAACTCGTATCCCTAGCAAATCTCAGGTTTTAACTCAGTGACAACGACATGCGCTTACTGCAAGATAGTCGATCTCTCCACGATGCGATTTTCTTCTTGTAATTCTGTCAAGCGATTGCGCAAGAAAGAGGACACACGAAGACTATGCACTTCGCTGGGAGAGGAATTAAGAAGTCGAAGGAAGGCAAATGCGGGGGACGCTACACCCTGGTTAATGGTATTGTCGAAATACAAGACAGTGAACAATACCTTCCACTTCGTCGTAAAGAGATTTGGATATCCGCTCCACGTCCCAAATGTTGAACAAGTTGCGGGCACAAAGAGAGCGGGACCGCAGATCATTTTTCTCGCACGGGATCTCGCATAGCCCTCCGTCATGGTAAAATAGCTCTGGTATGCAATATTCAATAGGGTTTTTCGTAGAATATGGAACAGAGGCCACGTCGCCTTCTCTATTGAGAGGACCTGATTGACCAAAGTGGGAAAATGAAAATGGTGCTACAACGTCGGCACGTTCAAAAAGCTCCGGGTGATTGCAAACCTTGGAGGTGACGAGTCAGCAGCTATATTGGGCGAATTGTTAGGGCCGACGACGAACCTTGCGGAATTGCATCACAAGGTTCATGAGAGATCGGGCGGAGTCAGCATCACCAATGTTTGCAGCCTTTTCCAAGAGGTCAGCAACCGAGACATTGACCAATAACGCGCGGTACAAGGCACGCTGTCGAGAACTAAGGTCGACATAAACATCAACTTCAATCTGTATGTGACGCGTTAGAACATGAAGCTGACGGTGGCCAGAATACCATGCCTTTTCGCTTAGTTCGTTTTGGACATGCCTCTTCACTCGGCGAAGCATGAATGGTTTCAATATCATGTGCAAACGTCGAAGCTGGTGCTCATTCAACTTGCTACCTTTGTTTTCCGCAGCATTTTCGATGTCCTTGGAAAACCACTCGTTGAATTCGTCATGGGAGTCGAAGAGACTCGGCATGATGAAGTGAAGTAGCGCCCACAGTTCTATCCCCTTAAATCAACACTGGAAAATATTAAAGCTACGGAGATATGCCATACCCTGCATAGAATTCTGGATTGGTGTACCAGTCAGCAAGAGGCGATTCCGACACTGGAAACCCAGAAGTGTCTTCCAACGAACAGACGATGCATTTTTGATATTCTGTGCTTCATCAAGTATCATATATTGCCATTTCACTCGCTGAAAGTATTGTTGGTCTTGGGTAACCTGACAACGCATGAGGTCCAAAGCAATGGCTAGGTTGGCGAACGCACCAGCTGGTAGCTCGTAATGAGCACATGGAAGGGGGCATCTTTGTTGTAGCTGATCTCCTTCCTGCTCCAAAACTTTCGCAGAGTTGTCCGATCCTTGACGTTTCCCCAGTAAGGTAGAGCCTTAAGACTCGGCACAAATCGTGTAATCTCCTGTTGCCAGTTGTGCAAAGTAGAAGCTGGAGCAACAACGAGAAACGGGCCCCAAATGTCGTGCATTTCCGCAAGGTATGCGAGCAGTGATATTGACTGGACAGTCTACCAAAGGAACTCAATCCAGAGGCCAGAAAAGGGAGAAAATCAAGAAAATACCTTCCCGAGACCCATTTCATCTGCGAGGATACCGTTTATGCCTTGCTCATAAAGCGTTGCTAGCCAGTTAAGACCCTTCAGCTGGTATTCTTTCAACTGGGCCATCAACATCGTAGGTTGTTTAATCGTCAATGGACCGCTCAAAGACGTGGGGTTCTGGAAGTTGAGTTCATCCGAATCAACTTAACATGAGATAATCAAGGACTGCTGCCAACGACACGAAATGTGAGGCTCACGATCCACCAGGGGTACCGACGGGGGAGATGATGCGGAGGTATTATCATCATGAACATGGGCTTGGCCCTTGGCTAATTTCAGTGCCTCGTTGGTTTTCCTCTCGAGTGCCGCTTGCGCGTCAAACTGTTGTGCTCGCTCCTTTGCTAGAGTGACTGCTTCCCGCGCATTGTGTCGGGCATGGCGATGCAAGTTAGTCTGGTCCTCTGAAAGGATGTCAACAGACCAAAGGAATGAAAGGGCCACAACTTGCCGTCGTCAAAGTCAATCTCTCGTAACATTGATGGGTCCACCTCTCCAAGTTCGCCATCGCTGGGAAGTGCAGGAGGCTCTGCGGTATCCCCTTGGACTTCAGCGGCTAAAATCAGTAAGGACACACAATAAGCTTCCGCCTTCACCAACGAGAACCACCTACTCTTCAATTTATTGCCAACGAAATGACTGTAGAGCTCGGTTTGGCTGATTAAGAACTCGAGCTTACGTGCTTGACGTGCCGCTTCGCGCTTCTCTTCCTCGACCTTGGCTCTGTCAATAGCTTCCTTCTGTTCACGTTTGCGAACATCTCGCTCTTCCCTCTCGTTTCTCTTCCAGAATACAAGCATCTCGCGCATGAGTCGCTTCGCCTTCGCCTGCATATCCTTGCTGGCCTTCGCTGTCTTAGTGAAGGGTCGGCGGGCTTGCATTGACGCGAGCATGGCAAGGCGTTTGGCTTGACTCTGCCTTGCCTGGTAACCCAATGCCGCATACTTGTAAACCTAAGCGGCGTTTGTTGATACCACCCGGACAACAAGTCTTAAGTTACACACCTTCGTAATGTCCCTCCGTGCGATATTCGTCCAAACCTTTCGCTGGGCTTCCTCCAAGGTTTTTATACGTTTGGCCATGGCGTTTTCATCGATTTTTTTGGCCCTCCTCAGAGGCGGAACAATCTCGTCGAGCTCGTAGACTACCGTAGACCCTACGGTCAACGCTGGTGATGCTGGGCGAGAAGCAGATGGTGTTATATCGCCGTTTACTGACCCCGCTACCGATCCGTGACCAGCTGAATCTACCCCTAAGGCATCGAACTTTTTCCTCGCCGCCGCCTTTTTACGCCCCTTGGGAGTGAGAGGCATGCTGTCCACACTACGCTCCCTAGGCTGAGAGAGTTTACCCTTGCCTTTGGCCCTCGACGAGGCGCCTTTGGAGAGGGATAAGGGTGCATCATCTACTGCGCACTCAAGCTCCTCCGCAATGCTGGCTGCGTCTTTGTCCACTTTACGTTTCTTCGTTGCCGGCTTGTCTTTCCTCGAAGCAAGGGTAGGTACTTCAAAATCACTGCTCGCGTCGGATAATGGTCCTTCTGCAGGACGCTTAAGTGGATCTCTCCGTTTAACTCTTCGAAGAGAATCCTCCAACTCCTGCGGAGTCTCCTCGGCGCCAACATCCATCGACCTCCCGCTGGCGTCATACCCTTTGCGAACTCCGTCGAAACCAGCGAAACCAGCGTGGGGCGGGGTGGGATGCAAAGTAGACAAGAGGTCATCTTCCATTGGTACTACGGGGGGTGACGGTGGGGGAAGGGGTATACGTGCGAGGCGCGAGACGTAGTGTCTAGAGAGTGCGGCTGCAGTGGTAGAATTGCGTTCCTGAAAAAGGGTTGATTATATATCATACGAAACTTCGGAGGTACACACCAGTACACTTGCTTCGAACCAAGACTCTACCTGAAGCTGTCGTTTATGTGTCTCCATGATGTAATCACTTAGGTCTGCGATCCAAACTTCCTCACAATCCGAGAGGTCCGAGGATACGAGGCGACGATTCTTCCTCGGTTGGATGAAGGCTCTCGCCATTCTCAACTTGGGGTGATCTCGAACGTACAACCTTTGAGCGGGGAGGGTTCCTCCTAAGCCCAGGCTGAAGTGACAATGACTGGTAAGCGAGATGCGACTAGAACTGTAACGCGCGCAGACGTACGCGCTTAGATGCTGGAGGAAGATAATCTGAGTCATCGTCCATTGCCTTCCTTCTCCTCTTGGATGCGAGGTCCTCTTCGCCATCTCTGTAGTAGGCGCCTGCCGAATCCGGGCGGGTGTGTGCGGGACCCGGAGGAGGTTCTTCTCGCTCACGATGGGGGTAGTAATTTCCACCAGGACCCAACGGAAAAATATCTCCTTGTACATAATTGCCCGAGTAGGGGTCCCATCCCCCAGCACCCTGATAAGAGACCGGCTGGTAAGCATAACCACGATGCGGCGGAGGCTGCTCTAGGGTGAGGGCTTTGACCGGGATGATTTGGGTGGGTATGAGGAGATATGACTGCGGAAGAAGGGGTAGGCGTTACGTCTGTGAATGTATGATCAACAGCAGCAACACGAGAAGGACCAGCGGGAGCTGAGTGAAGATGTGCCAAGGAATGTGGTGGTGGCTCGTCATTGAGAATGCGTTTGAGGGACATGTCGGAGAGTAGTATACGGTAGTTGAAGCACAATGTCTGCTACAAGACCGGGTTGCCTCGTGGGACCTGAAACCGCAGAGGATGAAGAGAAGAACAGTTCAGATTTCTCGGAAGCCGAGTGCAAGGGGGGGTTGGTCGCCAATGGTGGTAGGAACAAAACAAAAAAGTAGTGGACAAGCTCAAAAGACGGTACTGATGACAACGGCGGACCTGTTGCTGTGCAAAAATCCTGGCAGGTGCAAACAGGCCTTGGATAGGCGGGAACTTATATGTACGTGGTGCTTATTTCGTTTTGTTGGACATTGCCCTCCTCCCAAATTCGGTAATTCGGTCGGCCACTTCTTGGCGGAAGGCAACATGGTCACTGGTATTAACTACTAGCCACTCGACTGTCTACCTCGCAATGCACATACAGCGGGCTCTACGCTATGCCTCGTTCGGGTGCAACATCAGCTCCGGTCGTACTTTCTCGTCAAATTCCTCCTGGTGTCAGAAATCCAAGAGCAACCGCTGCCTCTTTCAACGTCGTGCCCTCCCTATGAGCTTTCTTCGCGCACGTGGCAACGTCTAGAGAAATATCAGCGTAACGTATCAGATTTACAAGGCAATACTCGCTGTCATAGCCGAGGTGGCTGTTCAAGATGGTAGCCAGCATCAGGCTCTGATTTAACAGGAAGTTGATGCGCTTCTCATTGGCTTGCATACCGACGACGCAGTTCTTTGTGAACGATCTTGACGCTATAGTTAACGTCAACCACACAGCCCGGGCAACCGCACTTGAATCACTCGCCATCCGACAAAAGTCGTATGCTTTGCAGCACGTTGTTGATGATGACTGGTTTGAATACATTCAACTACAACAGGTGACACATCGGTGACATGAATAGCGTAATTCCCCGCGGTATAGCTGGCATCGCTCACCTCAAAATGACCATTGGAACCAGCAACTGTCACAGTAGTGTGGTTACCCATCACCTGGGCAGCCACCATTGTAACAGCCTCGCATTGTGTGGGGTTGACCTTGCCTGGCATGATGCTGCTCCCTGGTTCATTCTCGGGTAACAAGAGTTCACCAAACCCGCATCGAGGACCAGAGCCAAGGAAACGAATGTCGTTTGCGATCTTCATTAGAGAGCAAGCAAGAACGTTGAGAGCCCCATGTGCCTCAACCAACGCATCGTGGCTGGCAAGCGCCTCAAACTAAGAGGGATATCAACGTGCGGGAAACTGATCCGTTTGGCCCGTGACCTACCTTGTTCGGAGCTGTCTTAAACTCCAACCCAGTAATTTTCGAGACTTCAGCTGCAACTTTGACATCGAATCCTTTTTTCGTGTTCAAACCCTGGAAAAAAGATAAGATGGATGGAAAAGACCTGGCATCGCTTAGCGCCTCACCGTTCCAACAGCAGTTCCGCCCTGAGCAAGAAGACTGAGGCGCGGGATGACGGCTTCCACTCGATGGATACCATTTTCAATCTGTTGAACGTACCCACCAAACTCTTGGCCAAGCGTCAGGGGTGTGGCGTCCTGATCTGGCTCTCAGTTGGGAGGTAGAAATAGATACTAGGTTTCTTCACCTGAAGGTGGGTACGACCAATCTTAATTATATCCTTGAACTCGTCCACTTTACTCTGGAGAGCATCCCTGAGTTCGACCAGAGCAGGCAGAAGTGAACTGTGGATTTCTGTGACAGCTGCAACGTGCATAGCTGTTGGGAACCTGCAAAAGGCGCAACTTGAGTGTCAACTAGAATCAGATGCACGCATATCCTTACGAGTCGTTGCTACTTTGGCTCATGTTAACGTGGTCATTGGGATGGACGGGCTTTTTCGAACCTAGTTCACCCCCCAGGAGCTCGATAGCCCGGTTCGAGATAACCTTCGCCAAGGCTAAACAATTACGTCGAAAGTGACCGACAGCAAGCCTGCACGTACCTCGTTAGCATTCATGTTGCTCTGAGTACCACTACCAGTTTGAAAGACAACCAATGGAAAGTGGTCAATTAGCTTCCCGGAGATAACCTTGGCAATTGTTCGACACAAGGACAGGAAAAGCTATGGTGAAAAGGACTCGCTTACTTCATCTGCAGCCTTTTGGATCGCCTCGCCTATCTTTGGGTCCAAACCATAACCAACGTTGACGATGGAGGCGGCCTTTTTGAGAACACCGAAAGCCTTTATGAGAGGTGCGGGAAGCCTTTCGGCGGGACCACCTATGTCGAAATTCTGCAAAGAACTTTGCAGCGGAAGCTGCAGTTGAGCGTGGAATGTTACCGGGAAACGTACCGTTGTGTTTGGGCACCCCAGTAGCGATCGGCGGGAACCTGTATATCACCAAAGGTATCACGTTCCTGTCGGAATGCATGTGACTGAATGAAGTGAGCAATGGGAGTGCCTCGCAACAGCCATAAAAACATACCATGACGCTATGAGACACAGAGAACCTGCGGTGACGTGCGACGTGCAGCAGCTGGGATTCCGAGCGTCACCGAGGAGGAGGATATATACAGGGGAGGTTATCACGTGAGATTTCAAATGGCAAAGCAAGCCCAGTACTCACTCGAGGAAGGCGCAAACTGGTAGTGACGGCCATTAAATTGCGAAAGTCGTTGTATGGAATCGGACAGCGCGTGATCAGCATATATACGGAACTCCCCGTCCGCCCGTCCGAAATCCTCCGGAAGTGACCGGTCGGGTGCGATGCAGCCCGGACAACTCTGTTTCTCGGTCCACAGACCACCGGAAGACGGAAACGGAAGTTTCACGTGATTTCCTCCAGGTAAATACGGCGGAGGTGATTGCAGTCAAGGCGGCATGGTCACTCTGCCACCCGTACTATATTACAGTCTCCCCATCCTCAGTTTCCATCTGTGTGCTCTATCACCAAGAAATGTCCACAGCCGCGTCCCAGGTAATCCTGCACCCGTACGTCTCTCAGGCGCTTAAATACGGGGGGACGAACCTTGGTAGAGACAAGGTAAGACAAAACCTTACCATCGCTTGTTAATCACAACGATATGTATTGCTCTGCAGCTCTACCGGACTGTTCAGTACTTCGCCCGTTTCCTCGCCTGGTATTTACAATCAAGGGGTCAGAATCTCCAGGCCACCCGCTGGACAGCACTGAAGAGCCATCTCGCACTTGCACGCAAACGTGAGTCCATTATAATGTTCGCTGACGCTTGACTTAGTACATTCTATTCGTTAGTAATGCGACTCGGTAAGCCTGTGGAACATCTACAAGCCGCCCTGCGCGCTGCGCAGACAGCCGGAGATGTCGGCGAACAACTCGCTACCATTGGCCGCCAGATAAGTTATTTCGGATACCTGGTTTACGACGCAGTGGTTTGGGTCGGTACTTCCTGGACATCCCATAACCCCGATCTTACCTTCCTACGCGCTTAGGCAAACGCCGTCAAGATTATAAACCTCAAACCTTCCACCAGTCAGAAAGTGGCTAGAGTCTCCAATCAATTCTGGCTATCCGGGATATTATTTAGTGTCGTACATGGCTTACTCAAGGTAGCATCCATCGTTCTACGGTGATTGAAAGATCTCTCATCGATTGTTATAGGCTGGCAGACTTGCAACGGAAACAAAGAAGTTGCGTTTTCCAGACAGTCACGGCGAGAAGGACCTCGCACACGAAGCGCAGAGAGAGTTGAGGCAACTTACCCTTCAGAAGTTCGTTCTTTTTTTTTTTTTTCCCTTGCGAGATTTTGAAGATTAAATTGAAACAGAATGCGGGAGGACGTTCGCTATCAATTCATAATCGATATCATGGACATCTGGATACCAGCCTCGAGCTTAGGGCTTGTAAATGTCAACGATGGCATAGTTGGTCTAGCAGGGTTAGTCTTCCCAAAGATAAAAGAATGTTCGACACCCCATGTGCTGACATTGCCACCGGAACCTTAGGTTAACGTCTTCGATCATGGGTATGCGCACGCAGTGGATTGCAGTCAATGGGTCAAAGTAAGGCAGATTTTACCTTCGTTACAACATAATCGTGTGTAAACCATCAAACTCGATACTCTTGTAAAGTTATAGACCAGCTTTGTACGACAGTGATCCGGTTCATTGACTTGAGTATATGTGGTCCAGGTGGCAAGCTTAAATTTTAGCCCTAGTTTAGTTTTACGATGTGGCGGACTCCGCAACCAGTTGGGCCTTCGGCTCCAGGGGATATTTGGTTCCTCAGGCGCATATACTCAGCTCGTACCTTGGCCATTGGTTCAGGCCCTGTGCTGAAAATCATACGTACAATCACGCAATCAGATGGAGAGGTGAGAGCAAGATACTTACTACTGCAACATGCACTCTTGCAAAGACTTATACTGATCCCTACAAGCCCATACGACCGACACCGTGCGACCAGTAGCACACTCCGCGAAGTCTTAGAAGCTCTCCTCAGTGCAATCCACCACTGATGGGAAGGAACGGGTACCTCTGACAACTTGATCACATTCCTTTAATGCGCGTGCTTTCGTGGTTTTGAGAAGGGTTTCCTCTTCCCTTCGAGAAAGTGCGTTCATCGGCGTACGTCGGGATCCCGGAAAAAATGCAAAAAGGAATAAACATGGATTTCCTTTTTGAGACACACTTGGCCTTGCATCCACGTCCCAGTCAGGTCCCAATGGCCAGCACCTCACTCCTGAAGTTTTTGTTATATCCTCGTCCTCTTCGCTGCGTTCGAGGTCATGTGCGATATTTGGCTATGCCATCCAGCATGAGCACCAAGAATTCCAAGACCAACTTTTCCCGAGTCCTTGCGGATGGACCATCATTAGATGACTTCATCTCCCAGGATCCCGTAGAAAAGGTGGTTCTCGGAAACACAAAGGGGTGAGTCCTCCCGTTCTTCGTCCTAACTTTGGTGCCACACATATTCCAGGCCACGCCTTCCGGACTTCTTGAAGACCAAAATACCATCTGGGGCTTCGTACAATAGAATTAAGAATGATCTCAGGGGCTTAAACCTGCACACTGTTTGCGAGGAGGCACGCTGTCCAAATATTGGGGACTGTTGGGGTGGAAAGGAGGGCGCGTCGGAGGAAGACGGCCGGCGCGCTGCAACCGCGACAATCATGGTGCTTAGTGTTGTTTCCTCCGACCGTGTCAATAGCTCACTCTACGTTTTCAGCTCATGGGGGATACGTGCACCCGAGGTTGCCGATTCTGCTCCGTGAAAACTTCTCGCGCGCCTCCCCCGTTGGATCCTCACGAACCTGAGCACACTGCAGAAGCCATAAGTCGCTGGGGTCTTGGCTACATCGTCCTCACAAGCGTGGATAGGGATGGTAGTGTCATCTTATTTTACCAAAGTATATCGTCTCAACTCTTTCCCTCAGATCTCGTTGACGGTGGCGCGCACCATTTCGCCGAAACCATTATGAAGCTCAAGCAAAAGTAGGTGTCACCTTACATCGTTTGTTTGACATTCGCCAACCCAAATTTCAGGGCTCCCCAAATTCTAGTGGAAGCTCTGACGGGTGACTTTGGAGGGTCATTAGAATGCGTTTCCGTTGTCGCAAAATCCGGGCTAGATATTTATGCGCACAACATCGAAACGGTTGAAGCATTGACGCCATTTGTTCGGGATCGACGCGCGACTTTCCGCCAAAGTTTGAGCGTGCTTGAACACGCTAAGAAGGACGGGTGTGCGCATTACAAAGACCAGTGTTATGCTCGGTGTAGGCGAGAATGAGGAACAAGTTATGGATGCTTTGAGAGGTAAGTGTTGTAACGCGAAAGCACATGCTTGCTCGTGTCTTACGCATATCCGCAAGAGCTACGAAAGGTTGACGTAGACGTCGTAACCTTCGGGCAGTACATGCGCCCAACGAAACGCCATATGAAAGTAGATCGCTACGTGGAGCCGGCGGAGTTTGCCAGGTGGAAACAGATCGCCGAAGACATGAACTTCTTATATGTGGCCAGCGGTCCATTGGTTAGAAGTAGTTACAAGGTAAGGTATTACGACGTGTCACAGAATCACCTTATTAAATTACCTTCCAGGCAGGAGAGTACTTCATAGAGAACGTGCTCAAGGGAAAAGCCTCAGAAAAGCGGACGAAGAAGCTGCTTGGTCAGGATACGACCACTGTTGAGGGGAATATGCCGTCGTAAAATTCATTGTGCATACAGACCTTGTCCGTTATATTCTCGCACCAAATATTCTAATAAGCAATTGATTGAGCGCAATGTGTATTACATAATGGAGCTGTGTTGACCCCCCGCAACTTTCCGGCGGAGCTTTGCGAAAACTTTATTTAGTACAAACTTTATCGCCCAGTCCCTCCTTCCAAACCACAGTCGTCGTCAACATGGTATGTATGCATGTGATGGAAACTTCAGACCGTTTGGCTGACAATTGACGCAGGACTCGACAAAGTCTCAAGTAAAATTGGCCAAAGTAATAAAAGTTAATGACCACGCTACTTATATGTGTATGGGCCTCTGAGATATCCATCATAGGTTCTTGGACGAACTGGTTCACGAGGAGGTGTTACACAAGTCCGTGTCGAATTCATGGATGACACCACACGTACAATCATCCGAAATGTAAAAGGTCCTGTCCGGGAAGAGGACATCCTTGCGCTCTTGGAGAGTGAACGTGAAGCTCGGTAAGTGAGGAGTTTTCCGACTTAGTCTGTACCTGACTCGTTGCTCAGCCGCCTCCGTTAAAAATGTCTCGTTTCTTTCTTTCTTTTTTCATTCGCTATAAGCATCGTTTCATATATTCCATGGCCAGATTGAATTCAGGCATATAGGACCTGTGTTGTTGACTGTGCAAATAGAAGATACGACCTGAGATGATAAGTACTTGAGCTATGGGCGCCGGTGTACGCCGGGTACACCAACGCTAGTGTTGTTGCAGTATGGCAGAACTGGCAGCCGTCAGGGGGTCTGTTACAGTCCGTTCGCTCGAATAATCCAGTGGCAAAACCCTCAGATCTAGAATAATGCTGCCCCCTAACCTACTAATCCCTACTACGAAAGCGCGCGTGGTTATCCATTGCTTGACGTCTTCACACGCCGCTTGATCGGTCCACTGCTATGTCTTTGGACCGTAAGGCAGCCTACGTGACCTTGCTGACGAAGTCGAGCTATCTTCCCGGCGTGCTGGTCCTTGACTACACCCTTCGATCAGTGGGAACATGTTACCCGTTGGTTGTAATGGTGACACCATCGGTGCCCCAGGAGTGTAGGGATGTCCTCGCAAGGAGGGACATACAACTAAGAGATATCACGGCCCTTGAGTCTCTGCCAAATGTCCATTCGTTGGCAACTCACGATGTTAGGTTTCGCGACACTTGGACAAAGTTAAGGTGAGCTTCCGATGTAAGCAACCCAGAGGCATTTGCGTTGACGTCACTGGGTGTAGAGTCTTCGAGCTCGTGGAATTCAAAGTGGGTGGTACCCACTAATTTTACATCTTTCATTCGATGATCCAATGTCACCAGCGAGCGGTCCTCCTCGATGCTGACATGATCGTCATGCGCAATATGGACGAGCTGTTTGATATTGAACTCCCCGAGGACAGTATCGCCGCCACTCATGTGTGCGCATGCAATCCTAGGAAATTGCCTCACTATCCTCCTGACTGGTCAGTATACTTATACCGTCTACGATTTGGTCGCTGAGCGATGTAACTTCCTAAGGGTACCAGCGAACTGTGCTTACACCCCTCTGGTACACCCGTCAGGTTCGACATCTCCAACCAAGATAACCAAAGACAGCCCACGCCCTCATACGCAACTAAATTCGGGTCTTGTAGTATTAAAACCTTCCCTCGAGCTCGCTCAGTCTGTGTACACTCACCTTCACACCTCGCCACTTGTTCCAACTTGGTCATTCCCCGATCAGGACCTCCTTGCCGACTTCTTCAAGGGTAGGTGGGAACCGTTACCTTGGAAGTACAACGCCCTCAAAACGTTGATGATTATCCACAAACCACTGTGGCGTGACGAGGAGATCAAATGTTTGCACTACATCTTAGCGGATAAGCCGTGGCAGGCCAGGGTTCCCCAAGATGGGAAGGGTGAATGTGACAAGTGCAATCAGTGGTGGTGGGATCGGTTCGAAAAATTGGCGGCTGAAATGCAGGAGAACAATGAGGACTGGGAACTAGTACTAGCGAATGTCGCAAAATGAGGATTTCTGTACACGCCTGGCTGATGAAAGAAAGAAACGTGCCCAGAAATCACCCACAGGACAAATGCTGTAGAGTTGCGAAGGGGGTTTGAACCCAGGTAACGCAAGATAAAAAATCATGTCAGGAGTCCCACCCGTAGCTTCATGGATAATCCACACATCCAGGGATTGTTCCACTTATAACTCCAGCATGCTGTAAGCGAAATTTCCTTTTTCATGATCCACGTAGGGCGCAAGTTTAGATCAGTGCTAAATGCTGACAACCAGATTGCTCAAGCTCGTGCTCACGACATTTGTACTACAGGTTTTCGGGTTTCGCACATTTACGCTTTTCTATCCGGCCAGTTCGCGGACACCTCATCGCCTGCCATGACATTGGTTCCATTGTTGCTCCTGCGGAATAATCAAACATGTGAGGATGTGAAAAACAAAATGGGTGTCACGCACCGGCCTCGCTGGTCGCGAAGATGACTCCAAGGTCATTGCGAGCTGTCGTTATGTAGTAGCTGCGAGCATCACCGAGAGATATCTGCGCAGAGGTGGTCACACCACGAGAAGTCATTCATGTGGAAGTAACATTTACTACAGTGCCCTTTATGACATCTCCTCCACGAAAACACTCCCCAATTCTCACCTTGTCCTTCTCTGTCGCCCTAACGTCTTGACTTCGTATGACTCCGGTGAATTCCTCGCCTGCGGGCAGAGGGAGTCCGTCCACGACGGATATGGCCACAGTAGCTTGTAGTGGTGACAAGCGCGTGACTACTCCAAGAACCACCGAATTCGTAGTTGGAGGGTGTGGTCGTGCGCGTGATATTGCTAACGTCTGTTCGACCAACGTATCGCCGAAGACATGATTCACTGGTCATTCAAGCAGTCCGTGAATATGGAAGGGGAAAGAAACCAACAGGTCCTTCATATCGAGGTACCCCGACGAGACTCGCCCTAACATGACCATCCTTGGCATACAATCCAGCACCGAGGGTGGGGGAGGGACCGAGGGGTAGGGCGACTGGTTGGCCCGGTAGTAGTGTTTCGGAGGTCATGACACTAGTATGTAATCCCTAGCTAGATGGAAAAAGCCGGAAACGCTTGTCCCGCAGGTTTGGGGATATTTGGGACCTCAAAAAAGCTGCCCATTTGCTTTTCATTCACTTCTTTGTGTAACAGCCATGGCTTCCTCGCTTGCACGCTTTGCTACACGGAGTAGGTCTATTCTCTTTCTCTTTTCTCCCGACAGCCCAGAGACTAACACGCGTCCTGACCGAAGGTCTGCATACTTCTTCTCGGAGACATGCCCTCTCCAAGTTTGCAATGCCTGCAATGAGCCCCACCATGACGGAGGGTGGTATTGCTGCCTGGAAAAAGAAAGAAGGCGAAGCCTTCTCTGCTGGAGATGTGTTGCTTGAGATCGTAAGTCTTCAAGTGGTGATGCGCCGTGCCTCGACTCGTTCTTACAACCTCCGAGGAAACCGACAAGGCAACTATAGACGTTGAGGCACAGGATGATGGTATCCTCGCGAAAATCATCGTATGTATTGACATCTTTTGGTGTCGTGAGTTATGCTCACTACATTGGCTAGATTCCGGACGGCGCCAAAAACATATCCGTAGGCTTGCCAATAGCAATAATGGCTGAGGAGGGCGACGACCTGTCTGGCGCCGCCCAGATGGCTTCCGAGTCGGCAGCTCAACCTTCTCCTGAGCCCACAGCAAAGGAGGAATCCAAGCCTTCTGCTCCGTCAACTTCCGAGGCACCCAAAGACCCAGTCCCACAGTCTCAGCCTCAAGAGGCCAAGCCAGGGTTAGCCAAGGGTGCTCGCATATTTGCTTCTCCAATAGCCAAGAAGATTGCCCTGGACCGGGGTATTCCCCTGTCCCAAGTCAAGGGTACTGGTCCCGAAGGTCGTATCATATGCGAGGACGTCGAGAAATACCAACCTCCTATCTCTGCTGTTGAGCCAGCACCACCAACTGCAGAATATGTCGATATCCCGATCTCCAACATGCGCAAAGTCATCGGTACCCGTCTCACGCAGTCCAAACAGGAGCTACCTCATTATTACTTGACCGTCGAAATCAACATGGATAAAGTTCTGAAGCTGCGTGAGGTCTTCAACAAGACGCTGGGAGAAAAAGACAAGACTGCTAAGCTCAGCGTGAATGACTTTGTTCTCAAGGCGGTGGCCTGTGCTCTCGCTGATGTTCCAGAGGCCAACTCAGCTTGGCTAGGGGAAGTCATCAGGCAGTTTGTATTGTTTCCTATCATTGTTTATTCATTTATTTTGAACCAACGGCTTCCAGGTACAGCAAGGCGGACATTTCAGTAGCTGTTGCGACACCTACTGGTCTGATCACCCCAATAGTTAAAGATGTGGGTTCCAAGGGGCTAGCGACCATCTCTGCGGAAGCCAAAGGGCTTGCTAAGAAGGCCCGGGATGGCAAGCTCACTCCTCAAGAATACCAGGTAAGGCATACACTTGTTCGAATACGCCTGATTCTTACTGTATATCCAGGGAGGAACGTTCACTGTTTCCAACCTCGGCATGTTTGACATTGACCACTTCACGGCTATCATCAACCTTCCTCAGTCCTGTATACTTGCTGTTGGTAGCACGAAGCCCTCTATCGTTCCCGCCCCGGAAGAAGAACGAGGGTTCAAGACTGTCAACGTAATGAAGGTTACACTGAGTTCCGATCATCGGGTCGTTGACGGTGCAGTTGGGGCGCGTTGGATGGCTGCTTTCAAAGGCTACTTAGAGAACCCGTTAACCTTTATGCTCTAAGTGCCTATCGCACTGCTTTTATAGATTATTACGCGTACGGTTCATGTGCTACCCATGAGGATATCTGTGCCCAATTTAACATTTCAATCATGAACGATATTATCTTGAGGAATAATCAAGGAATAATAATGCTCAGAAACGTGTAATAAGTGGGTTACATAAGCAGCTCTCGGTTCGTGTTGTCACCAGCTGTGGCAAACTGCTTCTGGTCGGTGCGCCTTGTCGACGCTCAGTCCTTGTCTCTGGTTGTTTTTCTAGGCTGTATTGTATTCACTTGGTCTATGACAGCGGTGCTCTCCGCTACAGATGCGCTTCGGAGTCCTTTAATGGCTTCAGTTGACGACAACCAGATCAAGTATACCCTTCCCTTCTGCCACGCAACCCCTAGGTTTGACATACGACTCCTTTAGCTATTCTTCCACAGATTGGAAGACGAAATACTATGAAGTTGCCGACATGCTTGCTGAAACCCGGGCTGAGCTCGACGAATTTCACACCTCCAGCAAGGAGCTGGAAGAGGAGCTCATCAAGGAAATTGAACGGACAGAGAAGGCACAGCAAGATCTCAAGGTCAAGATTTCTCGTGTAGAGTCAGACAGAGATGAATGGAAGGTTTGTCGTTCGAATTCAAGTCCCGTCAAGTTCCAACAATTCTTACCCTGTGGTAGTCCAAGTTCATGTCACTGCAGACAACCCACAACACAACCACGACTTCCTTGCAGCGCGAGTTGGATACACTGAGACAGGAGTGTCAAAAGTTGAAGGTACAACTACGCGAACTCGAAATGGGAAACGACGATTTAGAGCGTAACGAACGAGCAGTCAGCTCTAGCTTGGCTGATATTGAAGCGAAATATTCTCGTGCTCTTGAAGAGAAGATCCTCCTAGAGCACGAATTGCTTGACAAAGCCCATCTGGAAGAGGAGTGTCAGCGGTTGAAAGACGAATTAAGAGGTCTGTTCCATTCTCCATTTTAGACGTATTTATGTCGACTGAAACCTTGACAAAAGACGCTGGGGTTGAAATATCTATACTGCAAGACCAGCTCGCAGCACTCCAGTCTAAAGTTTCAGCTCCTGCTACAGAATCTCCCGCATCTGCCGCGCCCTCAACGTCACCCCAAATTACACCATCTTCTACAGAAGAGAATTTACTCCACACTCCACCCCCACCTGATCTTCAATTAGCAGAATTGTCTGCTCCCGGCAAATCATTATCAACGCGCTCTCATCCATCATCTGTGTCTTCTGGTTCAACCTCGGGGCACCCCATTGCATTGCCGCGAGCCCTTTTTCAGACGAACAGAATCAATACTGCCCATTCTACTCCGCCCCCCATCACCCGCTCAAGCACATTGCCTGCTGTTCCCGCTCCGCGAAATCCTTTTCGGCCACCGATTCCTCGCCCGAATTTTCCTTCCCCTTCGACACCCGTCGCTCAAGCAGCCAGTGCCATCCCAATGGTAGCAACGAAAAGTCGAGGAGTCCAGATGGTTTCCGAAATGCGAGCCAGGGTCAAGAACTTGGAGCAAAAGATCCACACTCGAGTTCCTCGCCTTCGTATGGGCAGCAGTGCTGGCAGACAAGGCGCAAATGCCTTAGCTTTGCCTACGGTAATGACGGCTTCTCCAGCTTCAGCTTCCTCTGGGCCCAAGACAGCCGCTTTCCGCACAGCTGCACTTGACTCCAAGCTCAACAAACCGACCCCTAAACGATACAGTGCAGATATTGACACCAAGAAGAGTGAAGCTACGACACCTGATCCGAACGCGTCCGGATGGGTATTGATTATGGACGATACCCCTTCTCCAATTAAGAATTTGGAGAAAGAGCGCCGGCGAGTGTCCAGCCCTTCAGGGCCAAGTGCATACCGTACTGGTCTTCCCAAGGCGTCTTCGCCCACATTTTCAAAGCCCAACCCTCTGGCTCAGAGCACGGCTCGGCGACCACAATCGCGCCTGTCTGGAGCGAGCATGAGTACCATTGCCACGGTCAGCTCGATCCCGACGCCGTCCTCTCGGCCTACCACACCCACCTTCTTGCCTCTCCCCATTTCAAGTTTGTATTCGAACAGTCATACACCTGGTAACACCTTGTTGAAACGGTCTGCTGGACCTGGAATTGTTTCGTACGCGCTGCCAAAACGTTCGTCATTGGGTTCTGGTACTCCCAGTTCTCCAACTCCATCGTCAGACAGCGAGGCCATGGGCCGGGAGCAACCTGCTCCCTACAACGCTAAGACTGACCATCATGTCGAGACGGAACTGACCTCCCGCGGATCCTCCCGCATACCCTCTTCTGTGAATTCCTCTGTCCTGAGCCAGAGTAGGATTGGACGACCTGCTGGAGTGGTAAATGGACGAAAGAATTTTGGGCTGCAACCTCCCGGTGAGGACAGCGGGGCATACTTGGCTACGAACGGGAACAAGAAGAGCCGAGGAAGGTCGGGTAGCAGTACATTTGGTTTGGGGCGCTAACAGTCCGCGCAAGCCGAACGAGTGACTTACATACTTGACGTTCTCCAGAGCCCAGACTATGGGCAGTGGTTGGATAGCCTGGAGGGCTAAATTCTACGTTTTTATGACGACACCCGGGATAATGACAGAATGCGCTATGTACCACCCCACTGGTGCCCTGCTACCCGCTTTCGTTATACATATACAACTTTCGTCTGCAGTAAGATATTACAGATAGTGCCTTTTTTTTACTGAATTTCCGTTCTTTTATTGTTTCGTTTTCTTTTCTTTTACAGCTGGGCACCTGCAGAGGTCGTTGATACCTATGGTATGTTCTATGGTACAGTGAGCGGGATGGGATTGACATGTAATAATTACGTAATGCCCATAAGCTGGCTCCTTCCCTTCATACAAGCTTGCAAGCAAGGCCCCTCGCTTCACCAACCATGTCTTCACCTAAGAGTAGGACAGTTTACTGCCCCACAGAACAGATCCTTGAATAGGCAGGAAATTCTTGAGGAGGATGAATACACGGCAGCTTTATCTCACATCATCGCCCGAGATTTCTTCCCGTCGCTCGTCCACTTGGATGCCACTAACGACTATCTCGATGCTTTGCGAACGAAGGATGCTAGCCTCATCAATGCTTCCGTTCGGAGGCTCCAAGAAATTGGCAGCACTCCCTATCCCCTCTCAGCGAAGCACCCTATGTCTAACACCCTCTGATACCCCGTACGGACCTGGCCCATCTGAAACCCCTGTGCCGTTGCCACGCCCTGCCAAGCGGCCACGATACGACACAAATATGAGCTTGGATACGTTTCAGGTGAAGTATACTTCCGAGGACAACGCGAGCTTCACCCAGATTTTGGATGACGAAAATAGACAACGCAAGGAAAGGTGGGGGTGGGCTTGGGAAGCTCAGAAGAGGGTGGAACAACAAAGAGAGAGGATGTTGACGGCCAGGGAAAAAATGTTGATTGAACAACCACCAGTACCAGGAGTGAGGGAGAAGTTTCTTATAGAGCAACCCAATGTTGCTGGGTTAATCACGTCGAGCATGGTGGAGGAGGCCACAGAACATGAACCAAAACAATTAGACGAGGGAAAGGAGTCACTAGCACTGTCCGTCGCTGAACCTCAAGCAGAGGTAACTGTCGTTGATGTGCTAGCACCGCAGAAAGATACACGTGCTGCTGGGGTCGATGCCTGGAAATTTAAGGTCACTTTCCTGCATCATTTTATTTCCGTACCACAATGCTCACGGCAGCCAGACACGGAATTCCCTCATGTTTCCGCCTGATGCCGATGTCACGACATACGATAGGCCTGCAAGTTCATCGGCGAATGCTCAGCCTGATGCTAAAGTCATTAAACACGCTAATACACGTCTGGAGGAACAGGATGCTACAGATCAACCCAAGAACTTATCTGCACCCTCCAGTCCAACTTACAGTCGTATCGAGGCTGCTATCAGCGGCACGCCTTGTATGTACATTCACCACGTTGCCGATACGCCGCTCACATACTTGCTAGATAGACCCAAGACCCCCCCTAACAATTTCTCTCTTGTGTCGCATGTACCGTCACCTTCTTCCGCGGAGATGGGGCCGTCCGCGATGAAGCAACTCATGACTTGGGGAACCCTAAATGCTACACCAAGGATACTACCACAGTCGGAGGATTCTACGGATCTAATACTTCCGCCAAATACCTTTCATATATCGGCGCCTTCAAATCGGGAAGCTCTCTCTCACAAGTTGTCAGCGACCGCAGCGAAGAGCCTCCGGGAAAAGGCCGGGTTACGTGGTGGATCAATTGGACGTACGCCGTTGGCTCATCCCGCTAGGGGAGGCATAAAAGCTGGTACAATGGCACCTCCGAATTGGACGCCGCGCAAGGCGGATGCCGCAGGTAATCTGACACCCGCTGCCAAGCGACTGCTGGATAGAACTACCGTGGGTACTGCAGCTACGCGACGAGCTGATGTCACGGGCAAGATGGCAGGGTCAGGTGGTAACAGTAGACGGAGAGAAGCGGATCTCCAGCACGTACGGTGGACCCCAACTCCAAGTTCTAATTCGCGGAGATGATATACGCTTAATGCCATTGCGTAACATGATGATGATGATGATGATGATGAGCAGGACTGCATGCAATTACTGAGGTACTGATACATGGGGAACATTATGATATCTTGCGACGCTTCATTTTTGGTTGATCGTCTCTGGCGATAACAGGATCTTGCTGTGGTAGGACTGGTGACTTGGGCTTTTTCTTCACAACGACTCCCTTCAGAGCTTTTTTCGTGTCTCTCTTGGGTGGGCCAATGGCAGACTTGTCCTTGTCCTTTCCGGTTGAATTATTTGCGGGCTTCGAAGACGGTGGGATGACGGGGGAAGGTTTGTTCATCGCGCTTTCTCTGGCCGCCACAGCTCTCCGAACGAAGTCAGCCTAGCGGCGAATTTAGGACAGAGAACAGGTTACTTTCTAAAATCTGATAATTCTGCTCCATCCTGAGCTTTGCGAAGGCGCTCTTCCTCTGCCTGTTTTTCCCGTATGGAGTCAAGGAACACAATTTCGTCCTCTTCCAAGGCTCGAAATTGGTTGCCTACCCTTCGGTGTTAAACTAAGGAAAACAACGGGAAACTTGGTACATAGTTACCTAGTTTCATTTTCTCTTCCCATTCTTCTTGCTTAGCCGCCTGCATGATGTGTCGTAGATACATTAGTGATACGAGGGGAATCAATGTACCTTATTAGCTGCCAATTTCTACGGTGACGGTGAGCAAAGAGGAGCTCCAAATGGAGTAGCAACACCACTCGCCTCAGCCAAGCTTCGGCCATCGAAGGAATCATCCGTGGGCTGCGGAGGTGGTTCTTGACCGAGTCTAGAAGACGACGTGCATGGAAGTAAGAGCAAGCTAAAGACGAGTAGTGCGCATGCTAGAAACCTTGCGTATGCGGCTCTCCACTGCTCCTCCCTTCTAGCCCTAGCAGCCTCGACGTCGGACTGAGAAACGAAGCGTGATGCAACCCCACTGACAGACACTGAAGGGACTCCTTCTTCCATGGTTCCTTGCTTAGTAGTGAACCAAGGTGATGTAGTATGAGGCGCAAGAGCGACTCGTCGTGGTAGTGGTAGACCTGGCGTCAGTCAGTCAGTAATGTACAGAACACTCTGGGCACACCGTACAGTGAAAGTGATGTGTTGCTTGGAGATTTGTTAGCACAAGACCGTAACAGCCAAATACATCAGCAAATGGAACTCAGGCTGGACTGTCCTGGGCAGCGCCTGATGATCCATAGTCACAGAGTTCCCAGGGTAGTCCATTCTGGACACCTCTGTACAGTGTGAGTTTCTGCCCAGCTTGCCATCAACTGCACTACATATATACCCAGAATACCAACTTTATGTCAATTCAGCTGTGAGTTTCTGTTGTTTCCTGTCTAGCTTGTCACAGACCACATGGGGTGTATGCACATATGTAGTACACTCCTTTCTCTTCTCAGTTCTCATCGCGATTGACTGATGTACATGGGGCTCTCGCCTATGCCATCCCAGGCCCTCACTCCTGCATTGAAAAATCTAAGCACTATCACAGATATGTGGATGTCATTAATGCGGAAAGGGGTAATGCTGACACTGAAGATGATGCTAGTTCATCACAAAATGGAAGTGCAATGAAATCATGGATATCATGCTCATAGGCAGGTGACTGGCATCTCGCTTGTCGTCTGTGTACATGAGATGTCTATACACTGTTCAAGACTTGAATGTCACTAGTATTATTTCTTCAAACACCCTAGTTGGCCCCTTGAAGTGTTCGTCCCTACGAGCATTTGAGACTCGCATTGAATCCCCGCTTAAGAGTGCCGGACAGTTCCTGCCGGAGTTTTCAAAATCCAAATGCTTAATGGTTCTTCGTCTGCTGTAGTCCTGTCGCTATTCTGGTATACTGCCGTCTTCTTCCTGTGCCCGCTCGCCTTATGAAGATTGTGTTGTCATCTGACACTGCCTGGAGGATTGAAGCCGCATCGCGTGATTAATCAAACCATGCTGGTGTATCTACTTTGTCAGCAAGCCCATGTACTAGGTCCCGATGACCACTGTCCAATCAACCGACAAGCCTGTCCCCCTTCGCCCGTCTTTTTCTCATTCACAGAGCTGGGGGCTCTCTTCTGCACCAATTCCCAGGGAAGTGGTCACCGCACCTCGTATGCTCACTACCACGGTCCAGTCGCGACTTTGTGAACTCACCCTTATTATGCAGCATGGGCAAACGAACCTCCGTCGCCAATCGAGCACGCCACAGACGGTGACCTTCACGGCTCTGTGAATTTTATGGTTCATCGATCTTCAACGTCTACATCTTCTCTTGGGAGATTAACCGGCCACGGAGTAGAGCGTCGTTCCCGGTGGTTCGCTTTCGCTCGTCCACATTTCGGGGGTACGACCAGTCCCCCACGATATGGAGCTGCCTCCTTTACCTGGGCAGCCCCGGGTTCCTCACACCACAATGGAAAAACCTCAGACGATGTTTCGCCCGGCTTCCCCGCGATCACGTCCCCTGAATCACATCGTGCCACGCCATCAAGCAGCCCAATGCTCAATACAAACCGGATACCACAAGTGGAGTCTCGATCGAACAGTCAAGGCGACTATTCTCAACTCGACAGGGGTTTGAATGCACGATGTGATGATGAGTCAGGGGTTGAGAGGTTGACAGCTAGCCGCTCAAAAAAGGGGATCAGAGCTTTCATACTTTACAAGCACATACGTCCCCTTAGTACGTGCCTCCGATTCATATCACATTGTCATGTTGACGATCATTCTAGCTCTTCAGATTCATCAATATTACCTTCACCACTGCCACATTGGCATTGGCAGTACATATCCGGGGGCTGGAGATGCGCTATGGAGTGAGGGGTGTACTTGGAAGCTCACCGTCAGTTCCCTCATCATTACGACGTACGGCTTCCGGTTGACGTGCATTCTGCAGGACACTTGTAATAATGTTTGCTCCCCTGACACTTGTTCATGTCATGGTAGCTGTATATGTAAGCGTCAGCAATATGCGTAGTGTGGTCGTGGTCTGACCTCGCGCTTTAGCTTGAGTACTTCGGCCGGCCACTTGGGTTATGGCGCACATCGGGGAAGCTCGCCCACACGCTTTGGGAAGTGTGCTTCATCTGCGCATGGTCTGCAGCCCTGTCCCTTTGCTTTGATAACTTCTTCACTTCCCCTATCCCCTGCGCGTCTGCCCAAAGTATTGCGTGGTACAGTCAACTACAGAGACCGACGTCCCAGGTTTCGGGTCTTAGCGCTGAAGAAGGAAGCATAGGAGACACTCTATGCGACAGTCAACTCGCATTGATCTTCTTTGTCGGCATTAGCCTCATCACGTACTGCATTAACCTTGTCATCAGTCTTTTTAGAATTTTCGAGAAGGTCAAATATCATGCAGGTATTCGCCCACGTACATCGTAACAGGCTCTTCATTGGGCGTAGTTTAACACTTTGTTTGAGTTATCTTACATACGTTGCTTGACTAACCTCGAAACTGTACAAAGTATTTTACGTAACTAGCGAACCACGCATGCGAATATTGTGAGCTTAGGCGTCTTACCGCCTGGCCAACGACAACGCTGTTGGATGACCCCAGTTCGCATGAGTATGGTGTCAGACGATAGTAACGGGACCAGGTCAAGGTCGGATTCCCGCACTCTCAAAGATTTTGCAACCAGCAATTATATCATTGGCATATGTCTCCTTCTCGTCGTCGTCATACTTTGGACTTTGTCCAACTTCGTAACACAGGTCTGCACCGTATTTCAACCGTACTGGAAGTATTGGCTAATTTTACCGCAGTACATGTTTGTTGGAGGCTATCAGAAGCCTTTCTTGTATGTACCGAGGCCCGCTTCATAGCCTCGTTCATATGATTTACTTCCAACCGTAGGATCACGTATACAAGCACATCTGCGTTTACTTGCTATCTCATCCCATTTTACCTCCGGCACCTACGGGGAAGATATAAGGACACCAGGTGGAACCGCCTCCTCCACCCCGAAATTGTTCACTGGTGCTAATCTGCCCTATCTGCGTGTCCGCAGTTATCAACCACTAGCGCAGGATATACCCAGCGAATCCCAATTCCAGTGTACCCTTCCAAATGCATTTTACATCGGCGCATATTCATTTGTGCACTAGGGCTTTCGGCGCTCTTATAATGAAACCTTGCGGCTTACCCCTCGGGAGACCGCTTGGCTAGCCCTGTATTTCTCCTTCCTCTGGTTCACCGCCAACTGGAGTCTCAATGCCGCCCTGGCATATACAAGTGTAGCAAGCGCGACCGTTTTATCCAGCATGAGTGGTGGGTACGCTGTTTATCGTCGTCCACAATTTGACCTAGAAGATGTGATAGGTATATTTACACTTGTAGTGGGCCGCGTATTCCATGTAGAGGCGGTAACTATAGTCAAGATTGGCGCGGTTCTGTTGAGGTATGGAGAACTGGCTTGTGAATGCATATACTAGATTTCACGATTTATGCTAGCTTCGGTGGGGTGGTTCTTGTCTCATTTTCTGACTCCCAGGATCCCGGACCATATTCGATGACCCGTCCGTTCTATCTGCTCCCAATCATAGGAGATATTCTTGCTCTGCTCTCAGCTCTTCTCTATGCGATGTATATGATATTCCTGAAAGTTAAGATTCGGGAGGAGTCACGGATAGACATGCAATTGTTTTTCGGCTTTGTTGGGCTCTTCAATATCTTCCTATGCTGGCCCAGTAGGGCTTTTACTCCACATCTTCGGGGTAGAACGTTTGGAACTTCCAAATACTCGTCAGGCGTTGGTCGCCATTATCGTCAACGTGGGTACTCAGTTCATAGGAAATCCACCATACTTACATCCCGCGACATAGATGTTCATTACACTCTCAAGCGACTACATCTACGTCATCGCTATGCTGAAAACCACACCCCTCGTAGTGACCATAGGCCTTAGCCTGACTATTCCGTTAGCAGTCACGGGCGATTTTTTCCTTGGCAAACCTGCTGCAGCCCAGGTCGTGATAGGAGCTCTCTTCGTACTTTTTGGGTTCATTGTAGTTGGCGTAGAGAACGCCAAAAAGGAATCGTGCGACTACCCCATCGAAAACTCAGAGGAGACAAGGCTGCGAGTACAAGTGCCTCCCTGACGGGAGCATTCGTACGTGGTGTGGAGCCACTGTTTCAGAACTGTAGGGCCCAAGTAACATGCGTAGTTTGTACCCCGAGCGCGTTGTTTTAGATACGCTGCTTGCTAGTAGTGCTCTGCGGAAAAGGCAATGACTCGGAGTGGGAAACAACGTTGAACGTTAACTGAACTATCAGTGACCTCAGACCAATGGTACTAATGCGCCAGACTCATGATCAATCGCCCCCTTGCTAACTTACTTGAAGCCTAAAGAACGCAGAACGCGCGTTACGCCGCATCGACTTGCTAAGAACCCATTCGCCGTCCCAGATGCTTCAGATGAAGGAGATGCCTCTGCATCGGTATAGTCTGATTCTTGTGCTCCCGGACACAAATGGGTAACCTCACTGCAGGGCCACGAAATTCTGGAGGCCCCCGCAAGGGCACTGCCGGGTCTGAGCAAAAAAGAGAAGCAGCGGTGTAAGCATGAAGCTTTCATTGACAGTTCGTCCATGATCCTTGGTTTTGGGTTCAGGATGCTGATGGACAATTTAGAGCTTGTATCCTCTGTGTCACCATATTCAAAAGCACAGCGGCGACGTTTCAACAAGAAAACGCGTGAACAAATTGGTGGTGGAATGGCCGACATGGGTCTCGCCTTATCTGCTTTACAAGAGAAAGATCCCTCTCTTCAATCTGCCAAGGGGCCTGAAACCGTTGCACCGTCGTCAATGGCAAGGCAGACGGCGACTAGTCGAATAGGCAAGGGCAAGGGGGTTCCCCTGACCAAGGCCCAAAGAAAGCGCACTCTGTAAGTCTGATAAATGCTACCCTACTTAGGATCCCTTGTTGAGAAACTCGCCTTAGGGAAATTGAAAGCCTTCGACACCCACTCGTTCTTTCAGATCCCCGATTTGCGGATAACCCCTTTGAAACCATTCGCATCCATGCGCGGAACACGCTCGAAAAAAAAAGTACTTGAGTGACCTGTTTCTCAACATTCCATTCGACCACTTGGGGCACATTTAGTATAGACATGTAGTACAATATAGTTTTAAAAAACATATGCACGTCCAATAACACCCATGCACTGTGACTGTCATGGTTCGGGGTCGTCTCCAGCTCTACTCATGCCAGCGCTCCAGACGGTGCTACCGCTTCCGCCACCCCCACTCATCTTACTTCTGCGGCTTCTCCATTCGTCACTGAGATTTTTCGGAGAGATCTCTGTGAACCCTCCTGTACCTCCCTTCGCAATTTCCTCGCTTAGGCTACGTTCGTGAGCATCGAGTGCTGCGAGCGTGTTTTCTGCCTCTGCCTGTTCCAAAGCTTCCCGTGTTAGCTCGGTCCCGCCATCTATGGAGACGTCAGGAGTATGTGTTGTAGCGCTTTGGGAAGTAGCTGGGCTGTCTGTAGGACTGCCAGAGTTACCAGTCGATCGTGATCTAAATATCGAGAAACGACTGAAAGGTGTCGCGGTTGGTGGCGGGCTTAACGGGGAGGAGTAGCTTTTCTGCATTGGCACTGCGGTAGGAATGTCGCGACCGACGGATGAAGAATCAGGTTTCTCAATTCCCAACAGTTTCATTGTTGCACGGAGGCGCTCTCGTTCCCTTCGGTCCTCCTCATCTTCGTAAGTTTCTAGCTTCCGCGCACTAGTAACGGACGCAGTTCCGGATTTCAGGGTCAGTGGCCGTAGAACCGGGTTCTCCGCCTTTTTCTCTCCTCCAAACATGGAAAAACCCCTCCAGTCGAAGGATAATGACCGTCGTTGTGCTTTCGTCGTATTAGAGGGCGTAGACGTAGAAGCATCTACATTACTCGAAAGAGCCGGCGTAGGAGTTGGCTCCTGGAGACTTGCAACTACAGAACTGGATACCGTGTGACCAAAGATCATCGATTGAGGTCGACGGTTAGAGCCCTTCGCGACTGGAGGGGCGGCGTTAAGGACAGGGGGGAAATTTGGGGGGAGCGTGGCAGCAGATGGCGTCTTCTGACCTTTTTCGTAGTCAACTGCGAGCACACGCTCGAAACCCTCCTCCGCAATAATTCGATCGATGATTTTAGATGCGTACAAAGACAGTGCCTTGTTGGCATCCTTCAGAGACTTTACTTCCATGCGAAGTGCGTCAATATCACTGGAGGTCGTAACTGGATCTTGACTTTCTGATGAGGAAATGTGCCCTGGCTCCGTGGAGCCTTTCCACCTTCGTCCCTTACTGAGGCCAGCCCGTTCGTCGATCGAAGTCCCCAGTTCGATCCCTTTGTTCTCAGCACGCCCCAACTCTGCAGCAAGATCAAGGCCTGGCCCAGCCACAGGTAGGTCAGCTAAGGACTCGCCACGGGGAACGCGGCCAGGTGAACGAGACACAGAACCATTCTTGCGATTGTGGCGAGGATGGCGACGCCTCGAATCGACCATTTGTCGGTCGCTGTTGAAATTCGGATGCGCAACACCTTCGCCTTCCTCAGCAATCTCTTCGACTACGTCTAATGCACTCCGTCCGGCACTCCGCAGACTACCCATGTCATCCTCGCTCGCAAGGTCGTCGTCCTCGAAGCCGGAGGTCGTGCTAAGAGTGCCACCAACTTGTCTCATGAGGTCGAATTGCCCACTCAATGTCCTTTCCCTTAAGAGAATCATATAACTCTCGTTCTCCTCCTGCAGCTGGTTGTTTACACGTTTGAGGTCCACCAACTGCGATTGCAAAAGCTGGAGAGTACTTTGCAGAGAGGAATAGGACGTCGACAGCGTAGATAATTCCAAACGAAGAGCCGTCATCTCCGCTGGTTCGCACTCGGGGTCATCTACGTCTTGCTTTCGAGCGAAAACGGACTCAGAAGAATTGCCGGGTAAGACCGTTTCCTCCGTGGTCACATCCAGTTCCGCATCCACGGTCCGGGAAGATTCCTGATTGCTTACGAGCCTGAGTAAGTGACTGTATCCGAGACTTGAGGTGTTGTTCATTGTCGTAGAAGGCTTGGCGCTCGGCATCGAACGTAGACATCTGGGGAGATTGTTATAGATGAATATCAGCCAACATTAAACAGTTACCTGTTCGTTATAGCGTCTCTGAAGGTCACGTTTCTCTTTCTCGAGGTCCCGGGTTTGTGATCTCAGTTTGTCGATAACTTCGATACGAGCTGCCAATTCCTCCTCCATGCGAGCTTGATCGGTATATAATTCGCTAAGCCTGGATTCAGCAGCGTTAAGGGAAGACATGAGGCTATCGTTCTCGCTTGTGAGGCTGCCAATGGTCTGATCCTTATTTTGCAATTGAATCATTAACTAGACAACAGTTAGGCGAGGCATGGGATTCTACGTAAGGCCGACAGACCTGTTCCTTCTTCTCAGTCTCCTGCCTGAGGGAAGTAGAGAGAATGTCTCTTGACTCATGTACTGAGCCTAGTGAACTGGAGGGACTCTTCACAGAAGGGTGGCGTGAAACACCAGAATTCGTCGAGGTAGTGCCACGAGCAGTGGCCAACGCTGCACGAGCGGATGAGGCATTCCTCATTACGGCCGCTGAGGGAGGCGAGACACTGTGAGAGGTCCTCCGAGAAGGGGGAGGTGTCGCTCTAGACGAAGCCGAGGTAGCCATGTGGGTGAGATTGTAGGACAAGGAGGGTAGTACGTCGTGTCAGGTCTTGGTAGATGCACCTTTATCGATGCGACATAGAAAACCTGGGTGTATCTGTGCAAGACAAACTGTAGGATAGTCACCGAACGATTTGTCTGATGGACAGCGGCCATGAGCCTGTCCACAGTCCATGAGGTAAGCAAGAACGACATCGACCAGACACCACCCGGCCAGAATACATTGAACATACATTAATGAACGTGTCCCTCAGTGAAACTTCCCTCTGAAACACTCCAGCATGCATGTATTTTGCTTTTCGTATACTATGAGCTGCTTTAACTCATATCTTCCAGTTGCTTACCACCGTCAGGTGTCACGGTAGGGAACCGCTATTTCGGAAAACTAGACGCGTTTGACTCCCGCCCTCCTAGCGACTCCAATCGCTATTTCTCTATTCGATGACCATCCTCCAATCAGTCGTGGAGACGTCGTCGAGATTCAAGGGCCTGCCTCATCTGGAAAAACCCACCTTCTCTATCACTTGTTGCTCGCTTGTATCTTGCCTCTGGCTAGGTCAAGTCATACATCGTCGTCCTTTATGGCTCAGCGGACATCTGCCGTTGTATATGACTTGGATTTTTCTTTCGATGTCTTGCGGTTTCATCGTCTGCTGGCGAGGCGGATCTCCTGTCTGTTCCCTATGTTGGACACCACCGAGCATGCTGAACTCGTACAGGCATCCCTGCGACGTCTACACATTTTCCGACCAAGATCCCAATCACAGCTGGCCGCTTCCATCAAGTACCTTGCTTCAGTATCATGCGTCTTGTATGCCAGAAAATGAAATCGGATTCCTTGCTATAGATTCCGTTAGCACTTTCTATTGGCCAGAACGCTTCCGAGAGGAGCAAATGCACCACTTCGTACCCGAAAAAGCGAGGGGCAGATCAGACACTGCTATGCAACATCCTGGGTGCACTTAGCGATGTTATCCAATTATACGGTCCTGTCGTTGTTCTCACTAATTGGGCCCTCCATGCCGTGGTTCAAGTCCATCATTCAGCAGCGCTTTACAAACAACATCTTCGCCATTTCCCATTGCTACATAACATGACGTCTTTTGGTGCTAGGACTGCCCCAGAGAGCTCTGATACGAATATATTATCGCATCCAATAGCCCTTGCGCATCATATATCGTTATCGTGCCCCGCCGCCTCCCTTCCTGGTGCTCAAAGAAGTTTTGTTGCAGGACAGGACCTTCGGAATAGTGAAGGAACTATGGAAAAGGGGCACAGTGTGGTTGGCTCGATAGCATCTTCGTTAGCTCAGGGAAGCAGACCCTTCGAATTCTTGATCACTGGTGACGATCTCACACAGAAGTTGTAAGCAGACCCCTGAAAGGGATGTGTTAAGAATACTGTATTTTACTGTGTTATATGATACATGCGACTGATGGATACAGGACAACAGGCACATTACGGCCATTACTAGGGTATGTAAAATGTTCCCGCGGAAATGCAAAAGTGCTGCTTGCAATGAAAGAATTAAGGTAAAACTAATAATTATACCAAATATTAGGTCGTCCATGATCTTAATCAAGGGATGCATAAATTTCGTCCAGCCGTGCCTTGTGGAATTCTTCCACCGCTTTCCGTCTAACATTGCCCTTCGTCGACGTTCTAGGAAGGGACTTGGGCGGGACAATGATGATGAGCTCTTTGCGTGTGATGCGTTCGTGAAGGTAGCGCCTTGAGTGGAAGGCACGTGTCTTCCGAAGGACTTCCCTCTGTAGTCTCTCGTGATCGACCCCTGGTGCAGGTTCGATGAACAGGGCTGGAGACGGCCTGCCCGTCCCGACAACAATGCACTCTCCGATCAAATCACCGCAGGTACTGCGGACATTATCTTCTATGGCTCTATACCGAGGAATCAGTAAGCATAAGTAGGGCCGCAATGACTGTAATACATACTTAGTATCACAACGGAGACTGTTCTCGCTTTTGATCCAATCATCGTTACGCCCGCGAAAGACGTACATCCCAGGTGTCGTCTCTTGGAACAAGTCACCAGTGTGAAAATGACCATCGTTGCCCCGTAGAGACAAATCGGGGCAATCACTGGAGCCAGCAAGGACGACGAGTTCCAGGAATTGGACAGAGGATTGGTGGGTGCCCTCAGCACCGTGATCACGGTCGATGGGAACAAACCCGTATGAGGTACCGGGCAAGGGGCGCAGGAATCGAGCATTTCGGCTTGTGCCACCAACGGAAAGTAGCGTAGCTCCACATTCCGTGCTGCCAAAAAGGTTCTAAATCCCATTAATTCCAGTTTACGTGATATTTTGAGAGGGAAGACATACCTTCATCTTCAGCCCGTTTTTGTATGCCCAGTCTTCGTCATCTCGATCCAGGGGCAAACCACTGTAAAGGACCTCGTCTAAATGCTGAAGGGCGTGCAGCAATTTCGGATTCTGCCGTGAATTGCGAAGGTGGGTAGATAAGAAGGTTGAAAATTGGTTCAAGCGATTGAGTCCACAACGCTGGATCATATCTAGGAGCTCTTCTGATGAGAACCCCGGTCTGGTTGTTTGAACCGTGCAAGTTCCGTGTTGGAGTGAACCGATCAGCACTATCGGATAACTGGTCAATAATGTTGTTGCCAAGGATGATTCTCTTACGTACTAAAGTTTTGTCCGATGTGACACATGCTTCCACTAGGAGAGAGTTAGTGGCGACGCAGGTAGAAATCGGAGGATAACTTACATGGACACGGTTACGTCCTGGCGTTGTGGATCTTGCGGGGCGGTTGTGAATCTAGCTTTATCCACGATGCTGTGCAACCACCGCTGGTTGCATGGCACGAGTTTCGGGCGTCCAGACGTAGATCCGCTAGTATGGAAAATGAACACCAAGTCATCGCCTTTCGCAGAGGAAGCGAGTGGCAGGCAATACGGCGCTGGTCATACTCATGTTGGTCTTGTGCACAGCAGGGTGCACGGGAAGGGAGAAAGAAGCGGTCAATGCCGCAAATTCGGAAGCAAATATCAAAGCCCTGGCGTTTGCTTCACAGAGTAATTCGTGGACAACGTCAGGATTTGGTAGTCGGATGCTGAACAATTGGGGCACATAGCCGGCCCTGGAGATACCATAAATGTGAAGAACATCCTGGTAATCCATGCCAGAGAGCCTGAGTTGTGTGAGAGCAGGCTTCGCCCCGAGGAAACATACGACGTACCATAGTCCAATCACCGAACGATGGGGGATGCCCTGAGTACGGAGGACGCCACACCAGTAGCGTGCAGTGACTTCGACATCTTCCTTGAACTGCCGATAGGATATTGGTAGCCAATCGTGCACTCTCCTAGTCATTGGATCCGATACGGGCACTCTGAAGGCCAAAGCGGAGGGGTAGAGCGCGGCACTCTGCTCAAGTACCGTAAGATGGGACTGGTAGGACTCCATGGGAGGTTGGCGGAATGTTGGAGAACACAGGAGGAGTCAGAGGGTCCCTTTATACGAAAGCTGCACCGAGGGAACATCCACGCGAGCGCGGCGGAACGGGCACGGTGACGATGATGCGTGACGTTTGGAATTTCTCGAGCCGGAATAGCCCCCGCGACGGTGATGTAGCCGGATTGAAACATACCCCAGGCACTGCAGTGTGGTTTAAGTGCAAGATCTGTGATGGGTACTTGGCGCCGGGGTTACAAGATCGACTTGATTTGGGATGATTTATGTATACAGGAACGGCAGCATTCCCGTGAAAGAGGGAGGGCTATTGCTGTAGAAAGAGCTGGGTATTGGATGCGATATTGAGCACTATTGATCGATGCGAATATGAATTTAGTCAGAGTAAACGTCCAATATTTCCTGCTGCCACCCATCACACGAAAAAAAAAAAAAAAAAAAGATTACTCACCGGATAGTTGGGCGGGGACAGGACTTGATCTCCGTCACCAGCGGAATGAGTCCGTCCGTGTACTACGTGCTCTGCCCAGTATAAACCACGTGTACGACCACTGGGCGTTTATCAGTAGATGTCATCGACGGGCACGGGCAACGCGAAATGGTAGGACCTACTAGTTGCACCGCCTGTACGGTAAGACCCATCTACATAGTTACAATCCCACTGCAACCCTGATGCGATGGCCCGGCCGACGCCATCGTGATTAAGTACATTACTCACCACCCACTACATCGCTCCTCGACTGAAGACTGCTCGGTGGTAGAAAGCTTGCCGTGGCTGGGGCATACGAACGGATGGCGCCGCTGTTCACTTCATTTCAGGAGATGGCTATCCTTAAACAGAAGGGAACGTTGTATTGCTAGGTAGATACGTATCGTCGGTTGTATGGCGCCCGAAATCTGGGAGCAAACACCCCGACCTGTCCGCCCCTTAGTGCCAATGAGGATGGGGCTCTGCCAGGGCAGGAAGACAAAGGATTTCTGTGTAACGTTGACGAAAAGCCAGGACCGAGGCGACAGGATCAATGCCGGTGAAAACGAGCACAGCACTGATGCACGCAATGGGTGGTCCGACGAAATCGATTTGCCATGGTAGTAAATTGGCCCTTCCTGCAATGCATAAACAACGGAGTCCGCTGCCCGGCGAGTCACTGAGATAGTATATCAACCTTCCAACGCCCCTGTTGTCTTACGTTTCGGGGCCGACGGATCCCGTTCAGATAAGCGGCAAAGCCAAAAAATATCGTGGAGATATTGTACATTGACTCGTGTACTACCACTGCCATTGCAACCTTTTCCACACCCGGTGACCCGTTGGCCACGTCCACGGAACATGGGATGGTGATTCCTGTAGTGAGTTCAACGTTCTCATCTGGCGACCACTCACCATACGTAACGCTTCTTTCTTCGAGATAATACTCGATTTGGGTCACTTTGCATAGGTCAATCTGGTGTGAATGTCAACGTTCGAATCCATTACGTAGCTCCCCCGTGCTTAGGCCTTCTTGGTGTGAAACTGCTACCTGATCTGCTTGATTCACCTGAAACGAGTCACTGAGTCGTCTCGTTCTGTTGGTGACTACGGGCCTCCAAGACGCCTGGCACTGGATGAGCTTTCCATTTCACCTGGAACGTTCGTTTCTTAAGAGACACGTTCACGGGCCGGTCACAGCACCACATGGTGCTGTGTACTAGTAGCTTTCTCGGTTGCAAGGTCAGGGAGTCGAACGCTGAACGTTTTAGTGAACACCACTGCAAGGGACGACAACGCTAGTAGATTTGTGGTTCATAGCCTATCGCTGACCAGACCATATCCGAGAGACATACTTTTCCGTCTGAATCGGTGTCGCCAACTGTACATACTTGCGAACAGTGGTAGCCTACTACATAGCAAAGCTCGAAGAATTGATCCGGGCATTGCCGAGCCGTGGTGCGTTGCAGACGGATAGCTATAGTCACTCGGCTTCCGAGTCGTACTGCAACACACTACTTGGTTGCCGGATCACCACTATACTGTCCGTCTCCCTGCACAGGTACGCTGGTATTCTGGAAACCGTCCTCGAGTCAATCGGACCAATAGAAAGTTTTTTTTAATGCCGTGTAGGTTCATCAAACCACCACGGTGGACGTGACAGCCACACCAATTCTGGCTGTCCATGCTAAGGGGAGCTGGCCGCATTCGCAGGCAGCACATCAAGCAGGCCTTCCTGAGCATCGAAAAAGAGCAAAAGCACCGCGGACAGGTCCTGACGTTTCTGCCATCCTATTCCTGCATTCATCTACCATGCATTTCACGAATGCCTCAAGCACTTGCTGTCCACTCCCGGTGCATTCTAGAAGGCAATCCGGCCACCCACACCTGCATGGCGCCTTCCAGTGTGCACGTATCTGTCGCCACACGCCGTCCTTCCGTCCCAAGTACGTGCACTTCACGAAGGCTCAGCGCGGATTGCGGCCGCTACCCCTCGGGAATAATAGCTATGGTCGATGCATTCACGTGTGGGACCGACGAGCAAAGAAAACGCATTTTGCACGATATCCAAGAATGTCCAGCTACCCGCGCGTACTTCGTTCACAGAGAAACGTGTGGACAATTAGCTCAGGCCATGGCATTGACGACGCTGCCGTGCAGAGCAAACTCTGTCTTGACCATTGCACACAAGTTAGGCTGTCGTTTCAAGCACAGTCACTTCGAGAGCGTAACATATCAATTGTCGCTCAGGGAGCATTGGTCCTCTGTGCCCTCTCTTGTCTCGTTAGCAAGGCATCACTGTGGTCGAACGACAGCTCGCCTTCTGAACTGGAAAATGAGGGCATTTATAGAATGCCACCGTTTCGACCAGTTAAACTATGTCATGATGGAGTTTACTCGAGACAACATCAAGCCGATCCGCAGAACATTCCATCTACTCCTGTCCGCGCATCTTCGCAACCAAGACCTCGATGCAGCCAAAGGGGTCATACGGATGATGGAGAACGCTGGGTTTCCTGTAGATGCCTCTACGCACGCACTCATTTCCACCGTCTATCGATCCCTTGGCCTAGACACTCAAGTTCACGCTCGAGCACTCGATTCCCTACCCAGTATCGACTCCCGGACTGCTACCCGTGTCCTCAACAGTATCGTACAACATTTTCTCGACGTTGGAGACGAATTAGGCGCGGCCCAGTATATCAAATACTTCAGTCTGATCGGGGTCGATGTCTCGTCACCTTTTGGAAACAATATCACAGAGGTCGTCGGCGCCCATCTCTCGACGCGACATCATACAGATCCTAGCCAACATAATCCGTATCACCCCAGATGCTGCTACCTTCACCATGCTGATAGACTACTTGGCGAACAAACGCTGCTTCTCTCAGGTCCACAGCTTATTACCCCGCCTGGTCGAAGCTGGCGTCAGGCCCGACTCTGGCATTGTCGCTTCCCTCATTCGTGCATCCATCCTCAACTGCCGTGATGACTTGGCTGTGAGCTTGCTCAGCTCTATGCTCCATTCTAACGTTCTTGCACGTGCACTATGCGATCTTATGGGTGTGAAATCGGTTCCTCAGCCGCCTATCGACGCAAGGGATGTCCCTTTGGCAGTGCACGTCTTTAATGCTATTCTAAGGCGAGCCATGGAGCTCCGTGGTCCTTAGTGGAGCGAGGTTTATCTTCCGTGTCATGCGTGCCAGGGGCATCATGCCAAGCCCAACCACTATCGAGATATTCCTCGATTGCCTGGATCGCACGGAGCATGCTACACCCCGCCAACTCATCCGAAGTCCTCCGTAGTATGTCCCACATCTTTAAGTGGACTAACGCTTCGGCATCTCCATATCATCCTACGAAGCATCTTGCGGCGGGAAAAGTACCTTTTTCATGGGAGTGGCTGGAACTCTACTGCTTCCAAGTTCTCTCCGATACGGGAAGGCACATCCGCTCTTCCACAGGGCCGTATCCTTCTTGACAGTCATACTTTCAATATCGATAGGGGTGCTAACTCATGCCGGCAATTCACGTACGACTCCTGGCTGCGGCCCATTGTCATTTCACTTTCCCGTAGGAGGGTCAGAGGTGATCGGGCTACGATCGCGATGCGCCTCAGGCACGAGAGTATGCTGGATCCTAGTCTCGATACTGCTAGAGATGTTCTCCGACACATGGTCGACCAGGGAATGCATCCGAACCAGTACCACTATGCTGCTCTCATGGACGGATACGCCAAAGGTGGGAACATACGAGTCGCGGAGCAGATCATGCGGGCCGCCAAGGACGCAGGCTTCAAACCAGAGGTGGTCATGTACACAGTACTTATTGCTGGTTACGGCCGGCAAGGTAAGCCCGAGCTAGCTATGGGGGCGTTCCGTCGCATGATATCTGCCGGTATTGCGCCTGACGTCCCGGCGATCGATGCCCTGGCGCATGCCTACTTTGCTGTCGGAGCTTACAAGGTCGCGAGGCGCGTTCTCTTGCAATTATGGACTGCAGGTCAAGCCATTTCAGCACGAGTTACAGGGTGCTACTTTGAAACAGTTGGCAACAGCCTTTCGCACGGATCGTGGAGATCGAGGGGCTCAAAGACAGTCTCTAACTAAGCACCAACAGAGGCTACTCAATTGCAAAATCCGAGGATTTCAGCGAGAGTGGAGGCAGCTGGAATTACTGCGGGGGCCACAGTCTCTTTCCCGCCGTTTGAATGGATGTCGGGAGTGGCTACTCGACCATTCATGTTACAACTTAGTGAAACACCGCACGTGATTGTATGTCCTAAAGTTCATAATAACGAACGTCCAGGGAACCGCCCTATGATCGTGCATGTGCGAATTTGGAGTCTAGCAGCCGAAGCGCTTCCCTCACTCCGTCTGCATTCACTTCACGCATCCTTCTACGGCCACACTCAATCAGAACGTCCTGAGGTACAAGTCGTGGTGGCGAGCCGTGTTCCTGGTGGAATCGCTCATTGGGATCCTGTGAGTAGTATAGACTGGCTGCCTTCATCCTCGCTTCCGTCATGCTGAGGTCCAGCCACACGTTCTGGAGTGATGGATCCCGGAGCAGGAGATATGACAACGCGAGATCCTGTACACTTCGACCTACGTGCTACCACTTCGGCCAAGAGCGTCAAATCCGCGAAAGCGACGTTAGGATGTGATTTAAGTTGACGCCATGCATCATCCGTTGGTATGATCTCGGGATGGCGCGAAGAGTTGGCCGAGGAAATGATGGGTGCGATTCCGCAAGAACCGCATTTACTGACATCCCCACAACATTCGCCCACCAAGATTTTATCGGAATGATTAGTTCGCCGGGGACAATCAATGCATGGTGCGGATGACGCAATGGAGTGGCTGATGGCTTCACAGAACGCTTTTCCGAAGGTATCGTCTGCACATGCCATACAATTATCGGGGTCACCAGAACACCTAAGGATAGTCGTGGATGGTGACGATGGCAGCGGGATGACCGGGAAAACCGGGTTAGTGTTGGATCCGCCTGACTTCCGTCGAAGTGGCACGGGCGCTTGGTAAGGGGGTAGGTTGTCAAGTATGCTTAGATGAGCAGCAGCATCTAGAGGTACGGGTTGGCTCAAGGAAGAGAGAATTGACGGCGGGTTGAGTTTATCGGGGGACGATTCCAGGGCAGAGGTGCTAACGGGAGCTCCGTTTGTGGCCTGTTGAAAAGCGATCTCTTGACAAAGGCAAGGGGCGTCCGGGCTACATAGGATGCACGGGAAGGAGTCGACGGTGCTTGATACAGTAGTTGCTGCATAAGTAAGCCCATCATCAGCTGGAGGAGCAGGCGTTGGGAAGTGCGGTGAAAGCGCCTCGCGGGCAGAAGAAAAATCGGTGCCTTGGAGGGTGGATTCAAGCGACGACGGTACCGCAGCGGATGAGGATGTAGCGAAAGGTAGAGTTTGTGGGTTGTCCCCCGCTTTAGCCCTTTTCCTCTGGGATTCATTCGAGGAATCGTCATAAGGCCCTGCAGCAGAATCACCCCTAGGTCGTTTTTTATCCAGCTCGACTTTCTCCTCCAGCTGTTGCTCCAGCCTTGCAATCTTCTCCTCGAGGATAAGATTCTCCTTGCGTAGCTGCTCATTTTCCTCCTTCATTTTCTTCGCTACGTTTTGTAATGCAACATTGCGTTCTATTTCTCCTTGTTCATAGGAGTGTAGACGAGCCTGGAGTTCGGCAAGTTGTGACTGCTTACGCTCACGGAAAGCACGCTGTGCAGCTCTATCAAGTGGTACAAGCTCAGCAATCCTTGGAAATGCTCCTGATGACTACGTGGTGCCTACCTATTCTGTACACGCCTACCCGAGGAATCGTCGCCCTGGAGGAATCAACAATAACGGTTGAATATCTGAACAAGACCGATATTTAACCCATGGGGGCTGACCTCCTCTCTGATGACTGGGACATTGCTGAGAGATTCTTTCTTTGGCTTCCGCCCCGGTTTCGGTTTCGCTGGGATTGTCCATTCCTTCGAGGCTGCGTTATCACGAGGGTGAGTCATTCTTTTGGAGAGTGAGACAGAACCTACGCGTGGCCCACAATATTGCAGAGGACGTGGATGGAACCTTGGATGTTGAAGCTGAAGGACCGATAGGCATCATGGTCTGCAAGTATCCGCACTAGTACTGACGGTGGTATGTAGCCGTTGGTGGGAGACCGTGGCCAGAGCCGACGACAAGTCTCCCACAGCACGACGACAGCCTTCGCACAGGGGTCAAACCGGTGACCAGCGACACTAGGGAGTTTCCAAGAAAACGATTTCCGGCCTACAGTATAACCAGTACTAGTGTACTCTGGTTCATTCTGCCACCTCCTCAATCTGTTCAATGACTTCGTCAATCCACTCCTCGATTTCCTCCTTCTCTTCTGCGTGCCTATCACCATCCACCCTTTGACCCCTGCTCCGCTTCTCATCAACGAGATCGCGTTTGCACCGCACTCGCCATGCATTCCATTCGTCCACAAGGCGCTTACGGAGAGCGATGAGTTCAGCGCTGACATTGCTTTCCTCTGCTGCGTCGTCTTCGTCGAATGTGCGGCTGTATTCCTTGAGGTTGCGGCGTATCTGACGCTGCTGCTCCTTCGTCAGTAGTGTCGGGGGGCGGGGTCGCCAGATAAATTGCTTGAAGCGGTCCAAAATGTGTTTTTCGATCACTTGGCCACGGAAATCCCAGATCGCGTAGCCGTTTTCGAGCTTCGAGTATTGCAAACGTCAACAAGTGTCATATCATGAAGTGGTGGTGACTTACAGTATGCCGCCAAGCGCTCGCACTGGTTGCAAGATAACGACCACTGGGGTCCCATTCTACATCAGTGACCCCATAATGATCTGCAGAGCCAACGTGTTGAATGCCGCTGCCCCATTCAGCCGCCTGTCCCTCCCTACGATCTTCATTGTTGAAGTCCAAATCCCAGAACTCTAGCTCGGATTTGGTCGACGACCCAACCGTTGCAAGGACAACATGTCGCCCACGTGGTGACCAACGAATGGTGTTGCTTGTGCGTGATGCGAGGGTACCTATTCACCATGACTAACTGAGTCATTCAGTGTCTGGTAGGGTACGCACGCAATAACCTGAAGTCATTCTTGCCTCGATCGAGCTGGTAGAAGCTAATGTCAGTTTTGATCGTGATGCCGGGAGCGGGATTTCCTAGGTTGGGGTCATTGCTTGAGACGATAGCAAAACGCTCTCCTTTAGGTTCCCATGAGAAATCGGTGACGGTGTCTAATAATCGGTCAGAAACCCCTACAGGCTGCAGCTTCTCTCAACTGACCCTTTAGCTCCACTACTTCAACTGGGAAGTCCTTCTCGCGTATTCGGAAAATCTCCAGACTGCACAGGATCGACTTCTTGGTTTTCGTATGGCGGTCCACTTTGACGCACAAGAAGTCGCCCTGATTCTGCCAATATAGTTTGCACTAGTGAAAACAATCCCATATTTTGTGACTTTAACATTCAACTTCAAAAAACGGGAACCATTCTAACCTCGGTAACGTTGAAAAGGTTCTTCTGGCGCAGAATCCTGCGGCTTGGGAACTCCAGCAGCGTGACTCGAGCAGGCTGATTGGCAACCTCTGGAGTCCAGTACGCCAGCATATTTTCCTTGGCCTTCTTCGGAGTTTTGCCGCTTTTGACAGCCTTCTCGGCTTCGTCCCTGTCCTTTTCACCATGAGGACACCATTCAAAGTCAATAACGCCCTCGATCTTTATGCTCTTTTTGTCGTGCAAGCCCATACTTGGCAGCTCATAAACGCTAATCTGCTGGCCCGGTGTTACCCGGGCGACAAATTTGTCGTCTAGGCTCCATTTGAGTGCCGGCCATTGCATTTGCTTTTTCATCGACGAATCCTCGCCTTCAATCAAAGAAGTGGGAAACGTCCGGAGGAGGTGGCCAGATTTAATGTCCCAGACCGCGATATTATTGCCTTCATCTTCAGGGGAAAAAAACTCAGGTCCTTGGGGAAGGTTTGGAGGCACAGTTATGGGATCATGAGACCACGTAACAAGGTATTGCTCGCAGGGTGAAAAGTCCATCAACTTTACCAATGGATGGGCAAAGCGTTGCTGGGGCTCCCATGATGGACCACCCCACAGCCGGACACCTTGGCGAAAAAGTGTTGCGAAATATGTTCCCATAGGTGACCAGGAAACGTAAAGTTCAGTCCAGTTCTGCTCTATCATGAGCAACAATACAGAATTGACAAAGTGACCGTGCCTTTTTGGAATAAGCCACCTCACATTGCGATGCTTTTCCGTGCCAATGTATCTCGACGTCGTCGCCACGATAAGTGACATACTGATCTCGACCCAGTGGGTCGGCAAGCCAGGCTTTCAAGTGTTCCTGCGGCATGTAAACAGGTTGCTCGAGAATAGAGCGTGATGGCCAACCTTTGGGCGGTATTCCTCAACCTTTGGCTCGATGTACATTTCGTCCATACTTGCAAATTGTTCTATGTCCGTAAATTTGTTCACGTAGAAAGTATGTCTGGCATCAAACGGATGCCCATTCATTGCATTGGCCGCGTGAGTGGCGGCATCTGCACTACCGAGGTCCATGAATATGAACCTAGAACAGGCGTTCGGTGCGAAGGAGAATAGAAGTTGAGAAGGTTTGCATACCCCTTGCTTTTTCCTGTGAAATCGTCCCATGGTACGAAAATATTATCTGGTTTGACCGCAGCCCCTTTCTTAGTAAATTCTTTGGAGATCTTCGCAACTAGCTTCTCTAATTTGGACTTATCGATCACTGGTACACCATCTACAACGATGAGATTATCAAGGTTGTCGTCCAAGTCAACACGGTATCTGCGGCCATAATATCATCAATATCTCTTCTTTGAAGGGTTATCAGCAGCTCACTTTGCCTCGATATCCGAGAAATCCAGTTCTGCTTCTATCTCATCGTACAAACCACTGTTTGGTACGGCCATGTTGCCTTGCTCAGCGCGCCCCTTGCAAGAGTAGAAAATTTTGGCTACTACTAACGATTAGGACGGAGCTCAAACGCTTGGTCGGTGAGATCACGTGACTCGCGCGGGACCGCACGATAAGTCGATTGAAGACAAGAGGAAACAACATGCACCTTTGTGCTCGGCCATATTACATGGCTGCCCCGCTCCTACGACATTCCACAATACGCCGCTGTTTGTTTCCAAAATGTTACAAAAAGTTTCTGTCCCAGGCGGTACTGGCTTCACCATCCGCATCCACTGGTCAATGCGGGGATGTCCAGCCAAATAACAGCGCGGCTCGCGTGACGCGACAACAGGAGGCCACACAGCCGGACACCCTTGCGAATAAAAGTTTCCTGGATCTCACAAAGGTCGAGAATTATCTTACATCCATTCGGTCCAGCGGTTCGCAGCCAACGATAGAGGACATAGAGGGCTTCCGGCCTTCTAGGCACTCACGTCCTGGTACGAAGAAGTACGCAAACGAATACCGCGACCTTCTTGGCACACTTTGTCGAGCGTTCAGCAAGGACCAGCTCCGCCACTTCACGGAACTGTATAAACTTGATCCGTGGTGGTCTCGTGCGAAGCGGAGGAAGGCGGAGTATGCGGAATCTATCATTGAACGGGTTTGGGGCTGGCCGTCGCTAAAGGAATTAGAAGAAAGGCGCGTAGACAGGACGGAGGTAATATCTAAGAGTTCGTTTCCGTCGGTATTTTTCTTGTCTGCCTCATTTAATGTCGCATGCAGGTTTTCCTATGACACCCAGCGAACTTTTTGTCGTTCTCGGGAAGGGTGGGTCGAATCAATACTTTCTCTGGTGGTCTTCTAACGTACCAGAAGACGGTGCTGATTTATTGCAACTTTCCATTCAATATAACGTACATATATCTTTGGTACCTGACCCCCTTGCTCTACATGTTGAGGGGCTACGTGGTGCTCTGAAGCAATTGACGGAACATATTGATATGTTGCGGAAGGTATGGTTTTCGGTTAGGTTCAATCGTGTGTTATATACCTCTGCTAGGACATCAAAGAAGAAATATTCGAACTTCCCACTCGACGGACGATCCTACAGGCTTCGATCCAACGCATATCACGTCTGGCGGGTGCCTACGTAGAGAATTACGGCGACGGAGGCAAAGTACAGAGGATCCTGTCAACATTCATTTGTTCCTAATGGTCCCCAGGTTAGAATTTCTTCCCGCGAGGACGGTAGCATGAGGAATGCTCAACGGCTGGCTACCCGTGCATCTATGGAGGCGAGCTCGCTTTCTAAACTAGTTCGGCCCTCACTCATTCCACCTTAGGAAGGATCCGGTGCCCAGGTCAACGTGCTGTGCTATGAGCTTCCCGACTCAAACAGTAGTTCTATGGCTCCCACAAGCATGCCACATTACTACTCCGCATACCCGTTTCTGAGTCCAACCCCTTTTCCTTGGACAATGCATACTGGCAGCGCCTTTCGAATTCGTCGCATTGCCGATTGGCTTGGGCTCAATAGCCGAGAAGATATCACCAAGGCAGGTGGATTGCTTAACAGTGAGGCACGATTCAAGGACTTTACTGGGTAAGCAGAAGAATGACGTGCGGAAACATTATTCATGTTCTCCTAGGAAGGAAATTGATCTCCGCGAAGCGGTATTGAATCTGCCGACTGGCGACGGCAGGGGTGATCACAGGCTCATCACAGCTTCGTACGTTGATATAGCTGATACATTGACCGACTGTTCAAGTCTGCCAGGTTGGGCCATCTTCTACTATCACCTGGCGAAGACTCCCGGGCCGGGAGCTTACTTCATCCACTAAGGGGACGCATGTCTCTTCGCAAGGTCTTGGGATGGTTTCAAACAGCTAGACCACCGATGGTTTTTGTTCCTAGGTAGGAGCGAAGTCGCCAGTGAGCTTGCGTTCATGATACTCAGCGTGTGGGTAGTGTTCCGCCATCGGCATTGCCCGTGCCCCCCGCCAAGCGCCGTACATTTCATCGCTTGGTATATAATACCTTGCCCTGTGGAAGTACACATATGAGCGATCTCCTGCCTTCCTTAATTATAAAAGTAGAAGCGGAGTGCTCGTCACATTCTTCAAGCGAGAACTCCTCTACTATCTCCTGTTCCGAACCGTCGGCTCCACAGTACTGGATAGGTCAGGAGGTATTGCTTAACCTGATGATTCCGGATCGGTGAGATTGTTCTGCTAGTATCATGCCATCTGACCGACTCCACTTCAGTCCCATGGATCTGCAATTTTCGGTCTTTGACTACCAGCCAATATCTGAGGAACAGCTTCCGGACTTGAACGACTATTTGATGAGGCTACGCGAATAGTGAGCTTTTGTCTTCCTTCTGATCTCGTCAGTCAAATTGTGTACAGTGCAACTCCCGGTGCAGGTGATCACAATCCACTATATCCGCCAGCAACTTTCGATTTCAATGGGCGTACATTTCACCTTCACGATAACTGGAGTCTACATCGAAGTGTAGACTTCGTCGATTTACCCGCCCCATTTGCGGACGAAGGTAGTGCTTACCCGAGAATGCGCGTCTTCCATGAGAAAATACTGGACCTTGAAGCCGGTCAGCGGTCGGAATTGTGCCAGGTAAATTTCAAGATACTCGTCTTCAAAAGTACTCACCGTTGCTAGCTGAAGTTGGACTCGAGCTCTGACTTCGAGTTGGAGGAGTTTCCTTACAGCATGTGATCAACTTACCGCACCCTTGTCACAGGCACGAAGCAAGGAGATTTGAATAGAGTGCTTTAATAATTGTTTGACACTAATACACTCCATATATCCATGCAAGCATATCGTGACAGCAATATCAATGAAATATCCACTAGCGACGTTTCCCTGTACTCTTTTCTCTTCGTTTCCGAGCTTTAACCTAGGGGAGGAAGTTGAGTTCGATTTCAGGTAGTCACGTCAAGACAAACCTCTTTTTTCATCCTGGCATCAACCATCGTATACCGACCCTTCACCCCTTTCGGTCGGCCTTTGACCCCTTTATAGCCACCCTTGGCAACAATGACTTTAACTTCCTTCCGTTTGGCTTTAGAAGCACCCTTCTTCATCAGTACTTCGATTTGCTTGGCCTTCTCACTTTCTGTCATGTCTACGTTAGCATTGACAACTTCTGCCTTCTTCATGGCTTTCTCGAGTCGCCGAGCAGCACGCAATCTTTTCCGACCCTTGGCTTCCGCAATCTTTTTTATAGGACGGGCGTCCAGCGTACGTTGACGAGCTCTAAGGGCGGCTACAGCCTCTTTGGTGATAGGAATGTTGGGTTTATAATGTTTTACTTCGTCGTCGAGGAACCACGCTGGAAGCCCGTCCTTTGCGTTCAAGGAATATCGATTAAAACCATCATCGATCAGGCGAGTGGTGGTCGTTTTACGATTTACCAGTTGCTGGGCAAGTGTGACCGCTTCCGCAGTATTGAGCCCATATTCTTCCGATTATTCAGTCTCAGGCTGAACATCAAGAAGACTCTGAGAACATACCCTCAATATGAGCTCTGCGTTTATCTTCTGGATTTCTACTATGAACGTCCCATATCCTCTGCATCGCTTTCTCCGTGGTCCCTTGGAGCAATGTCAATCTCCAAACCTTCTTCGTCTCCTGCCTGCAAAAAGCATTCAATATGATGACGAGGAGAGTGGAAGCGGATTACCTCAAATTGAACACCTCCAGACCGACTTTCAGCAGGTGATGATGACATATCGACGTCTTCGTCTACTTGTTCTCCATCAGCGTCATTTACCTTCGTGTCAATGTCCCTAAACATGTCTTGGCTGAACCAAACTTGTGCAGCATGACTAGACGGGGGTGGAGGTTCACAGGAGATTTGCTATGAGCTTGACCTTCTTGTTCGATGATGCACTCGCCAGTTCCTGCCGGCTGCGTTTTTGGCGAACATGGGGTTCTCCATCGGACTCCTCATCTGAAGAACTATCTTGGTCCATCTGCTTGCGTGCTGCCATCTCCTCCCAGCCACCTTCGTCGGAGTCGCCATCGCTGTTATCCCCAGCGCCGTTTTGGGTGCCACCCCACTCCTCTAGCACCCCGTTTTTTCTCTTGGTTTCCTTCAATTTGTGCTTGGTATCCCTCTCCTTCAACTTCTCTTGATACGCATCGTACATCCCATCAAGCTCAGCCTCGAGAGCACTTAATTTCCTTTCTCTATCCTGATCCACATCCAGAACCTCATCTTCGGTATCTTCATGCCCCGATCCTTCCCCTTCTTCGTCTTCGTTGTCTTTAGGTAATTCCTCACTGTTAACGAATCGAACAACACCACCGTGTCGGTTTAGCCCCTTCTCCGCACCGACCAAATCAAAAATATCTTCTTGGCCCATGTTCAGAGACATATCGTTCAGTTCTAAACCAATGTCCAAAGGAGCGGTCATTTGCAATTGCATTCGTTGTATAGTTCTTGCTTTAAGTTCGTTCGCCCGTCTCCGCTCCCGTTTAGCTTTCACGGAAGCTTCTGCTTTGAGACGTTCCAACTGCGACATAATTCGTGTGAACCATACCAACAGCTGATTCAAAAGTTCACACACCTCTTGTTGTATCTGTTGTTCCTCGTCCATAACTTCGGCTACTTCGACAGACTCCGTGAACTCCTCGGCGGGTTTCGCCTTCATATCCAGCCCAAGCTGAGGAAAGGGACAAGTAAGAGACAGAGATATCACAATACACACAACGTTACCTCCTCGCGGAGAGCTAACCGCCATTTTAGCAATGTCTTAAAGTCGCGTTTGCCAAGAACTTTGAGGTCGTCGCAATTGACCTTAACGTCTGGTGTCGTAATGCTGAGGCCTAGCCACCTGTGAAACTAAATAACAATTTACTGGTGAGAAGAGAAAACCCACCCCTTTTCCTCTTCCGACTGGAAGACTATTCTGTTTGCTAAGCCAAGCACGTTAACGGGTTCTGAACTTCGAATGAAGTCCCCTGCAGGAACTTGTCGGAATAGGGTGTAATCTCCATCATCATACCCTTCCCTCTTTCGACGTTTCTTCTCCGGCATAAAAACGTTTTCGTGGGCATTGTTGGCGGACAAACCCTTGTCCAAGCCAGAAGCGGCAGATGCACTGAGATCCTTGAATACATGCTTAGGGTCCAGAAATTTCGGGTCAACATGTCTCGGGGCTAAAAAGTCGTGGCAAACGACGAATATTTCGGCAGACACATTTCTTCATTGAACTATTAGAACAGTTCAGGTATGCAACTGGGAGGTATACATACCTCGAGGAAGGTGGCTTTGTCGCTTCTACTTTTCCAAACAATTGTCCAAAGACCCACATAAGGTTGTTATAATCGGCACTGCGGAAAACTTTGGTTACGAATGTGCCCCCTCTCCTGAGAAATTCGACGGCCAGTTTAAGGCTCATGAGGACAAGCTCCGACTGGCTATAGGCATCCTGAACCCAGGCGGTACCAACGTTCGGTGCTCCGTCGTGAAGGACAACATCAGCTTTCCAATCCTTTAGCTCATTGCGAATGAAATTGCGACACTGAGTTGTAGTGATGTCGGCAGTAAACGTTACGACTCGCGGAATCGGTTTGATGGGCACCAAGTCCACACCTGGAACAAGCAGTCATTTAAGATGAAAGTGAAAGACACCACTGAACACACCAACGATAACGCTATTGGCTGGCATGTATTTACTAGCGACCTGCAGCCAGCCTCCTGGTGCAGCGCAGAGGTCGATGCAGCATCGTGCCGACTCGAGGAAGGCAAACTTTTTGTTGAGTTGGATGAGCTTGAAGGCAGAACGGGCACGATAGCCTTGTTCCCTGAACTTTGGTAAGTTTGTGGGTGACGGAAAAAGAAAGTGAGCACCTACTTGGCAAGCTTGTAATATTTGTCGAGACGCCCTTTCCCAGTTTTCTTTTGTGCTTTGCCCATCGTCGTGCGAGTCGAAAGTGACGAGGTTATGTAATGACCTTTTACTTGCCCTTTCTGGGTGTGGTACTCCTATCAACATGTTAAGCTGCCTCACTTCCGAAATCATTGCTTGCATTATAGGCAGCGAACTGCTGCGAAACGAAATGCTCTTAGATATGGCTGACCATACATGGTATGTGATAGGATTGCAAAGAGTTTGAGTTTCTTTGGTCGCATCTACACTGAGAGCCGTCACGTGACCACTTACAGGCAAAGGTTCAAGGGGCACTGCTATATTGCAACACGTTCAACCATTCAGCGCTCCAGCAATGGTTTCGGAGAGCACCCCACTGCTGTCACGTACAGTTCCTTCCCCATTTCTTTGGAGGTCTGGCGCAATTCTAGGTTGGTCTCGTCCTCAATCGACCCACTGTGATGTGCATTCTCTTTTGGTTTGCTGTACTAGTGGCCACTGGCATGATTGTTGATGCATTCGGCACACACACGTTGCGGCGTCGCCCTGGGATCACTGTCGACAATCTCAACGCATGGCGCACAGCGGCCAACTACGCGGTTTGCGAGTTTCCAGATCTCTCTGGGTGGTTGCTCATGCTTTGAGGCAAGATCATAAATGGGCTAGGCCTTTTGCTTGTATCCATGCATCCCAGATTCTCTACCCATCGCTTCGCTGGATATGCTATCCTCGGGGGTAGCGCGGTGTTCTCTGGTAGCATCATGGCCCTTGTTCTGTGGAAGAAGTATGCCTTGTTGCTATGGCTGAGCCGAGCTGATCCGCTCACGTTCTTCAGCGTGAAATTCCTAGGTCCCATAACACCTCTTGGTGGCATGATGATGATTGCTGGGTAAGCGAGGACCAATTGCCCTGTGATTGGGCTAACTTGCCACAGTTACGCCGCGTTGGCATTCTGACATGCATTTACACTGTCTTCGGAGTGCTTCAAATGGGTATTAGTTAGCCTTGCATAATAATATTGTGAAGAAGTCTTCCTCACGTGACTGACGCGTCGAGGACGAGACGTGTCAACTCCGCTTAAAATTGACGACAATAAGCGGGTGTCCCTTCACACCGCCCTTTTCTGAATCTCAAGTGTCCCCTCGCACTCTAATACGGTGTTCCGTCGATCTGATCGGTTTCTTTTCTTTCTTCTTGATTTTTTGTACTTCTAGTGAGTAAGTAGTGTCCTACCGATGGCAAGACAACTCGAGTCTGATTCGTCCTGGTATCAGCCCTGAGCCTACTCACCATGTCCGAAGCGCCTGCATCCTCGAAAACCCCACTAGACTTCTCACAAGCCAGTTGCGCCACATCCTTGCGCAACCTGAAACGACGACTCTCGTCTTCCGTTGACCCTGCGTTTTTCTCATCTGCCTCCTCTTTTAACCCTAAGCCATATGTCCCAAACGTGGCGTCGTCGCATACGTTCAACGCACCGAAGTCGTTTCCGCCCACCCGCGGTCATTCATCAGCACACTTAGCACAGTCCATTCAGGTCATGGATCCCTCACCCTCAGATCCAAACGCTGTTTTCATTCATCCACCTTTCGCTGACTTCCCGAATTCCCACTTGTATCCTGAAGGGCTCTCCTATTCCTTGATGGCCGCCAACCCGGAATGGTTCTTAGATCAGAATGATTTCATCTCGTCGGTATCGATGAACCCCGGTGCCATCCCATATCCTCCTCAGCTTGAGCCGCCCAGAGGCTGGTGCCCAGCAAAGAAGAAAGACCTCAAAGCCCTGGGACCAGATGGTTGGCCAGATGGTGAGGAGCCACGGTTGCGGTGCACTTTTTGTAGGAGGACGTACGCGGGTGTCAATGCGAAGAGTATGTGGCGACGTCACGTATACGAGAAGCACAAGATTGCCATGTCAAACCGTCGTGACAATCATGATCGTACACGCGGTCGCCGAGCCGCCCATAGTAAGAATTCCTGTTCCTTTCCTGCCATATCCTCTGACAGTCTCGAACAGAAGATCACCGCCAGGGAACATCCGACAAGGAGAACTTGTCAGATGACCCCCGGCGCGATGTCAAACCTTTGGAATTGTGCCCCATAAAGTCGAGGGCGCGGTCGCCTTTGAGCCCTTCTAAGACATTCTCTAGCAACTTTACTGGCGACCCTACAGCCGAACCGGAGACGGCCTCCATCCCTTCAACGCCCCTGATTGAGCAAGCGAAAATTCCTCGAAGCGATCATCACCACGAAGGTGAACAAGTGCCTTCAAATGAAGTGCTTCGCACCGGCCCAGTGGAGCAAGGGGAAAGTCATTCACAACCGAAACCTGAGGGGACGTTCCTGTCTCCCAAGACCACAAATTTTTTGGTCCCGTTTTCGCCTTACGATCCAACGTTGACACCATCGTTCCGACACTCTCCTCCACGGCTCCCTTCGGACCAACCTTGGCGCTTCCCTAGTCCTAGCCATCCTCTCCACTCTAAAGCGAGAGAGATGTGTCTCAGCATGCTAGTTCGGGGTGGTGCCAGCCCAGTTGTCAAAGGTGACCCAACTGCCTGTTCGAGTTCCCCTAGCATGGGTCCCCCTAGCATCATCAATACACCGTGCAGCCTCGTGGAACGCAGAGCTCTGGGTGACATGGCACCAGTATTTATAGGAGGAAATTCTCCTGTGATATTTAGACCGTCTCCTCGACAACTATTTGCCGACGGACAGTCGCCAATCTCATCCTTCAACCATCTGGACTACCGTAAACGTCTTAATGACTCTCCCCTAGGGGGTGGTTTGCGACGTCGTTCGAACTTGCGGAAGAAATCTACCATGGCTTCTAGCCTTGACGTGCAGAACGGTTGGCTGTCCGACGCCTCACTATCATCCGCCGGCAGCATGACGGCGGGAAGCCCTGCACGCCTCACGCACGATGATCCCTTTGGCAACCTCTATAAACCATTACTCCAGCCCAAAACAAACGATGGTATACACCAAAGGAGCCCTTCACCCTTGTCATCTGACGAAGCTGGAAGCCCAGTAGTACGGAAAACTCGACCGTCAGGAGTAGGTGCGCCAGAGCTGGAAGCGGGTGTTGTAGGACTCGGCATTGGGTTGATGGCCCCCTTTACGCTGTCCACACTCCGAACGGCCAGTTCGGGATATGACGAGGCTGACGAGCTGGAGGTAGAGAGATCACTGGCAGATGCACAGCGGCAACATTCCCAAGGCACCTGTGGCGAAGGCGGAGAAGACGAAGATTTGCCGCCCTTGAAAAGGCGGCGGAAAGCCACGGAGGATTCAAGCGTGACTATTAGTATTCTCTACCGCGACTGCGCGCACCCATGTATTCATAGTTTTGGTTCGTCACGTGGTATTTTGTTTATGCCTGTTGTTGCGTGGGAAATCTTTCGAACAGATCACATGGCTGATTTTGGCAAGTCGTCACATCATATCAGGCTGGCATCAACCATTGCAGTACTGCCATTCCAACCTGGATTGAAACCAACTTTTTGTCGAATCTTTGGGTGTTCGTCTTGTGTAGATTCGAGAGAAGCGACTTGGCTTTGGAAATCCTAGTGTTTATCTAGTATTCTTCAACCTTGTTTACCTCCAGAATTGGTGGCGTCACCTAAATTCTCGCAATTCTCCGACTTGAAACCAGGCAATTGTGAACGACCAGGATGCAAGCCATTAAATGTGCGTACTCGAGCAACCCGCTTCTCCTGTCGCTACCTATTCATTCCTCCCCTCCAGGCGTTGTCGTAGGCGATGGTGCAGTCGGCAAGGCAAGTGCCCGACATGAGACACCTCGAAGCAGAGCAGCTTATCGTTGTCGTCCCTCAGACTTGTCTCCTCATATCATACACTACGAACGCTTTCCCCGTAAGCCTGAACAGTGGTTTTATCGAGTTTGCACAGCTAACATGAGGACGGCAGGGGGAATACATACCAACAGGTTTGTTTGTTTCGACCGACCTCGCGACACAGACCTCACACTTTTCCAACGGCAGTATTCGATAACTACTCAGCAAATGTAATGGTCGACGGGAAGACAATATCTCTTGGATTGTGGGACACTGCTGGTCAGGAAGACTACGATCGACTCCGTCCACTTTCTTACCCCCAGACGGACGTTTTCTTGATCTGTTTCTCGTTGGTTAGTCCACCAAGCTATGAGAACGTGAGGACCAAGGTGCGCTCCCGTCTACGCAGCATCTTGAATTAGACATGTTGATAACCCCGCTCAGTGGTGGCCGGAGATATCGCATCACGCTCCATCCACGTCTATAGTCCTAGTTGGAACCAAGCTCGATCTGCGCGAGGACCCTGCGACAATCGAAAGATTGCGCGACCGGTGGGGGCTAAGAGTTCACTGACACTTGCATGATCACTTAACTATGCGACATAGGCGCATGCAACCTATCACCTACTCCCAAGGGGTTGCCATGGCTCGGGATATAGGAGCGGTGAAATACCTGGAGTGTTCCGCTCTGACGCAGAAGGGGCTGAAGACTGTTTTTGACGAAGCCATTCGTGCAGTTTGTGAGTGATGTTCTTGTTCGTCGCACCTCGACAGACCTAATGTTCCTCCCGAACTGCAGTAAACCCTCCCCCGAAGAAGGAAAAGCGCAGTCGTGGATGTGTCATTGCGTGATTGCGGACGCTGTTGGGCCCACTGCCCTCCGATTATGCGGATACATAGATTTCCTCCCCACGTCACACCCATTTATGCCTTGCTCACCGTTACGCCTTACGACCTGGATGCTATACTTGACTTTTAGGAATGAAGTTGATCTATGAGCCTGAGAGAATTGTACCATTTGAGAATCGTGTGGATGTGTTTGCCCTTGATCATACTCGTGCACACGTAGATAACATCTGCACTACCATTTACAAAGTGTCAACAGATCCGAAGATGTGCGGCCTCGACCCGATAAGACCAACTTTGGCTTTCCTGGGCCCAGTTGGAACATACTCTCATCAGGTTTTCGAGTCCTGCTGATTCTCTCGACTTATTTATGATTTGTCTTAGGCAGCATACGACTGCTTCGGAAACTCAGTCGACTACGTGCCCAAGCAGACCATCCAAGGTGAGGACATATTTACGTATCGGGCCGATCTTGCCCATTCCTGACAACATCACCCAGCTGTTTTTCGATCCTTATCTCTGGACTTACCTCTCGGCATCGTGCCTCAGGAAAACAGCACCCATGGCTCTGTCATAGAGACTTACGACATCCTCCGCGACCCCGCGATCGGTCAAAGCAACTTCATCCGAGGTTCCACCATCTTGGCTGTCCGACACTGCTTGGTAGTCCGGCAAGGTGTCAAGCTGGAGAATATTGATCACGTCCTAAGTCATGGACAGGTAGGCATGGGCGTCGATGTTGAGAGTATGCCAATCGATAACTTGTCCAGGCATTGGGTCAGTGTCGGTCATTCCTAGCTCGGCTTCTACCTTGGGCATCGCTGGTGCCTACTGACTCGACAGCAAGCGCCGCTGAGCAAATTTCCAACGGAACGACTGCTTTCGATCCTTATAGATGTGCGGCGATCTGCTCATCCATCGTTACTACTGTATTTGAGGGGTTGGAGGTTCTTCTAGACAGCATACAGGATGGAGAAGGTTATCTATTACCCCGCTCGTCCGTCGGGACCGGACACTGACACTGATTCCACAGCCAATTCCACTCGTTTCTATATCGTTTCCCATGGTTCGGATAGTACATTACCGCCGAGCCGAATCTCTCCAGTGCGGAGGGAAGCCTTGTTGCGTACCAGTACTTCCCAAGAAAGCCACGGAACATCGGAATGCAAGAGGTTAAACTTCGTGAAATTTATCAAAGCTCTTGATCTCGAGATCCTGCGCGTTGATCGAAGGCCTGCATTACATGCTCTTACCTTTCGGGACGTGTACTTCCTCGAGGTTGGTGATATAGGCGGCAACACACCATGGTCCGAGAAACTTTCGCAGGCACTACAGAGGGCGACGTACCCCGGTATCGAAGTGACATTGTTGGGCAAGTGGTGAAACCGCGGGTCAATTCAGAAAACCGAACATCATTGTCCCATATGAATCGTTTGCTACGACTCTTTGGTAGTTGGGTTGGCAGTTCTCACACGAAACCCGCCAAGTGTTACAGGGGGGAGTGGTCGTGTGGCTTCTATATTCGCTTATAAGCCGCAAGAGTGGGGGCCTCCTCACCGATGTAGAGCACCACTGTCGAGAATAGTAAACACCTGCAAGCAAACTCCCATCGTACTTAGTAGTAGTACTCGAACCACTCCCCGTCCTTGAACGTTTGCCGACTATCCATTTTTTTTCTTCGCCTCACATCTGGAGTGGCAAAAGGCAATTTACTCAGCGCAGAACCCAATGCCAAAGGCAACCTCTAGCACCAGCTCAGGGGCACGTCCTGCCCTTCGCAGAAACCAGGTACGGACATGGAAGTACACCACTAGGGCCGTTTGACTGACGGTGGGCGCGTTCACCAATTGAAGGCTTGCCGCTCTTGTCGTAAACGGAAGCTTGTATGTATGGCAGCTTCTTGTATTGTCTTCTCAGTAGTTCCCGCGAACTTATGGTCGCCATTTCAAGAAATGTGATGCTGCTCGTCCCCATTGCGGTACCTGTGTCAAGTGCGTCGCGTGTATTGATTTCACTTGCCAATCTTTCTCTCATTGCTATTAAGATACTGGCAATCCCTCATAAGTGTTCCTGCACCTGTCGGATATACGTCAGTAGTTTCTTCATTGTCACGAAGAAATCACTCACATGGCATTATTAGACACCCTGCCGAACCTCAGTGTGTGTATGATCCGGTGGATGGGTTGACTCTCTCCCCCGACACGGATCCACTCGAGAAAATTCGGTTGCTGGAGGAAGAAGTTTGTGAGCCTTTCCCCAACTTTTCCTGTCGAAGTTCTTAATGGTGGTCCATGCTCAGCGAAACTTAAGATCCAATTACATGAGCAGAACGTTCCTGCTCGAAGTCCAGGGCCCTCGATGTCGCGTCGGCATAGCTATGGTCTTTGTAGACCTGGATCCTCCCCGACGTTATCGGGATCTGATAGTCAAATACCTGTTCCTGGAAGTAAACTTCCTGCTTACAATCCAGGAGATTCATTAGGGTTGAATCATCTTAACTTTCGACAAGACAACCTTGGCATAAACATACAGTGTGCGGCTGTTACCGACGCTCATGCAGAGTTAATTCACACCGGTTGGAATACTGACCTTCCCGAGCCTCGCGTCCTCGATCATTAGTGAGGGGACTTCGGAGGAATCTATACCACAAGGCAGCTAACCCGTTGTATTTTTAGTATAGAAACGTTTTTCAGGTGTGACCCCTGTGGCCCGCGCATACTTCACCGGCCCTCCTTCTTGGCCGCCATACGCCTTCATCCTCGAGATCCAGCGTTTCCGCACTCCGCTATCCTGCATGCTATTGTAAGGCTTGGAACCTCATCTGGTTTTGCAATTTGCTGATAGACCGTTTGAGTGCGCTTGCGCCTCCCGGTGGTCGTCTAGGAGTGTAGCTATGCAACCAGACGGGTCCGGAAAAGACGAGTTTGCGGAGTATCATGCAAGTAAAACTCGAAAGTACATAGATAGGACAATGGCTACAGGGGAAGACATTTTCCAAGTGGTTCAAGCATGCATTATTCTTTCCTGGTACTTCTACCAAGAAGGTAGATGGGTGGAAGCGTGGGTGTTCGCTGGTTTCCAAACACGTGTTTCCATCCCATTGCGCCTGAACTATCCTGGGACCTTTTGCACGCATGGTCACGCTCTGACAGCAGGATACTTGCCCCCTCCGAAGGACTTTCGCGATCTCGAAACTCGGCGGCGTACCTGGTGGATGTCCATAGTTTTTGACCGGATTGTTGCCGCAGGCGGCTGGACGCACTCCATCGATGAGAGGGACATTGGCACGGAGCTTCCGTTGAGAGGAGAAGATTTCGACGCCGAGGTATTCGTTCTGCCGCCCGTATTTCGCACTGCTTGATATCACGTATAGCATCTCATTCCAAACAACCCTCAAAATATGAGCACGGAAGACTTCTTTACTACGCACCTCCCGAAATATACCGACTCTTTTTTACTGTTCATTAAGGCCGTTATGATGTTCGGCAGAGTCACAGACTACAACGTTCGTACCAAATTGCGGACCTCAACACCCCTCAAAAAGTATCAGGATCCATTTGCACTACCTGGCTTCAAAGAGTTGGACAGTCTAGTCCATAAAGACTTTCTTGAAAATCTGCCACACTCACACAGGTTCAATATCGGTGTAACCGACATGTCAGCTAATGGATCATCTGTTGATACTGACCTCTACATGGCTCATGTCGTACCCTACGCGTAAAGCTTTGATTGTTTGAATCAACCTTCTGACGTCGAACTTCGTTTCCGCAGGGCGAGCATAACACTCCATAACCCGTATCTGGACCTAAATGATGTTCACCACCCTTCCACCAGCCGTTGTATCGAAGCTGCACAGGCGATATCATCAGCGTACTACATGCTTTCCGCCACATCTCTTGATACGACACGATTGCATCCTTTCATTACTGTATGTGCATCGCATCCCCTTCAATCCTTCCTGAGATTCGTTTTGTCAGATATGTTGGTATCTCGCAGCGGCTGTCCAGGTTCAAGTTTGCAAGCATTTTATTGAAATGGGTGACCGAGTCAGAGAAGCCCAAGTCTGGGGTGAAATCAACGTACTGAGGTTGGTTCGCCCTTGGTTTCCATATCATAGTGCTGACTTGTTACATAGAGAGGCAATGTTGAATTATGGAGCACGGTCTCCCATCGGAAGTAGGGACCTGGCTTTAGTAGGTTCTGATATTACTCACATTGTTTGCCAGCTCGGCAAGAAGGCCTCCTACGAGGCTTGATGAAAGAAGTCGTTCAGCTGTCAAGTCAAAATCAACCCCTTGAAGTCGGATTACCTCTGTACCCGTTCTCCCATTCTACTGTGTTTGCCAACCCAAACGTGCCCTACTGCGATGGGCCCATAGCACCTCTCCCCAATCCAAGTGTACCGGAACACTATGAAACGAGATTCGAGGAAAGTACTGTTGGGGTAGAACTTGCTGGCCAACCTCCATCACCGGCGCTCTATGCAGGGGCTTCAATGATCGCAGACCATCTGCAGGGCGATGTTCCCCTTCATAGTGGTGACTTCTTAACGTGGGACAGCAGTAGCAGTCGATAGCCTCCTTTTTATTAGTTACTCATCACAGCACCAGCAGTTATGCACACGTCAGGCCCCTCTTGTAGCATAAATTCGAGTAGAATTGATAGTGTTTTCTCTGTCAAAACATCTCCCGGTCCCGATCCTGACCTCTCCGTCTTTCAGCTTCTAGCATTGCCTCGAATCTCGCCTGAGCAGTTGCGCGGTCGTCTGGCTTGTCCGTGGATTGACCATCGTACGCGGATGGCACAGGAATTCTACTGCGCTCTTGCCGTTGCCTTATTGCATCCCAGGTCGATTGCTGACTGATGTTTCGCGCATTAGCGGCGCGAATCTCATCCCACCGATTCTTGAATGCAGTTGAGGAATTTGGATTGTTGTTTCCTGTCCCACGCCGGATATCAATTTAGGTACGACTCTTCAAGGGCAACCGGACGCACCAACGGGGTCTGATCGTGTCCGATTCTCGAAGCCTGTTTCTGAACCTTGCGGGTAGTCGCCGGTGTCCGCAGTTGTATCAATTTTCTTCTGTTGAATACGCCGAAGGGTGAAACCGATGTTTCCGTCTCCGCCAAGTTTCTTGTGAATATGGCTTAAGGCCAAAACAAAACCCTCGGGATCCTCGAGGGCTTCGGCGAACTGTCGGTGGGCTACAAACCGTCTGAAACCACCATACATCATTCCCACAACGTAGGCAGCACCTCCAAAAATGAAGGTTTTCCTCTGTCCCCATGGCGGGCGAGTAACGCGATACCCGTAGAGAGCTGTTGCGCCTGCGGCGCCAGAGCCATAAAGCATCTAACATGGCGTACCTGTGAGAAATCGAGGTTCCTTGGTAGTTGGCGGACATACCGGCCAATTACTGTGAGAGCCGGGCAAGAAACGGACAGCTAGATCAAAATCATGTTGGGCTAGGACGTTATTTTCCAGCTCGGGTTGGAAGAGTTCGACAGTACGCTCCCTGGAGCGAAATGTTGACGTCAGCCAATCTAGCGGATAGGACATCTTGATGGAAAGTGAACAACGTGGGCGGTGTAATTCGACCACGTTTTAGAAACTGGCTCGCTGCTATGCAATACGGTCGAGTACTACTGTGTTGGAGGCGATGAATGTTTTTCATGGTCGAGTGCGTCGACGGGAATTTCCCGTCGAAGTGGAGATCACCCACGTTCAACTCGATGTTAATGACCAGCAGACGTTTAGTGTTTTAACCCTCATATACATACATACGTCGGCTGTGATCAGTGCTAGTGATCACCCCCGCGTACACGATGGAACCTCTGGCCAGCACTCCTCTGCAAGATGGCGGTTCCCCACCACCTCCACCGCCAAAGACGACCGACGATGTGCCAACGAGTTCTCTACGAGAGCGACTGCAACTTCCTCCGATACTTGCTATGGCATCGTTAGGTTAGCGGTTTCGCCACGATTCTGTCGATCTGTCCCCATTCTGACTGCCACCTCAGCCCTCGACATCCCGTCTTCTCCCATGACACCCTTGTCACCATCAGTGCCGTCTAATTCGACCGAGTCCCCCACGTTCCCTGGGGAAAGACCCAAGAAACCTAGTCCGTTAACGGACCTGATAGAAAGCGAAAAGCTTTATGTAGATCTCCTGACGGGGGTCATTCGAGTGAGTGATCCTAGCCATCTGCGGTTGCTTTCGCCTCACTTCTGAGCCTAGAAAGTAGCTGCGGCGTGGTCGAAATTAAATCTTCCCCCACCGGAGCTGGACGTCATGTTCCGTAGCATAGAGAGTGTGTACAAAGTCAACCGTACATTATTGAGGGTAAGACCCTCGCGTCGTTCTTTCCGAACATTGCCTGATCCCTTCTTCAGAGATTGAAGGATATTGGAGAAAATCCCTCTTCTCCGAAGGCTCTCGGCGATCTCTTGATGCGCTGGGTGAGTACATATATGGTATGCATGGAGTCTTCAAAATTGATTCTGGTGCAATGAAAGATTGATGATCTGGATCGTCCATATACGATATATACTGAAACATATTGCTCTGGATTCGACTCTTGGGAGCCGGTCAAGTCGAATCCGAAAGTCGCAGCTGTATTAGGCGCGTTCTCACTTTCCAATCCACCCCCGCCTAGTATCGCGCAGAGTAGTCAGCTTCCAGATCCGTCTGTTTGGACGCTTGATGCTCTCTTCCTTCTCCCGAAAGGCCGTTTGCAATACTACAGGAAGTTATATAGCAGATTACTTAAAAGCACGACCCCCGGTCGAAGCGATTATCGTCTATTGACAGGCGCACTGGAAAAGCTTGACGCCCTCTTGGAAACCCTTGATAGTAGAGCCGGCTGCAGAGTTGAAGCTTATTCGCCTTCTTCGGTGACGTCGGAGGGTGCCAATGGGTTGCAGGCACCTGTCGTGGAACTTGCACCTGGTGGTGCTCTTCTTGCCGGGCGGTTCGGTGCTGGTGGGTCAAATATGACTGTCTTGGCGACGAGCCGTCCCTCCACAACAGAGTGAGTCACAGAGCTTAGCTTCCTAGCCTTCATTTACATGCCATTAGCAGGCACTCAGCAGAAAGTCTGCCTGCTCGCATTGACTCTGATCCGGTACTGGCAGTAGCTTCCGTTTCAGACCTAGAGAAACGCTTGACAACGGAAAAAACACTCGATATCTTTACAATGGAACCCAAGGTTCGTTTCATGCTGCTATAGTGGCAGATCCGACAAGTTGACACGACGAATCTGCAGCAAGTTCGATTACAACTTCTACCACCGTCGTTACCATATACCCGTCAATTGCGTGCTTCGGTTGCTGTGATCATTCGAATTACCCCTAAATCAACCGGAGTAGAAGTCGTGCATCGCCACGGCCACATCTTTATCCTGTCAGATCTCTTTCTCGTCTGCGAACGAGTATCTCCGGAAGAGAGGCTCGCCCTCGATGCAGACATTCGCTTGTGTTACCCGCCCATTTCAGGCAAGGTTCTTAAAGTGACGGATGTACCTGAGCAAGGTTCGTGGGGTAAATCCCTTTTGACTGGTCTCCCTCATTCGCTCCTCAGGCAACGCTCTAAATGTTTCCATCATGCGCAAAGAAATGCTCACCTTGGAGGCTAATTCCCAACATGCACGAGATCAGATCGTGAAAGAATTCATGGAGTGCATATCGTTTGCCCGAACTAGTAAGTGTGGACACAACATGTCCTGCCTGTTAACTCAGGCCCCTTTCAGTTTCTGGCGCTGCTCGGGAGCCCGTTCCCCCTCTGCCTTCCCAAAGTGTTATCCCTCAGCCACCTTCAAAGTCTCCTGCGAGCCCCCCGGAGCAACCGAGGTCGCAATCAAATGGGTTTTTACAACAATCAAAAACACAAGTTATTGATGAGGAATTTGGCGGAAATGCCTCACCGTCGGGGCCATCTAACTCTACCCTAGGTCATACCTCACCGACCCAGGAAACTGTCATTCAGCCCGATATTCCTGTTTCATTGGGTCATTTACATGGTTCCCGCACCAGCGCTGGAAGCAGTCTTTCTAGTGCTGTAGTGTCGCCCGAGTCCCAAGCAGCCTCTATAGCTCACCGAGTCCCTTCACTACAGAGTCCCCTTCCAAGTCCGACACATATTGCACGTCAACCTATCTATTCCTCAGGGAACAAGATATCTCCTGCAATCCTCTTTTGTGCCTGAACAAGTTATCCCTCCTGCTCGTAGTGACAGCATACGGTCTCCCTTTCCTGACTCGGATGGCATATTTTCAAGAACTCCAAGTCGTGTCCATTCGCCCCCCTCGCGAAGTTCCATTGGGCAGCCTACACCGCCTGCTTCAGTACATCCTCTTCGCCATCAACTTTCTCACCATAGCTTACATCGAGGTCCACCTCACAATCCGCCAGCGGGCATGCCTATTCAACACTTTCCCCGCCCAGCCACCAGTCACACATACTCATCGCGCCCTCCTGGATCCCAATATGGAGCGCTTCCCCAGAGACCTCCTTCAGAGCCACCGAGGCTTCATAAGTCCCCGTCATCACGGTCGCTGGTATCTCAGTACGTACCCGACCACGCTGCTCCGCCTCCAATGCCATCCTTTCCTGGAGGGCTGCCGGCATCGCAGCGTCCTTATCCGGGCGGTGCTATGAGTCCTACATCTTCCCGACCATTTCTTCCGTCTCAGATGGGGTCGAGAACCAATTCCTTGGGCGAAACTTCGCTCCAGGACCCTAGTCCACCTACGTCACCAATCGAAGAGCCGCGGCCTTTTGGCCCGACTCGATCCACAGTTACTGCCCAGATGAAATGCAAAGTGTTCCATAAACAACACCACGCACAGTGGAAATCGCTCGGATCAGCTAGACTGACACTTTATAGACAGGAGCCAACCAATATTAAGCAATTAGTCGTTGAGGCTGATAGCAAAGACAAAGGAATTCTCATATCAACCATCGTTTTGACTGATGGGGTGGAACGGGTAGGGAAGACGGGAGTGGCAATTGAGCTTAGTGATGCTAAAGGTGGTCGTACGGGCATTGTCTACATGATTCAGCTACGGAGTGAAAGTTCTGCGGGCGGGCTGTTTGAAACATTGTTGGCAGGATCCGACAGGTCGTCCAAGTAACGTTGCAAATAGTAACTTCTTATTTCGGGCAATTCAAGCATATGCCAGTGCCGCGTAATTCTATTCGCATGTTCTTTATGCGAACACTGGAGTGGAATATATCAAGAGGCGTATCTACTCTTCACATGGAGAGATGGACGTCCTAAGTTGGGCACACAGCGAAAAGTGATCGCTGCCGCAAATCCGGAGTTGAGGTAAGCCCTGGATGACATTCTCCGTGCGATGTGGTTGAAGATAACCTATCACTTCCGTGTGTGTGCGTGGCGAGTCTAGGAAGAATATATAATCTAAAGTGGTTGTCAGACAACGTAGGTATTGCCTTGAAAGACCAACCTAAAGTTGTCTTCCAATAATGTGTATAGCTGGTCCACATTGGCTCGTTCGTACCCAATCTCGCAGTTGAAAATGGTATCCTATCGCCGAATGTCACAACATCGGTCGGTGTTGCCATTGCCTTGTACACCCTTTGACCCTCGTCGTATGCACTCCGCAAGCGACATCGGAAAAGGTCAAGAAGTTCAGAGTCTGATAAGAGCCCGTCGGAAATCTCCGCAACCCGAGAGTTGCGGATAACTCTATCAGGATCCTCTTCCTCTCCCTCCTCGGGTTCCGTTGTTGAGGACATCGAGACACCGGGATCTATGGAAACATGTACCACGCGTGAAACATCCAACGAATGTTTTTGCTCTGCCGCCAACGGGTCACCAACCAGTAGCGAGTAGGCAGGATCTTCAGGAGAGAAGTTGAAGTCTGCGCGACTTTGATTTTAGTACATGACGCTATATGGACGAGTATCAATACCTCCAGCTATTATGCAGGGCCAATCGTGAAGTTGCATAAGGTCTCTCCATCTGACGACCTCACGAAGTAGGAGTCCTGCCTGCCTGTATCCTCTTCAGCGGTATGATCAGCGAAAGAGGAGATAAATAACCTTGCTCGTTCATAAGTGTATCTGGAGCTCTGTTCAGAAAGACACGAAGAAAGGGTTCCGACGTCAACCCACGCAGGATGCCAAAACAGATGTGTCGTAGCGACGATGTAGCCGACTTTGTCGGTATCCACCCTTTCCAATGCAACTAGCGAGCCGATGTTCTTCGTCCGATGACTGGAGGCGATCCGAGCCTGAGGGCTGACCGGGGCGTTCTCCCTTGCTTCAACGTCATCGTATTGTACCACCTTTTCGCCCACTATCCGGAACATATCCTGCTTATAAGCGACGACGCAAGCCATGGGGCTTTAGTGGCCCGGTTGCATACGTATAGGAGTACCCAGCATTTTTTAAGACAGGGAACAACTTGTCCTGACGATCTGCCTCCTGAGCAGCCCACGTGCTTCAATATATATCGTTCAGTCGGGGTAAGAGCAACTAACTTGCAAGCACATGATATCTGCATCATAAAAGATAAGCTCGTCATGTATCATTCGTTCCCTTTCAGCTGCTTTACGAGATTTTCCGCTAGTAGGAAAGAGTTCTGAACCTGGGTTGGATCAATATGGTGTGTGCATGCTCAGTAGCTTCGGTTAAACATACGCATGAGACATTGTGCGAGTATCTGAGATTACGTAGGAGGCTCCGTAAGTCAAAACGTAGATAAACGATCATGCACCGACGTTCCAGGTCATTATCTTCACGGTGTAAGCTCCAGGTACATCCTTGCAAGAATCGGATAGTGAAACCCAAGGCCTGGCTAAAAACTGCGGTTGTCTTTGGGGCTCAGGAGAGTTTCTCTGTACGGCGGACCTGTTAGCTTGACGTTTCAAGCGTTTTTCCTCTGCAGCAGCAAGCTGTTCGGGTGAGAGATGGTACTTAGCATTCGACATAATGCCACGAAATTCCAACGCTGAAAGTACGCGAGAAATGTGCATCGCTCACGTGATCACTATGTTTTGATTACTTAAGCGGCTCATGGGCCTCTTCGAGAGTTGGACTTGCGTGGACAGAACTCTGTCGATGCTGCGTTCATTGTCAGTGGGACTTCGCCTGCATCGACTGAGACGCAATCCTGTCATGCTCGCCAACAAGCCTTTCTTGACTCCCTGCCACCCGTATTCAACGTCCCGCATGTCTAATGGGTCGGCTGTGGTCGCGGATAGTGTCCGGTCGTTCGGGAACTTTGACCTTATCAAACGCGTGGAATTGCGAGATAATGACATAGTAGTGTCAAAATGGCAGAGTCGTGTCACCGGCCTTACCGTCGTTCATCTCGATCACGAGGGTATACTCGGCTTCTCTCTCGTAGGGAAGTATTCCTTTACTTATCTCATCCATAGCTCCCCTTGTCAACGGATATTTTGTGGTCGCGACCGAAAGTAGGCTGATCTCAGCTGACAATTTTCCCAACACTCATTTTTCTAGTTTTCGATGACAGTGGGTGTCCACATACTTTAGAACAGTAGGCCTTACATTTCATTGTCGAAACTCATCGTTAAGAGTGATAGTTTGGTCTTCATGGGTTCCGAAAAGTATCCCTACAAGGGTATCATAGACCACCTGGCTAATCGAGGGTTTTCTAATGGCACGAATGCATGGACAGACACCGACCATACAGGTTAGTTGGATTGCCTGTAAATTCAAATACGATCCTCAGTTCACACAGCATACACATCCTCAACCGCCGGAGATCAAGGATTTCTTCAGCTTTTGCCTGTTTTCTTGGACCACATCTTGTACCCGACAATGGTCAAATCAGCATTCCTGACCGAGGCGAGTGAACAGAAGAAGTATGGTTGTACACCTAACCCTTTTTACAGGTCTATCACATCAATGGAAAAGGCGAGGACGCTGGCGTGGTGTACAGTGAAATGCAAGGTCGTCAGAACACTTCCGCAGACCTCATGGCCCTTTGGTTTGCTTCATCTCGATGCAGCTGTACTCTATTCACTGATTTTGTCTCAGTTCGCAGCGTACCTTGTATCCGGTCGGTAGCGCATATCGCAGTGAAACTGGTGGTCTCATGGAAGCCCTGAGGTTGTTGACTGTCGAGCAGAGTAGTCCCTTTTCTTCTTTTCTTTTCCTTAAAACTGATTACCAGGGTTGCACTCAGTTCGTAAATACCATGGCACATATTATGTTCCCCACAATCTGTCCCTCATTGTCACGGGAAAACTTTCGAATGGCACGCAGTCTCTCCTTTCAGTGATTCAAGACAAAGTTGAGCCCACTATCATTGCACACGGTCAGAATCGTGGGCCAAGGCCTGATGGCTGGAAACGGCCGTTTATGGAGACGCCCAGCGCCAACAGAGCACCCATCCAGCAATCAGTCAAGAAGGTTGTCGAGTTTCCCGAGAAGGACGAAAGCCAAGGCGAGCTGGTTATCACGTTTTGTGGTCCATCCCCAACGAATTTTCTGGATCAAAAAGTAAGCAAGCTGTCTTCTCGTGAAAGATTTGCACTGACACTTGGCGATCTAAGGCCCTAGATATATTGGCCACCTATCTTACATCCTCTCCCGTAGCTCCTCTGAACAAGGAGTACGTAGAAGTTGAATCACCTCTATGGTGCGTTTAATTCACTTCGTTGAGAAGCTGTTCTCAATTTTCTGTAGCTCGTATATCTACTTCAGCGAGGATACCCGTGCAACCATGGTAGACTTACCGATATACATAGGATCTATACCTGTGGAACACATAGACGACTTTGACCAGAAGTTTGTCTCGAGCTTACGCCGCATCAGCCGTGAGGGTATTGATATGGATCGTATGCGTATGGTCATTAATAGGGACGAGCGACAGGTATGGGGTTCGATATCTGCAGTCTATAAGGGTTCTTATTTTTTCTTTCCTGTTTAGCTGCGTAGCAAACTAGAATCTTCCAAAGGAGAAACCCTTTCGGGCGCGCTCATCACGGATTTTCTGTATGGCGCCCTCGATGGATCGGATCTGCCAGATGCCTTGGACGAGATGAAGTACTACAATGTGCTGCGAATGTGGTCGAGTAAAGACTGGTCAAACCTATTGAACAAGTTAGTTGTGATTTGTAGCTTGTTTCTCACTAACTCTCTCCCCCAGATACTTCGTTGATGCTAACTATGTTGCAATCATTGGCAAGCCTTCTGCGCACCTTGCTGAGAAGCTTGAAAGAGATGAGAAAGCACGTCTTGCTGTGCAGGTTGAAAAGCTGGGTCCTGAAGGTCTGGCGCAAGCGAAGAAGGATCTTGAAGCTGCCAAGGAAGAACACGAAAAACCGATACCTAAGGATGTCCTTACCTCATTCCCCGTACCGGATGTCAAAAGTATTTCTTGGATTCCCGTAGAGAGTGTACAGGAGACAAGCGAAAGTTTTGACGTGACCCGGACGCAGTCTTCCTTGGCTAAGCATATCGAATCGGATGGTTCTCCGTTACCAATGTTTATCCAGTATGATCACGTCAAGGTCTGTATCTGCCATTCAGCGGTCCACCTTCTTATTAGTCATCTTTGTAGTCCGATTTTGTCTCCATCCATGCGTACTTTTCTCTGGCCAACGTCCCTGATAGACTTCGCCCGTTAGTTGTCTGTTTGACCCTTTGACGTTTATTCTAATCACTGACCATCCACAACAGGCATATTTCGACTTATCTCGCTGCGTTTTTCTCGCTTCCTGTGAAACGCACTTCTGGCCAACATCTGTCACACGAAGAGGTTGTCAATAAGCTAGACGATGAGACTGTGGCGTACGAATCTGCGCTTGGTGTTTCCGAACAATTCACAGAAATGCTGCGCGTTACTTTGAAAGTCCAGGTCGGGCAGTACGAATCCGCTGTCGCCTGGCTCCGCGATCTTATTTGGGGCGCCATCTTTGACAAGGAAAGGTGAGTGGTATTGGGAAGTTGCCTCTCAATCCATTGAACAGTTCGAAGACTCCTTGTTTCCGCCGCAAAGATCGCACAATCCCTTCCCGAGCTTAAACGTGATGGTAATAACGTCTTGTCATCCGTCTGGATGGAATGTCATTTCAGCGCCAACTCGACTTCTCTGGCGAGCGCTGTGCTGTCCCAGTCGGAGTTCGTCCCTAAGCTTATTGAAGAACTGCGGGAAACGCCGGACAAGGTCATCGCGGATTTTGAAGCGTTGCGCACCTACTGTGAGTCAATCGTAGATCATGGAGAGATAAGCAGCCGCTGATGAGCCTTATCAGTGACTGATCCATCTGGCGTCCGGTTTTCTGTGACTGGCAACGTTCTTGGTGTTACGAAGCCTCGCAGTGTCTGGGGAAAGTATTTCGGGAGCCTTCCTGTAGGTTGATATTTACTGTGTGATGCAGAGTGCTAACCCGCCTCGCCAGAAATCCCGCCTCACTCCAATTAGATTTTCGTACGAGACACTTAATGATCTTGGAAGAAACCCTGCCGGAAAGGTCGTTCTCTGCAAGGTCTACTATTCTACCTACTTATATTTCTTCCAGGCAACGGTCGTTAGTTTACCCACTATCGAGAGCTCTTTTGTCAGCCACACCGCCCGGGGCATCCAAGGCTTTGACCATCCCGAATTCCCGGCGCTTAGAGTAGCTCTGGAAGTGCTTAACGCCACGGAAAGTTACTTATGGGTACGTAAAGTACATGATTTGCCCTTGCGAAGCTGAATCTTGAGTCCACTATCTACGATAGCGCTCCATTCGAGGTTCTGGTCTTGCATATGGAGCCTATGTCACCGCGGACAGAGAAGCCGGTTTGTTGTCGTTTATATTATATAGGGTGAGACAGAGTTTGTCTACGAATGCCGATCTCTTACCAACGCTTGGAAGAGCTCGGATAGTATAGCAGCGTTTAAAGAGGCCAGAAAGGTGCTGACTGGTTTGATAGACGGCACAGTAAGTTCTCAGTCGTCACTAGGGCATATGTGCGCTGATGCAATCCGCTCATTTAAGGTTGAGCTAGAGGAGACCACCCTGGACGCAGCCAAGAGCAGCATTGTCTACGGTGTTGCAAGGAATGTCGCAACTCCTGGCACAGCGGTAAGAGCGCATTCCGCCTTGCCAGTTATGGTGTGGTGACTTGAGACATCTAGGCTACTAATTCTTTCCTTGATCAAGCCATAAAAGGCGTGCCTCAGGGCTACAATCTGAAGCTCCTGGAGCAATACCAAGCTGTGACGAAGAGCGACGTGCTAGCTTCGCTCAAGAAGCACGTTTTGCCAATTTTCAGTTCCTCCTCTTCCACGGTTGTCGTTGTCACAACCCCTTCGAAGGTAGACCAGATTGCAGGCAATTTAGAAGAGTTTGGCTTTAAACCCGAGAAACGGACTTTGGAGGTTGTACTTGAAGATGGTACTGATGACGACAGTAGCTCTGAGACTGGCTCACAAGCAAGTCATCATTGAGCCACCGCATACTTACATTTACATAATAGAAAATTAACCAGACGAATGGACTGCTTGGTCCCCCTTGTCGGTTGTGGTCCCATTATTACTTGCGACGACTTCAATCATCCTTTCCCGTCCTTCACCGGGAGATGGCTCCACCTCTTGAAGGAAGTCATTGTCGACTAAAAATCGGATGGCTTGAGATAAATTTGAAACAGTGATTCGTATTTCGGGTAACAGTAGCTTGAAACGCCGTGAGTATGGACGGATTCAGTGGTAAACGCGCCAAAGGAAAATTAGGATTACATTACGTAGTAGATCTGGCCTGGACATGAATGGAGTCCTTGGCGGTTTCTTTGCTTGAGGGGGGGCTCGGAGTAGCTTTGCTGGCGCAACGGATAACACTTCCGTTCTGTTGAGATTAGAATCGAGGTCGCAATCTGGAGGTGCTCTAGATGTTGTTTCCTCCGGTGGCTCATCTCCAGAGTCGGTGTCGGCGTTCACATGGATCTGTTGAGGAAGCTCATCCGGTGCGACAAACGCTGAATCCGTAGATTCCCTGGCATTCACGGTTGGTGGGACCCCATCTCGCCTGCCCGAAGGACCTTGTCTGCTTCCAATGCCTCTTTTAGAACGCTTTCCCCGATCTGCGGACAGGCCGTCTGTCGGATGATTATCTCTACGCCTTTTTCTTCTACCCATTCCCATATCTTCAGGTGTCAGCTGTCCTCGGGCAATAGCTTCCTCAATCTTGCGTTTTTTCTCTTCCACTCGTTCAGAGGTCGGAAACCGCTTTCGTCGTTCGGTTATCCAGGCATCAACAGCTTCTGGTGTATTTAGTAAGAGAGATGTTCCTTGAATCGGGATAGGTTTCCTATAAGCGGAGCAGCAAAATCAGTTGAGACGGTCAATGAAAAGATCGCGAAAGAGGTGCGTACCCTTTCAGGCTAGGATCAGCGTCCCAGTCGTCTTTCTTATTCTTGTCCCATCCAGGCGGGAAAATAAAGTGACGATCCATCATGTGAATCTCGACCGACTTTTTTGAACCCGTGAATGGGCAGCCTTGCCTTTGACATCGAAAGTTGCCAGGCTGATACCAGCTGCCATGTTTCAATGGATCAGTCACTACTCGCTTTCCGACGAGTGGTAATGGGCGAGCATGGTCTGCAGAGGGGTTTGGGAGAGGTTTGTTTGCTGGCGTCCAATCTTGACGCGGAGTATACGTAGAGGAGAATGTATATCCATCTGCAGTCGTCGCGGGACGTGACCTATTGTACGAGGCTTGCACGTAGACATTGTAGTAATGGGGAGTCATCCCGTACGGCGCATACGACTGTATGTATGGGTTCGTGAGCGCGGTAGTCATCGCGCCTGTATCGAAGAAGGGCGGACGACCACTCGTCGACCAGTCCGACGCGGCAGAATTCTGTGGTGGAGGTTGCATGGAAAGTCTATATTGGCACACGTGACCTACGACTTGGTAGGCACGTTTACTAAATACTAAATAGTACTGCAGACATGGATCTCGGAACACATTGGAAGCGGGAACATAATGTGCATACTGTATATCGTCTGTGAGAGTGCCGTACGACAATGCGGCATAGTATACGAAAACATCGAACGCGAGGGCCAGAGAAGTTTTGCGACGAGAGGGGAAGATCACAGGGTACGAACAAAATCGCGTCAAGAATATCGAAGGGAAGACGAAAGCCAATGCAAACGCAAATGTTTCCTGGCCATCTGGGTAGTCAATATCAACGTAGGAGGGCGCAAGAGCAACAAACACGTGCAAGGCGGCCAGGAGAGCACGCAGGCAGCAAGGACAACAAGAACAGAGGCGATCTACGGGAAGGATAACGTTTTTGGGGTAGTTGGACTAGTCGCCATAACGAAGCACAAACACGATCGTGCGATGGCAAGTGGTCCACTCGAGACATTGTCGTGTCTGTTGGGAGGCGTAAGGGCCGAGTGGGGGGCTCTTTATTCCTGTGACTCCTGCTGCTGCTGCTCCCTTCCAACCCTCCTCTCCTTCTCGCTCTCCAGCTGATTGTATAAAAGGAACAAAGCCTTCTCATTGGCCTCGGGCGTACCAACGATAGTAAACATGCGTTCGTTAGTATCGTCGTGCGGCATCTTTGCGATTGATATTTTAGATCCCGAAAGCCGACGGATTTCGGTGATCTTGCTCCCATTACGACCAATGATGCAACCAACCATGTCAGAAGGGATAGATATGTTCTGCGTGCGAAGATTGGTTGGCTGCTGCTGGGTGGATGGGGAATGGGGCGAGGGCGGTGAAGAACCGCGCCGTACTGTGTCACCATTTGACCTGCGGTTGGCCATGGGTCCGGGAGCATAACCGTTGGTCGAGCGCTTAAAGCTAGACCGTTCTTCGCTTGTACCTGCACCTGGGTAGAAAGGTACTGTGCCAGCACCCCTTTCCCAGTCTTCCAACAGGCATTTGCCAATTTCTTCAATGGCACGACCAATAGCTTCTGGGGAGCCCTGGACTTCCACGATACGCTCTGTAGACTGCGGTAGCATTTCTTTGGATGCGACCATGCGAGCGCCGGAAAGTTCTTGGATGGTTTTGATTTTCAAGCCACTTCGACCAATTATGGTACCCATCAAGTTGTGAGAGATCAGGAGACGGATGGAAGTATGACGTGTCGAAGAAGAAGGATATTGGGATTGGGTGCGGACTTGATGTGACGAGCTGAGTGATGATCTGCGTATATGCCTGACGTTGAAAGGGTTAGTAAGGAGGTGGAGGGAGGACATCGAGCAGATCACGGACCTTGGCGACAGATTCGACGGAGCCCGAGACTGTGAGGACACGTTCGTGCACGCCAGGGGTGACCTTGCTGACGCCCGCTCTCACATGGGCTTGTTCTCTCAAATCGGCGACGTTTTTCCCCTGCTTTCCGATGATGACGCCAGCCTCCTTTGTGTTTACGAGAGCGCGAAGAGTGAGGATGTCCTGAGCAGAGGAGGGTGAGGGTGAGCGAGATCCGGCTGGAGAGGCTAGTAAGGAGAGAGAATGAGTATGCTGAATGAACCCCTAGCAAAGATCTCGAGCACACCTGAGCTATGGCGGGCCAGTTTTTCGGTGGACATTGTGTGGAGACGGGGATATGTGATCAGAGTGTGTGCAGATGGGTGGAGCGCTGGGCAGGGCCGGGGGGACGACGCAGGGGACGGGGACGGGGACGGGGCGGGGACGGGCAGGGCGACGACGACGCAGCTGGTGGCGGGGAGAAAACTTGCAGGACGGACGCGCGTCACGCGATTCCCTTTTCCGGATCCGGGCACACGCACAGCCACCCACTCTATGATGTATTCCAGAAAGTCATAATAAAACCGCTGGGCGGGCAGAGATCGCATAGTTACATGCATGGTGTCTTATAGCATCTTATAGCATACAACTCGAGGACATCGCCCGTAAAGCAGGCACCAATACCTAGTACCCATACTCTGCAAGCTTCCCAATGGATGGCGAGGCATCCGAAACTGCCTTTTGGCGCAGCTTGATGGCTGCAATCTATCCAGTAACAGGTCAGCAGACCGCTCATCGCTCATCATCCCCCTTGGCATACCTTGCGTTCATGGAATGCTTGTGCCTTGATCTTCCTCTTCTCCTCGAGCCGGTCAACAACGTCCTTGTAGCCCCAGCCAACCTCATGCGACAAACGCTGATATTTCCCACCGACGTCAACATATATACTTACTGAAAACGTGTCTCCCCCCCTACTTACCTTAACGGTACAGTATTTCCTGCCAGGCTTCAGCCGCAACACCCGTAGAGCCTCAGGTACTACCATCCGCTTCTTGCGGTCATAGGGTGGAGGAACACCCTCAAACAATTTCAACCTTTCAAGCGCTGCAGCACCCCGGGCCGTCTTGTGGGGAACCATGCCTCGGATAGCACGGAAAAGGATTTTGGAGGGAGCGCGATGATGGAAGGGACCAGACTTCTTGGGGTTGACAATGTGGCGCTTGTGAAGGAAGTTGTGGTAGCGCAACTGCATAGTTGTAAGCATACAGCACGGATCGAGTCAAACCCGCCGGTTGTACCTTGTTGCGGAAGAAACTGCCAGAGATATTGATCTCTTCGCACCTCACAACAACAATCTTCTGTCCGGAAAGGACCTGTTTGGCAATGATGGAGGCCAAGCGACCAAGAAGGTGACCCTTTCCATCGATCACGATGGGCGTCGAAGAGAATGTGGCCATGACAGTCTGCGTGAAACAAACAAAAACACAGGCGAAAATTCAGGGTTTGGGTGAGAACGGAAGATTCTGTGCTCACCTGTGTGGACGACGGATAATGAGAAGGCGCGTTCAGAGCAAGTGACGGGCTGCTAACAACTATTGTCCACTTACCTTGAGGGATCTTGAAGTCGTCTCTGTGGGGGAACCGTGTGGGAATCCGAGCCATGACAGCCACCGTGACAAAGAACTGTGTAGCGGGTCGGCGTTTGCCGGTACAATCATATTACATAATATGACGTCCATAGCGTAATCTACAGCTTGTGCCGTTCAATTTGGTCAAAGCCGGACGCCGCTGCCCTTGCAATCCACTCGGCCGTCCCGTACTTGGTGATCGTCCATGGTTTAGCCTCGATATTGTTCTCCTTCCAGTACCCCGCTATCCTGGGTCGCTCGAGCACAGCTGTCCATAGCTTCCCGCACAACTTATACTCACCATCATTCCCAAGCATTCCCCGGATCGATGGAAAAATTTGCGTGACAAGACTGATTGTTGTGGTAACAGCAGCAGCCATGCCTGTCAGTCGATCGGTTTGAAGCGGCACCACCCTGATATTCCTCTCTAATTCGGAGAGCGCGTTCTCGGTATCCTTCAAGAATCGGCTTACGATGCCCCGGATGGTGGTCCTCTGTGGAGGAGCTAACCACTAGACCCGTCAGCCGAGAGGCGCGGATGGGCGTCCGTGACAAGACACACCTCACTATTTCCAGACATCCCAAGTATTCTGACCATGGCGAACAGGGCTGCCTCCTTGACCATTTGAATGCGTACTCTCACTTCGAGTGGTAAGTCTTTCTCCAGCTGCGATGCATGAACACATAAGCGTATGGCTTCACTGCACAGTGCTCACAGTTGTCCCTGCTGGGGCGAGGGCTTCATTTAAATAAGTCAAAATAGTGGAAGTTTCTGCCAATACGAATTCCTGCTGCCCATTTTGCACCACTTCGTGTCTGACGCGCAGAACAGGGACCGCAGAATACGGAAACTTGTCACTAGTGATTTGGCGCGCCTTCTTCCATCGCTCCCATGTAACCACTGGAATCTCCTCTAAATTGAAAGGGACGCCCGAATCTACGAGCAGAAGCAGGATAGGCTCGCCACGAGCTCTGACAGGGAAATATACCAAGTGGAAGCCATGGTCCATGGCTGTTCCAAGGTGTACAGCTTGCAGCTTGTGCATAGGTTATCTGCTTACCAATCCAAACTCCCAAAGCACGTGCAACTAGTTACAAGTTCGCGCAAGGTCGCTACAGTCGCGCTAGCATCCAAGTGCAGCAGTTTCTCTGCATGCCGACCTATCTATTTGCAATCCGTGGTAACCCCAGGCATCCCACTGGATGTCTAGTGTCATGTAGAGGCTAGGCGTCGAACCCCTCCAGCGAAAACATAGTGAAGGGACAAATAACTCCTATACCCAGAACCGGACTTCTGGGAACAAGGTTCGAGGCTGGCAAAGGTGTCGCCTAATTGAAGAACTTTACACGGAAGCTGGCTTCTACTTTCTATTGTCACAATTCACACTTGCAGTGCAAATAAGACCATATGTTAGAAATGATGCTGGATACAGAAGTGACAAGGAATAACAAGTCAGATAGCTGTCTCAGTGAGCTGAATGGGAATGTGAGGGGACTGCCGGCAATTACATGACGAGAGCACAGTACCTTCTGGCGTCTTGACGATATAATTGATGGCTTCGAACATAATATTAACAACGACATCCGCGGAGCAACCAGGACAAACTCACCCTGTTGGACAGTTTTTATTTCATCGGCTTCGGCGTCAGGTATCTCGATGGAAAATTCCTGGAGAGACCAGATCAGTACATGTCCGGGTGGAACGAAGAATTACGTGCCTCTTCCACGGCCATCACGACTTCCACCGTGTCTAAACTGTCAAGACCTAGGTCACCGGTGAAGGAGGCTGTCGGCGAGAGCTATAGAACGAACAATGTAGCACACTGGACGGTAATAAGCTCGCAGGACTAACCTTGGCTTGGTCAACCTTTTCGAAGCCCTTCAGCACATTCATAATCCTCGACTGGATGCTTTCCGTAGACAATCCTGACACGGCGGAGTAGTTTGCCCGGAGCACTCTGTGTGGTGGGACATGAAATGTAGCTCTAGAACGAGTCAGGCTGCGAAGAGCTAGGCGGGCGAAAGACATTCTGGCGAGGCCGCGTCCGTGTCACTGCTGCAAGCAGGTTTAGCGTAGAAAAAAGGAACAGCGTAGACACATACCCGGCTGTCGCCGAGCGCTTAGCTAAGCCACACAGAACCGCGGACATCACGTGCCAAAACGTTACATTTGCGTGACAAGGCCAAAAAATTGAATAACAATCCAACAAGTCGACGAAATGGGAAATTAGTCAATAAGATGTTTGGAATGAACTAGTATACACTTTCTGCATTGAGTAGAATGTGAAGCTTCTACTTTAGAGAATTGGTTTTGAATTTCTTCGAATCTCGAGCGAAAATGCGCCCAACTCCCTGTGTCACACCGTCACATTCACGTGATGTTCGAAGACAACTACCTTAATACCTTTGAAGCACTTAGCCAATTTTGAATCTCTGCAAGTATGAAGCATGGAGTTGCATTCAGAAAATTCTCGAGGACGTCCTCCCATCGTAATCTGATGCTTCGGTTCGTTTTACCACATGCTCTGGGGACTCGTCATTCATGGTATTCTTAGTAACCTTGTCACTGCTCTTTTTGAGCACGAACAGATCAGGACAACCCTTCCGAAGGCGAAGGATACCGCAAGGCTTGCGGAGAAGGTTGGTTTACGATGCAGTACGATTATGTTTCTAAGTATTCAAGGATAGATCATCTCGCTGGGCAAGAGGGGCTCCGAATCTGCGTACAACCGAGCTCAAGCATTCGTGCTTAAACCTGCCGTGCTTCCGAAATTGTTCGAAACATTTGCACAGCGTTACGCGAAACGTCCAGGTGGGTATACCAGGATACACCGCATTGACAACCGCACTGGCGACAACGCTCCCATGGCACTTTTGGAACTCGTAGACAACCCACGCGATTTCAAATTTGAAATGACTGCCCGGGCTGTGGGAAGGGACCTGCTGACTGAACAGCTTCGATGGAACTCTCCTAGAACCGTGCTAAACAGCGGCGTCGACGCTACCCAATCCATTGCCAAGGAGGTCATGCTTAGTGCACGTGAAAAAGGAGAGCTGCGACCCTCAACACGAATCAACTTGCAAAAAGTCGTGAAATATCGCGGAAGTTCGGCTTTGAAGGAAATTGGGAAAAGGGCGAGTGCGTGGGTTGTAAGTATCTTATAATCATAACCTATGCGAAACGTGAGGGTGACCTGGGTTTCAGGAAACCCTTCTGGCAATACCTCTGCAACAGAAAAAGATGCAAATAGCTGCAGATGCATCTGCTGCCGCTAAATACAAAGCGCAAACATCTAATTATGTGGAGAAATTCCCAAAGACAACTATCCGCGCAGGTGCCGCAGTGCCTGGCGATGTGCGATCTGCCATGCGGTTGGCCAAAGGTGCGATTGCACGCCCCCGTCGGCCACCCAGATCTATTTCCCTACCATCACCTGCCCGATATGACTCGCAAACGTTGCATCGTCAGTGAGCCATTGGTGGGCATCTCCTGTTTTTATATATGAAAACAATGGAATCGATTAATTGAAGCTACTCTCCGCCGAGATTCTGTATCAATTTAAAGTTCGAGAGTACCTAAGCTTTCCAGTCAGTCACCCTCGTCGCCTTGGGACAACCCTCAGATGGCAGTGATGAAAACTTGGTCTCAACGAAAACTTTTACTACACCTCCGACCCTCTTATCGAAAGCGGCATACAACTTAGCCATGTCCTCGAGAGGGACCCGGTGAGTAATCATGCTAGGATACGGTATCAGGCTGTGTTTCGGATTGAACATATGCATCCACTCACAATCGGGGGTCAAATTCCCCTGGCCTGATGTAGTCGTGGAGTAGTTCTTCCCAATATTTGTGGACTGGTGCCTGGCCGTTACCTATGAACCTCACACCCTTTTCCATCAATGCCCCGATGTTGAAACCATTGGTGAAGCCGGCGTATGCAGCGATCAATCCACATCGACCCATCTTCCTCACCGAGACAATCATTTCGTTGACAACCTCTGGCACGTCTGTCTCGAGCATAAGCAACTTCAAACCTTTGTGCAGCAACGTCTTTGGTGCATGAAATGTGCCTTCCAAGAACCACGAAATCAGGTCGGAACAGTACAATGAAGAGGGACTCACTGCAATCGATTGCTACATCGAGTCCCCCTGGCACAAGTTCGCGGAGCTTCTTTGGTATGTTTTTCTCTTTACTGAAATCGACAACCTCGAAACCTCCAGAACTTGCCATCTCGAGGCGTGCAGCAACCTCGTCTATGCAAATGACACGACTGGCTCCCTTAAGTTTTGCCCAGCGTGCGACGCACTGACCGATGGGTCCAAGGCCCTGACGAACGGGTAAGTTATTGCACTAGCCCATCGCGCGGTCTGGCGTACCCAAACTGCGACGGTATCTCCTTCTTCTACGCCAGTATCTACGATGCTGTGATAACTGGTAGGAAGGACGTCAGAAAGGTACAGTGCTTTTTCGTCTGGAACGTCATCGGGAATTGGAAGAAGGTTGACTTCTCCGAGGGGGACTCTGACGTATTCCGCCTGACCACCAGGGAATCCACCTGCGAAATGGGAGTATCCGAAAAAGCCTGCGTCGCGCTCGCCATACAAGTAGTTTTGCAACCTAATTCTGTCGTCACACGCCATGTTTCACGACCAACGGGAAACTCACGAGGAAGAGCATGTTTTGTCACAGAAAGAAGACAACTTCTGTTGGCAGTACCTACACCTTCCGCAAGCGATTTGGAAGGATGCCACGACGCGCTGGCCAAGTTTGAGGTTCCTTACGTTGGGACCGATCCGGTCGACCTTTCCCATGAACTGGGTGAGAAACGTCAGAATTGTGACCATACGAAGGGAACGAGTGTGACCTCGTGCCCAAGGATATCACCCTTCTGGAGTGCAAGGATTTCTCCATGATAGAGGTGGAGATCTGACCCGCAGATGGTGGTGCCAGTGACTTGGACGATGACATCGTCGGGCTCGGTGATGTCAGGAATGGGAACATCAATCACGCGTACGTCCTCGGTGCCGAACCATGCAAGAGCCTTCATGGTGGAACCGCCTTCGCGAACCTTGTATTGCTCTTGAACAACAGTTGGGATTTTACCCATACGCTGCGGACGAGTAAGGATGAGTTACTGCGTCAGGAACGAGACCACTAACGGCCTGCGCTACATTAGCTGCGGTCTGCATGAAGAGTCGGTGCTCTGTACGGAGAATGAGAAAGCAGGTAGTAGATTCCGGTGGACAACTATTATATCATTGTCCCTCGAGCGATGACCTTGGCATGACGCGCACATTGACGCGCTTCCCCACGTGACAAATTGTTAGGAGTCGGGAGTTTTTGATCGTGGGAAGCCTCAGCGGTATTGAGCTGGCGCTGGAGGAAGTGTGGCCAAGAAATAAGATGACATTCTACGTTAGATATTATGCAAAAACTGCAATGGGGGATGTATTATCTGCCAGCAGAAAGAGTCCTACAATCTGTCCATGTCATGCATGAAGGGATGCTATGAATCTCAGCTGCCTATTCCACTGCATACTTCATGACCATGGCCAGGAGCCCAACGCTCATCACTGAATATCAGGGAACGGCGGTTCGGTATTAGTTTATGCAACGTCAAAGACATCAACCACTTGCCGAATCGTTCCAAACATTGAATCGATAGTCGCGCCATATGCGGTCTACCGTTACACCGTTTACGTAGTTGGTAGATGGAATCGAAGCACATGGCGAGGGCGAGCGGGGGGATGACGCTCCGCCGAACAACTGCGATATGTCACAATGTACATCCCTCCAAGACCGGGCGCTGTAACGCACGACGACTGATCGAGACGAGCATCGGAGACACCAGTAAGCATGTACACGTACCTCACGTTGGCGACCTTGGAGCGTGATTTCAGGGCATACTTGTACATGGAGCCTGCGTCCAAAACAAGAGTGATACTCTCTCCAGGTTGCAGCAGCACAGCCGTGCTAGTGTTTCTCCCATAATCACGCAGTAATTGAATTGTCGCGCAGTCGTGCATGTCGTTGGTAAAGTCCAGGAGGACTTCATACGATTGGGTGAGGGCAGGCATGTCAGGCTGGCGTTAAGAGTCGAGTGCTTCGAGGAGGGGGGGCAGCTCAGTGGGCAAGTGAGAGATAGGAGAAAGAATAGAATAGCCAAGCCTCGTTGGATGTGAAGCCGTCCAGAGAAGCTTCCTCCTGCTTTTGTTCGCTTTACGGCACACTCTATGGCGCTGTCAGTGTCTCTCTGGACGTCGACTGTGAGTGCAGCAGTAGTAAAGTGTTTGTTATCGTTGGACCTCTGCACGTTACATTTATTCCGTCGCCGTGAAGCAAGGCAACGAGCTGGAAAACAAATAACGCGGTGCAGTGTCGCCACGTTGTTTTCCTTATTGTGTTTGAACGGCGCAAGGGTGTCCCCAGCACACGTTGGAACGGTGAGGTAGATCTATTACACGCCAGGACCGTAGTCGAAACGAGCTTCTTGCAGTGTGCAATACTGGCGCTGTCTAGCTATGGATTATGATACCGAAGCTCTTCACGCCAATTGTCCCAATCTAAGCAACTGCAGCGATAGTCGCCCGTTCTCTCTCAGATCTTAACAACCACCTGCCCCAAAGTATCCAGTGCAACGCGCTCGCACATTGCAGATGAAAGATCAGAATCATGATACGCCTCTAATTATCCCGCGTGGCATCCGGAAATCACAATCAGATGCTTCGCACGCCGTGCTGTCCTCTCCGCGAAAGGAAAGAAATCTTAACAGATACACTGCGTGTGCGGTAAGCTAGCCAACAGGAGACGTGTCGACGGGGTAGCATAATAATTGCACAGTTGTCAGTAGTTACAACTAATTGCAAGGTCGGGAATGTACATGGTTACAGTAATTCTGAAGACTTGACATCGTGTCGGATGGCCATAAAAGTATATTCTCGGCAAGGAGTGGTCACGCGCCATTATACCTTGCATAATGGTTTGGAGTGTAAGGGGAAGGCTCCATTTCTGAAGCACTGGACTGGATTATGCTTGTCTTCCTAGAATTCTCGTGCTCCGGACCTCCATGCGGAGCATAGGAAGACAAAGTGTAGTCACCATAGCCCGCGTTGTTAGCTTCCCTGACAGGCGGAGCACCTGCAACAGTGGACGCAGTGCTCGTGTTCCTCGAGTGTCCATAGCCACCACGGCCATATTCAAACTCTCCAGATGCTCTAGAGTCCCAAGGATCGCCACGATCAGCCATTGGGATATCATCTGTCAGTGGTTTCGTGGAGTCATTGAGTGCCTCGTACTTCTCGTGATCCTCTCTCTGGGAGGCGCCGTAAGAAGAAACGACGAAGTAAAGATAACCCTGTCACAACAGTAAGTGCGGGAAAAAAACGATAAAGAAGAAAAGACACAGAACTTGTACTCCAGCAAAGAATATCCAAGCGGCCCCCATGAGACCCACATCAACCCAAGGGAAGATGTTACACATCGTCTGACCCAAGGTAGAGGTGTCGTTTCCGGAATCACTCGACGGAAAGAACGTATTCTCGCAGTTAGACTGGGCAGTCGAGTGACGGGCAGCAGATATAATGGTCCAAGTAGCGGCTATTGCGAAGGCCGCACAGGTGCATATACCGTGTAGAGTGACATATCTGCGATATAAGATGGGTTTTTCCTACAGAGCCAGTAAGTATACAGAGCCCGACACAGAATTGACACTTACTTGGGCGACACCAAGAAATCCAAGTATCTGAATCGCTGCCCCCACGTAACAGATAATGGCGAAGAGCCAAGGAGCAATAGAGGGAGTTGCCGCTCCAACAACTGCATGACGAGTTCAGTTCAGTTCAGTTCAAGGGCTAGAAACTCACTGGAAGGGGTTGCTACCGAAAGCGTTCCCACTACAATACCTAGTACGAACTGTTCCGTCAGTGTCGTATAAATGCCAGGGTTGACGAGGGGGATAGCGCAGCAGCAATATTCTCTTGGTTTCATGACTGTGACTGAGTATGGAGCGACTTCACCGCAGTCGATGGTAGAAATAAGGACCGCCTCTTGGGGGCGGTACAGGGACAAGTAATCTATTTTAGAAACTCATTCCCACGCTCCTTTTGTAGTTCTTTACTTCCTTCTGACTTTACCAGCTGTTCTCTCGCCCGCCGCTCTCTTCCGCAATGGTTGGCTTTCTGTCCTTGTCCTTGCTCTCCCTTCTGGCTGGTTCCGCGTTCTCAGTCATCCTGCCCGAGCAGGAAGTCATCTTGGATGCTCCTGCACGGACTATGGAAGGCTGGTCGTACGTCAACTGTGGTACGTATTTTGGTCCGGCTTTGACACTGGGACTCACAAGCGCGCAGGCCTACCATCAGACGTCGTTCAGGTCAAGTCGATAACATTGTTTCCAGATCCTCCAAAGCCCGGCAAGGACCTTATTATTACTGCCGTGGGGACTGTAAACCAAGTTGTTGAGGTCGGTTTGAGTCCCACTTATCGGCTCCAGAATGTGACGTCTCGTCATCTTCCAGGATGGAGCCTACGCAGATGTAACAGTGAAACTTGGTGTAATCAAACTTTTGCATAAGCAGTTTGATGTGTGCCACGAAGCGTACGTGCTGATTTACCGTTGGCGCGTCATTACTCACTTGCGGGAAATAGTCGCGCTGCCAACGCTTCCATTCAATGCCCAGTTGAGAAGGGAGAGTATACCGTCGTGCAGAACGTCACTTTGCCCAATGAGATTCCTCGAGGTTTGTGAGTCCTTCGTGCACCACACTCGTCGCTCACTTGTCTCCAGCCAAATTTTCCGTCAGCGTAAGGGGGTATACAGCAGAGGATGAAGATATGCTTTGCTTGGATTTGAAGGTCGACTTCATGCAGTCTCCATTCCCCAGGATTCTTTGATGACCGGCATGTGATGGTCGATTCTCGGAAGCCCTTCGCAGCATTACTCGTGTACGAACAGTAGATAAGACCGACCGTCTCTTTGTCCGTTTCTCAGCTTCATTGTTAGCCCTGTACGACACTTGATGCTATGACTATACCAACTGAATGTTTGTAGTATATCGTTGGACTTCAGTCTTCATATTCTAGCCATGTTAGCACGTGGGAGATTACATAGGATCAAGTGATTGCTTTTTGACCCTCGTACGCTGAAAATCAATGCCCAAAAGTTCTAAGAAAAAAAAAGAGAAGGTAGCCGACTTTGCAGTGGGTATTGGAGTGTGATGGCCATGGACGTTCACTGAAACCTGCTTGACAGAAAGCAAAGCTCAAACTAGGCAAGGGGAAGAAAATATCCAGCAATGTAGTTGACACCTCGTTCAAGGCTCGGAGTACGCTAGTCTTGCCTTCTAGTATGACGTCTAACGACATGGACAAGGTATCGCGCTTCCAACGCAGAGCATCACTGTGGAAAAGGACAACGTACCAACGACCAGGAGGAAACAAACATTCGGGGACATACTTTCCCTTCTAAAACATCACAATGCCGGCGTGCGCAAAGGTGAGTTGCAGCATCGCATGCTATCTGTTTATGCTAGATTCAGTTGTTATCGCAGATGCAATATTTAGTGTAAAGGAATTATTCAACGATTACCCAGACCTCGTCACTAGCTCGATGGCACCACTGTTTAGTGTCTGCGCACGTCTTATTGGCGATACGGTGCGCCCGGTTCTATCTTTCTTGGAGTAACGGTCCTTATTCGTGGTAGGATGCTGGGATTCGCAAAGCGCTACTCTCTTTCTTTGAATGGCTACTAGTACGAGTACCCAAAGTTCGAATGGTTCTCTTGTACCCGCTTTTGAGTGACTCACTTTCTCTTAACTAGGACGATCTAATTCCCCATGCACCCTTACTTCTTCTTTTCACGACCTCAGCACAAACTCACATATTCCCTGAAATACGGGTCGACGCAGTGCGGCTCTTGAACCTGTTCATCGGGACCCTGCCAGAATATGTCGTCATGGGTTGGAATGAGAGTGGGTCAGGCCTTGGCAGGCGCATCTTAGACGGCTACTTGGGATTGTTAAACATTTCCACCAAGTTTGGACAGAATGCATCAGATGGTTTGTGTCCAGACCATCGTGATTTGTTTGAGCATTCATCGAATCGTTTCATGCCAGACAGGACTCCTGTTGCATCAACGGGTTCCGTGACGCTTTCTGCTCAGGTATTCTGCCAAATCATCCCAATCTGGCTATGTACTGATTCATCCGAAGTCAAAACTTGTAGTTCTGCGCTCTCTTTCCAACTTTCTTTGTTATGCAGTCTGCCGACGACCTGCTACTGAAGCAGAAGTCAGTAATCAAAGTCCAGCTGTGCTGCCTCTTCCGACGTGGTTCTTACGTCCGTTCTTCGCATCCGCGCGTCTCTACGAAGAACATGGCCGCCTATTCAATGGACCAATTATGGGCGATCAGGAAAAACATATGTTCTGGGCACCCGAACCGGCATCTGATTCGTTCGATGAAGACTTCGTCTACAATTCCGATATTGTTGTCAGTCTGCCGGTAGCAGCGTCGTGTCTGACGGAACTATTTGATAGTTTTGCCGACCGTAACGGGTCCTCCGACTCCGCGAACGATGTTGATTTTCTGATGGTGGGTGTAGTAGCCTTAGTGAATACCCATGATTGACTTTCACAAATATACAGCGTCTGGCTAATGCCCTCCATCCGACTTTGATCGCTTCATATCTTGAGTGCGCGCCTGTCATATTTTCGCCAAGCATCAACCCTTCGGACACTGATCTCCCATTGCTGACGACGGCGATGGAAATTACGCGAACGCTCTACAGCGTTATATTGCAAAGTGCTAGTCAGGTACGAACGAACCTGTGCGTGTTGCCAAGACTTACACATCCTAAGAGCTCTGAGGCAGCTACTCGTTGCGATGATTTGAAGGCACTACTGGGCCACCTGTCTTGCTATTTTCCCTTCAAACCAGCCTATAAAGACGTAAAGGTGTGCACCCCGAGCTCACCCTTGATTTCCTGATGCAGAAACAAGACAGATGGAACAGGCCTTCCAAAATCTCAATGTGATATACTGCGAGCTGGTGTCTCTCTTAGTTCTTGTCTTATCTTTGCCAAGCCCAAAGGCAAGTAAACAAGGTCGGACATTGCTCCCTCACACGAAGGTGGACAAGAAACTTCAAATGCAAGCGGAGTCAATTCGCATATACGTTGTCCGTCTTCTGAAAGGGGAAGGCGAATTAGGCGCACAACTACCCAGGCCCATCACGCCCATAGCGTATATCGCGTTGCTACCGTCGATATGGGCGTTGCTGAATCAGCTAGATGGCCCCAAAGACCACTTGGATGAGGTTGTCTCATCGTCTGTCCTGTCAGCGGTCCTCGATCACGCCATCAGGACGCCGTCAAGTTCTGCGGTTAAACACGTGACCATAGAATTTTTGGCTCGACTCCTGCTTGTAAGTCAACGGTTCACTCGACATTCATCCTGTTGACGGTCCTATTAGCTTGAAAAAGAAAGAGGCTATGTTGGGGTTTTTAACCCTCGAAATGCTGCCGCAGACGAGAAGTGGCTACAGTGGATTCTTCATCTTCCGAGGGTACTGTGGGAGTTGGGTGACAGCAACCTGTCAACTTCTGTGGTGTGTCACCCTCTGGAACGCGTTTTTTGTATGCTGGACGAACCTCATTTCGCAGACACTCATCCAAGCCCTTCTGCGTCTACTTCAGCGTGGATCATTCGTGGTCCATCACAGGGTTCGTCTGCTCTCGTCCTACACCTTGGCTTTCGTTTATCAACTAAGTACTCCCTCTTGTAGCACGTTGCGTTACTGTGTGCCCGCCTCGTTCCGTTCTTCACGATCACACACCCTTCGCGTGGTAAAATCGCTGGCCCGTTCCGCAAGCTTGCAACGTCTTCGCCACGTGCTGGTCGTCTTGCTCTCGACCTTTCCGCGACACTTCTTGCGGAGCGGGTCAAGGACGTATCCGAAGATAGCAGCAGTAGCTTCCAAGATCTCGATCAGGCTATACGTGCAGCGATCAAGGGCACCGTGGAAGAGGAGTATTGGGTTCGCTTGGCCAACTCCGTGGTGTGAGAGTGATAGTGTGCTTACGGCCGTGGTCCGAGGAGTCTGACAGGGTGCGGGTGGTTGCCAGGAGGAGAATGCGTTGATCGGGCTTTACACAGTTTCCGCGCACCCTCGGCTTTCCTCGCCCGAGCCCTTAGATCCGCGGGTGGGGACCTGCCGGGACTTGCATGCCACCATACCACGGGTGAAGCTGCACCCCCATGGCATTAGTACGCTATTTACAACTGTCGTTCATGACTTGCAGCATGTAATCTGATGCCCGCTTCACGGAAATGAAGGCAAGGCCAGGTTCGGATCAGGCTAACCATGTTACTTCTCTGGTTAGTAGCATCTGGCAAACACGGTCGATATAAGGAGGCTATTGTAATTCCATTTCATTCCAGTTTCACTATTGACATAATTTTACCGAAACCCCCTTCAAGGGGGTGACATTGGCCCAGTCAACTACAGTCAATCCTGCTACTATGAGGAGTCGTAGCCATGCGATCAAGCATGGGGGTCATGGGATGACGATTTGTAACTTCTCTACTCGGTAGAGGGTGCCAGCGTCGGGTTGGGTTCAAGTATGTAATAACTTAAGAGAAAAAAAAAAATGATGGAGTGGGACCGGCCGAGTTTGCCGTTAAGTGGCGCTGGGATTATTGCGTCTAGGACCAAACCCAGGAGATGTCGATGCGCCCAACAGACTCGGAGGCAAGGTCAGAGAACGCAGTGGGAGAGAAGTCCAAATCCGTGAGTGAACAGCCAGTGCACCTGTCAGTGATAGTTACAGTCGTGCTCTTTCCTTGATCTGATAAGAAAAGAGTCAGAAGAAGAGATAAATGTGAGAAAACTAGTCCTCACAGGAAGCCGTAACCTGCTTGCCACAAACGGGGTTTGTGTTCGGGTTTACACCATCGTATCCACTGCATGAGGATGTCAGACGACGACAGTATCCTTAAGGGGGTGATACACACGGATAGGCGTCAAACAGTTCCCACGAAACAGCCGCGATGAGTTGACTATCAGTGTTGGTGATACCACAGGCACCAAGTCCAGTTTCATAGTACGTGCCTGGAAAAGGAAGTTAGGAATGAAACCTGACAGGAGGGCGGGATTACTTGCCTTGACCCGATTGAGTGCCGACCATCCAGCTCGGGTAACTGCTGCTATCAGAAGTACTAGAAGTAGCAGCGGCAGCGGAGGATGTGGTTGTGGGAGTAGGCGTGGTTTTCTCCAGGACAGCAGGGGTAGACGTAGGAGTGGGGGAAGACGTGGGAGTGTTGTCCTTCTCCTGGGCGGGGGTAGGCGACGGGGACGGGGACGATGAAGAGGTAGCTGGGTTTGGTGCGACGTTCACTGGCACAGCAGAAGGCGTGGCAGAAGCGGAGGTTGCGGCGACAGCCGTCCCATTGGTGGAAGGTTTAGAGGAGCAACGCTTGTTCAGAGAGCGTTCGCGCCTGAAAGCCGACACAGGGCGGGCGGGCTCTGGAGTAGGCTTCTGCAGCCCAAGTGCACGGTGCTGATGAATGTTGTGGGAGATATGGGGGCTGGTGAGTGCACTGGCGAACATAGCCAGGGCAAAGACAACGAAGACTTTTGCAAGAGGGGCCATTTGAGCGAGTGCGAAGGAGAGAGTGGGTTGAGTGTCGGATAGACTGAACGGTGGAAATGAAGGGTTTTTATATACAGCGAATGACGAATGCCCCTTGAAATGGGAGTCACTTGGAAAGGAGAGGGGGGGAAGAGGGGAACAGTCTGACCGAGCAGAGGGGGGGGGAGGGGGAGAAGAGAGGCGCTGGTGGCTGGGTGCTCGCCGGGAATGTTTTATCTCTTGCCTAATCTTATGTAAGCACAAAGGGGTTGTTACAACATTTCCGTCGCGACGGACTGCGGACAGGTTCATTCTTCCATATACTCGATAGCCATGCGCAGCCTTACACTAGCCCCTTTGGGTTGCAGAAATTTTACAAGGACACGTGTAAGAAAACTGGATCACTGATTCACGTCGTGTGTCCGGCCCGCGCAGCGTACATTTTCGCCAACCCTAATCCTGCTGCACTCTCCAGCGTCTTTGCATACGCGTCCAACTGTCCCAACAACAGCAAGCTGTCCAGCCGACTTGGGTCAGGTGGGATCTTAAACATCCGGCTCACGTCCTCCTCGGGGAGCGGATTCAGCCCCTGAGACACGCGTTGTGCATTCTCTTCCCGCCGCTTCGCCAGGTGGGTTTCCAGCCGCAACTTCTCCCGTGCAATCTGCCTCGACGCATAGGCGACGTTACCTTCCTCCGTCCGGTAATTATCAATCCCTTCCGCAACCTGTTCCAAATTCCGTGCAAGCCCAGAATTACCGAGATCGAGTGCGGAATAAGAAGGCGGTATTGCGCTTGTCGCCGGCGACCCAAGATGCGCGGATGTATACGGACTCGCCGAAGACGGCGCGGCCAAAACATTCAAGAACGAACTCAGCAACGGATTTGTACGAATTCTCAACGGAACCTCTTCTAGGATCGAGGAGAACGTCAATCGATGATGCACCAAGCTGCATCATTCAGTTAATAACATGTTCCTTCCGGTCACTGCAACCACTCACCTCGAGGCGCTGAAATTAGATTTTTTGTAAACGTCTATAAACGACGGCGTCAACTTGAACGCACGGAATGACGCAGTTCCCCGCGCCGTCTGTGATACGTCTAAACCTTTCGGTCAGTGCACCAAGTAGGACCGCGGGATGCAAAGCTACCGTGCACAATGACAACACCCCCATGTCTTAGTCTCTCCTGGTGTATTGCTTGGGTATCTATCAAAGATTGGCTGTAGAAAGCACCGAGGCTAGTCGCCTGGTAAAATCCAACAACGTTATCGTCGCCTTGTACCTCTCTCAACGATCGCAACATTGATGTCTGATAACGTGCTAGAGTCCCATCAACACGAACCTTACATTTTGTTATTCCGAGAATGCCGCACCGAGAGATTTTGAGACCTTTTCGTCGTCATCGTTGGTGTGATTTGGTAGTGGGAAGCTATTGGACACCTCTAGGGTGCCCTCCAAATCCAGACCAAGTAAAAGGCCGTGTGCAGATCCCGAAGGGGAATCTTGACTGTGTTGTATGATCTTGGAAACAACCTGGGAACAAACAAGTGAGTGATAAAGAGAAAGGTGGTGAAAGAAGGCGCACCAAAGCGTCTAGCTGAACACATGTGAGCGGTATTTCTGCTTCGACATCGATTGCAGTTGACATGGACGGAGGAATGGCTTCATATGTGGGCGCAGCAGGCGTGACAGCCGCGGCTGGTGCGGGAAGTGATGCAGCAAGCGCTGCGGCCATGGATGGGGCCGACATTTTCAAGGTCGCTGGCGAAGACGATGAGCTCGAAAAAAGCAAGATAAAGAGCCCCTGCTGACTAATTAGCAACCCACCTACATATTCACTTCCCAGCGGCTACTATGCAATTTGCAGTGACACCTTCTGTCAAGCATGGCCGCCATGTCTCGTTCTGCGCGAATAACCCTCTTGCTCGTCATAGACATTGTCTTCTTCCTTATCGAACTCGTCGCTGGTATGGTTCTCGTCTATCCACAGTTTTCGTCTTGTCACCTTACCTTCCAGGCTATGCGGTCGGGTCACTTGCTCTCGTCGCTGACAGCTTTCATATGCTCAAGTGTGCCGACATTTGGTCGTGATGTTGAAACTTGTCTGATTCCATACCCAGCGATGTCATGAGTTTAGCAGTTGCGCTATACGCAATCAAGGTTAGTTTCCTTCCCGACTATTTATTCGGCCTTATTGACAAGGGCCACTCCCTAGCTCACCAACCAGAATTCCATGGATTCGCGCTACTCCTATGGGTGGCATCGGGCAGAGATACTTGCCGCCCTCATCAATGGCGTTTTCCTACTTGCACTATGTTTCTCCATCGCAATGGAGGCTTTGGAGCGCTTCGTCTCCACTCCAGGTGTGACGCTACTCGAACCTGTTCGTTTTCCTTCCTGACCTGCGTGTTACCGACAGAAATCTCAAACCCGCGGCTTGTTGTCATAGTCGGGTCGTTTGGTTTAGCTTCAAATCTCGTGGGGCTCTTCCTATTCCATGGTGCTTGTCAAATCACACTTCGTGCCTAGTCGCCCTAAACCGTCTTTCTGCAGAACATAGTCATACCCACAATCACAATATTCCCTCCAAGCCGTCCAGCGTTCACCGGATGCCGGCGGATGAAACTTCACATACTCGGGAAATCCCGATTAGAAAACGGTCGGATTCGTACTCATCTATGTATGGCCATCCGGCCGCCACCCGCGCATCGCTTGTGCAAACCGCACAGGATATGGCGTCTTCCACTGGAGTGACATCATCTGGCCGCCCTTTCAGCCCAGATTTATCGGAGGAAACGCCCTTGCTGGACGAAATACATGAAACGGAATATCGCAACACACCAACGCCTAGCGGGCTTTCAAGTAGTCATACGCACGCAGGCTCAATGAACATGCATGCCCTCATACTCCATGTGTTGGGTGACGCCTTGGGCAATGTTGGCGTCATTGCTACGGGCCTTGTTATATGGCTCACCGAGTGGTCATACAAGTATTACTTTGATCCTACGATCAGTTTGGTGATCACAGTCATTATATTCTCTTCTGCGCTACCCCTCGGTAAGCCCAACCAAATTCAGTGGCTTTAATACATAGATCTAATGTCGCGCAAAGTTCGCAGTGCCTCGTTTATCTTATTGCAGGGTGTTCCACCAACCATATCCCTTGACGCTGTGCGGCAATCAATTTTGAATGTAGAAGGGGTGTTGTCTGTGCACGAGCTCCATGTCTGGCAGCTTTCGGAATCCAAGATAATTGCCTCAGTCCACGTCATGGCATCACATAATCATGACTTCATGCCGGTGGCAGCGGAAATCCGAAAGGCTCTGCACCACCATGGCATCCACTCTAGCACGATTCAACCCGAATATCACCCCCGTACCACACATATGGTCCCTGAGGATCACTTGAAGGTGTGTTTTCGCATCGACAGCAATAGCAAATGCCACTTAACTGTCGTATAGATGTCTGCCAATTCCTCATGCTTGATACTCTGTCCTGCTGATCAAAACTGCAATCCTACTGAAAACGCATGTTGTCGTGAGTACAATCCAAATCTACATGAATATGTCCATTTACATCCCCTCACAGCACCTCCAGCCCCCGGGGCATAGCGTAAATCATTTCTAAAACCCACGTATATCTCACGAAACATGTAGATGATGTTTATATCCACAATATTTGTTTTCAAGGCATGAACACCGGAAAATTCGCGATGAAAGTAGACAAGCTACTCAGTCGCTGAAGCATCACTGCGCTAGTTTGCGAGCTCGTTTTCTGAGCACGTAAATCGGACGCTAGCTTTCTTGCAATCATTGCGCTAGTTTGACCCGCCATGGCTTTCTGTTCGCTGCACACCGTCTGAATTGCCCATTCCAAGTGGAGTGCCGCGGAGAGTACCGTGGAGACGATTGTTACCATCAGGTCAATGCTTGCGTTTACGTCACTAGTTTGCTGGTCAATCCTGGCTATCAGAATAGGAAGCACATTATGCACGAAGAGCGGGAGAAGCGGCGGTGCGCCAGATCGTGGGGTCACGAGGACGAAAGTCGCGAGTCGCCGGCACGTCTCGATCTCCCCTAGGCTTGCTGCAGCACACAGCTCTGACCAGACAAGTAACAAGAACTTGGTAGGTGTAACGATCGTAAGGCAGCGCGCAACGTCGATGTGGAGTCCCTTGCGTTCCCGTGCGAGCATGAAGGCTTCACGGATTTCCCGTCTTGGAAAGTGTAGAAAAGTCTCCGGGGGTATGCTTGGGGCTTCTTGCGCAGCCGCTCTTCCTAGGGGTCACGGACATAGTATGATATCGACTAAGAAGTCGTGTCCGAATCGTCCCACTCACCATCTTTCTTCAGCCCCAGGGTTTGGAAAGCAAGTGCTTTGATAGCCTCAACGTCTAGAATGCCTGGGTTCACTACTTGGGCTCTCTTGCTACATATTAACCTTAGTATGTTGGGGCTGCACAAGCGGAGTACAACACGGGGGCAGTTCGGTGCCAGTAGAAGGCTGCGAAGAACTTCCAGTGGATGTGTGGCAGCGAACCTGAGTGAAGTCGGTGAGGATGTTGAAGCAAACAGTTTCGTAAGACTTGCCCTCTCTGCTGAATTTCAAAAAGCATGGCGTGCACAACTCCCACCAGCGTCCAATTCAAAAGCGGCTCAAGGAAATACGATATGCCGTTGCGCAGCGCATCGATGTCGATGCGGTTCTCCTGCCTAGCAACGCAAGCCTGGGAAAAGAGCGTTGCCGACATCTGGAGAAGTGTCCTAGGTCTCGTAGACCTATTGCATCGAATCAGAGACAAACACAAGGTCAGAAACGGAGGCATTACCGGAATATGGCATCATCAATGCCATTGTCGCTGCTGCTGTCGAAAATGGCTTTGAACCATGCTGGAAATACAGATTTAGCCTCAAGCGGCAGGTCATCGAGATGGTAAACTCGTGAAGACCGCAAGAAATCTGTGCGAAGTACTTTGTCCCCCTTCTTTAACGTGGATGCCGAAATCTACCACGAACTTAAGGCCTGAGAGGGCCTGTCGCGATGAATTCACTTACGCGGAATTTTGTCAGAACTACCTGGACAAAGAGCACGATATTCCCTAGGTGGCTTGACGCCGTTTGTGGATCTCCTGTGGTCTACATCAGTAAAAGAAGTGTCTGCGTTTTGTTACACACCGACGGTCTCGCAATCATAATCAGTAAGAAGGTGGATCGCATCAAACAACACATCAGATATCTTGAGATGCAAAGAGAGGATATCAAGTGCAAATTCATGGGTATACAAGATCTTCATGAGATGACTCAAGACTTCCAAATCCCCCGTCCTAAAGTGTGCAGTGAGGCACTGAAGTACCTGTTAGAACGAACCCGGCGACAGGGAACAAGCCGTACCCGACGGACGGCTGCGGCAAAAAAGTGGTGACTGCCCGGTTCACCGCGTATGCGATCAAGCACTGCCTGCAAATCTACTTCACTCGATTCCGCAGTAAGCTTAGACTCGAGGTAATTCTGACGAATCGCATTATACATGAGACATAAACAACAAACGAGCCATGATCACCTCAAGTGTGCAATTGTGCTCGGCAGCCTCGGACTGAAGGCGCGACATGGATTCATTAGCAAGCGTTGGATCCATGGTAACGACGAATTGTTGGTCTATAAGTTCTGCCACACGCAGTTGCTGCATAAGTTGACCGAGGAAAGGCTTCTGGCTACAAAGCACATCAATGGCACGTCAGGACTGAACATGCGAGACGAACACGTCGATATCCTCTAAACCTAGCTCCCTATTCCTGGCTCGCGGTTGAACCTTGTCGCACTTCGCTAGTAACTCCGAGTGTTGTAGTACGCTAGCTATTGCAGAGTGCATGGCGTGGTGCTGGAATCAGGTAAGCCCCCGGTATGGCAGATTCACAGATCCCAAACTATCCCAACCTCATTTGTGCCATGTCTTTCAAGGGTCTTCTCAAGCATGTGCAATAAGCGGGGCAGCTAGATAATTGCGGTGAGGACAACACACGGATCGAAAAAGAAGAACCCACTCGACCAAGTACGAACGCCTTCCAAATGAAAAAGGAGTCCTCCCGGGCGTCTCTCGGCGAGCTTCCCGCTACGCAAGTCAATGCTGCAAGGAGAATTTGGGTATAGAAAACAGCTGGTGCCCAAGACGTCCATCGAATTGTTCCCATAAGAAGAGCAACAGCCTCTAAATCGCTACCCGCGCCATAGTCTCCAGCACGCGAGGTCACCTACCTAGTTTTGAGCACAATGAAGAAGATCAGTGGATTATACCTACCAGACTTTGTAGTAATAGGCTACATGTGACGGTATCGGCCTCAGTATTAGAGCCGAGGACATCGTTCCTGCCTAAGCCAAGCTGCATTGTGTGAATCAACTGTGCTTCGCGCTCGGCCTTAGCGTCGTCTCCAATTAGCAGACTCAAGGACAAAGCAAACGTTTCCAACGCTTGGCGGACACCGGAAGAAAGTCGTATAGTGTGAAGAATGTCATTAGCCTCCCCCAAATACATCATCGCCTGAGCGGTTGGAATGTGAGGAATGTTTGTGGTGCATGATAGTAGAAGTGTAACGAGCTCTGAAGCCGAAGCTGACAAGCGGTGAAACTTGGATTGGGGAAACGAATATGCGTTGCGAAGAAACACCAATGCATCATGCACTGTGCTCAGAACGGTACTTTGCGGGGCCGTAAGTGAGAGAAGGGATCCAAAGGGGGGCAAATTGGACGCATAATGTGCATCCAAAGCCAGCCGACATAGTCTGTCGAGGGTAGAAGCGCTGTGTATTTCCGACGAGTTCGCAACCTGCAAAAAGTTGGCCACAAAAACTGAAATGGGTAATAGCCCACTGCAAAGGGCTTCCTTCAAGTAGCTCTGGAGAGCAGGGTCGGCATCGTATGTACCGCACAACTTGAGAGTAGTTTCTGAATGGAATTGACACTCCAAGGTTAATTGGCCCGTCCGTGACATGCTTTCACGGCACGCACCACTGATCACTGGCCCGACATTGGAAGGGTCTTGAAATGAGCCTTTCTGCTTCACCCATAGTTTGCAGAGATCAAGCCACTTTGAACATTCAGACGGTTAATGGTACAAGTACGCATCATCCTCCATCAGCGCCTCACCTGACTCGCGTTGATACCGACGTGATATGAATTCCTTGTCAAGTCTGCAAGAGACATCTAGTGCTGCTTGCTATGGTAGTCGTGTACAACGCCGATGTGACGAAATCTTTACTGAGGAACACACGACGAACTATAAGACCAAACCTTGCCGTGGGCCAAAGTGTCGAAGAACAAATTGGTACATACGCGCGGTTGGTGTGTTAGTGGTGCAGAACACAACACCGCGTAGTCAGTAGTAGTTACAGACTTCTCAGAGTGGGTCGCCGTTGCAGACAGTATTTGTATGATCATTGTAACCAGTGGCTGCTGGCCAGAAGCAAATTAAGCCCAGGATTGCATAGACTACGATATCCTCCCTCGGGCAACGCTCAGACTACTGACAAGCTTTGCACTTCTCACCAGGACTATATTAATCTTATCCTGCAGCACAATTCCCGAGTAAACCTGGGGCATGCTGGAAAATCTACCAGAGACTCTCGTTGCGGTATAGATAAGACCGTTACTGGAATAACTAGACTTTTGCAATCAGCCGGCGAGTTTCTTGAGGGGTGAACCGCAAGATGGTTGACAGGACCCGTACGAGGTTGGGCTAGAACATCGGTAAATCAGGAGATACGCTGACGTAGTGAATTTGACTGACTCTCATCTCCTTGTGTTCAAGGAACTGTAGGATGACATTCCGCAAATACTCGTAGTTGATATCTTCATCACGTTTCGCTACGGTAGCTGCTGTTTGCGGTTCCGGAGACGCAGCGCGGGAGGGAGTGTCTGACGGAGATGACACTGACGTCCGCGAGTCCGCAGTTCCAGTCCGGGAGGACCAATACCCCACGCCTGGATTACGTTGGCGCTCCAGCAAGGTAGCCGAGTTTTGTACCTTACGAAGCTCCTCTCGCAGTGTCTACGTGACACATCAGTGACTGCATTTGCAGGTTTGATATTTAACGTGCCTTGTTGTGGGTGCGCAACTGGGCTTCTCGTGCTTTGCTTTCACCGGCTTGCATTCTGTGCTCGTCCGCTTCAGCCCTGGCTTCGGACAGATGACTTTGTAGAGTTGTCTGAATAGACTTAAAAATTTGCACATATGAAAAGACTTTCGCTCACCTACCTCGTTGGCCTTCATCTGCTCAACCAATGACTGCAGTTCGGAAAGACGACTCTGTTGCAGCTGAGCATCGCCTTTGAGTCTTTCAACCACAGTTCTAAGGGACTCTGCAACATCCTCCTCCTGCTCGCGGGACCGCGTAGACGTTTGCAAGAAGGACCGAAGCTCGTCCGCTTCTCTGGCCTTCAGCAGTAGTTTTTTGCTCCAGTTGGCTTCGCTTTCGGTGCGTTCTCGCTCCGCAGCAGCCATTGTTCTCCTAAGCTCTGAAATTTTTGCCTCGTATTTCGTCTCCACAGAATTGATCAAATGTGAGACGTCCTCCGTTAAAGCACCGCACCCTTGCAATCGACTTTCGTGTTCACTGCGGAGATCGCTAAGTTCATCAGTAAGGAGGGCAACTCTCTCTTGTACAGCCCGTAGTTGAAACTGGAGCTCAGTATTTTGACTCTGCAAGGACTCGGCATGAAGCTGTGATGACTCCAGTTCGGCTTGTCGCAGCTGCAGCTGATTAAAGAAGGATTTGTTCTCGTTTGAAAGGTTGTTCACTGACTTCTCCATGGTTGATATGTGAGATTCCTTAGCGGCTAGTTCAGCTGAATGGGAAGTCTATAACACATGTGGTCAGTGAATCGTACTGCAGGTTGCGGCGACTGAGTGACCTTTAGCCTGTCAAACTCTGCAGCGAACTGCGTTCTTGCCGAGGATATCTCTTTCTCCGCCCGATCATTCACGGCCGCCAGCTCTTTGTCGAATTGCGCTCGCAGGCCAGCAACAGCCTTTTCGCGCTCGAGGTTGACAGCATCAACCTCACTCTGCAACCTCACCCTCTCCGACTTCAACTTCTCGCGCTCCTGCCTTTCTTGCTCCTTTATTTCGTTGAGCTCCCTCACCGCGTCGTCTCTCTCTTTTTCTGCCTTGACTAGCTTCTGCCTCACCGTTTTCAGCAGGCTGACGGCTTTAACGCGCTTTTCTTCCTCCTCCTTTGCCATTTCCTTTGCCTTCGACACGTCGGCATTTAGCTGCGCGATCTCGCTCTTCTTTTTGATCTCCTCTTCTTCAGTTTGACTTGCAGAAGCTTGTGATGCAGAGATAAGAGCCTCTGCCTCTGCCAGTTGCTGCTTCAGCTTTCCGGCTTGGTCCAAGTGAGATGCAATCTCAAGGCGATGAACATCTCGAAGTTCTTCGATGCGTTCCTCCTGACCTGCAGACTGATCGGCACGCAGCAATGTCACCAGGGAAAATTACACACGGGTGAGTTTGCCTCCAAGGCGCTGTAATTCGTCTTGGCTCAACTGCCGCGATGAGACATAGCGTTCTAATGGAAGACCAAAGCAGGCCTACCTCGAGCTTCATGTTCATATTCGTGAGGTAGTCGCGTAAAGCTGCTACATTTTTAACGTCCTCCAATGGAGTCAACTCGCGTATAAGGGCGTCAGCTGCAAACCGTTCGGCCTGAAGCTTCTTGAAAGACGTGGACATGTCTGTTTGGCAATTAAGCACAGTCAACGTGGTACTATGTGAGATCTAAGAGGTTACCTGTAAATCGTTGCTCCACAAGCTTCAGACGCTCTTGTAGAGCTTCCACATCCGCAGTCTGAGGGATGACTGAAACCGGGGACTCATGAAAAGCAGGGGGCGTTTCTAGGTGATCTGGAGAGAGATGTGCGTCTGCTTTGGTGTTACTGCCTGCAGAGATCGTTGCCACTGTGGGGCAATCGTCGACATGTTCCGGTGCCAGCCCTTGTGCGACATCGCCGTTGGTGTTAGTACCTGATGCGCGCGGTTCAACCCCGAGCTGGTTGTACACACTCGATGGGACCGTCACATTCTGCAACTCAGAATCTAGTGTCGAAGGGGCCGTATTTTCCAACGATGTTAGCGGAGGAGAGGGAGAATGGGGAGCAGGTATGGTGCATTCTTCGGTCGGAAAGTTGGGCGTAGCTTGGATCGGGGACCCAGGCAGGGGTATTAACTCGGGTGACAGCGCATTCTGAGGAGCAGGCGAGGTATCGGGGCCGGGCGATGCCCTGGAGGAAGACGGGTTGGATGTTGCACTGCTCGGCGTTTCGCCGACAGTAAACGAGGCACGTAGTCGTTCCTCGAGTGTTGACTTGCGCAGGCCGGTGTCGCTACTGCTCTTCGGGACTGAGGGTGGTTGAGGACTGCCAGAACGCGACTGGGGGCTCGCAGATCGTTGTGGAAGGACAGTACCAGCACGCTGCGTCGCCAATGATTTGCGCAAGTTCAGGAAGGCGGATTCAGCAAGCTGACTTGAAGAGCGGGATGTGTTCACGTCCGGCGAACGAGCGCGGGTGCTGCTTGGTGGTTCGTCGCCAGGACTGGACTGGTCTTGCACCAGGGTTTCCACTACTTGGCGTAATTGCGAGAACATAGTCAAGTTGGAGCAGACTCGAAGCTACCGCTGAGCACTGGCTGGCGGTACCACGTGGAAGCGGATCAGGCGCTTGCGCGACAGTCGATAAACGCTACTCATTATTTAGCAGTTCCGACAAGTACTTCAGAGCTACAGATTACGATGCATGGTCTACAGGGATCTCCAAATCCTTCCCCTTCCCGTTAGACTGTATCGGTGGTGTAAATGTACCGGTTCGGCTGCCACCCGCAGGCTCAGACGAAGGTGTCGGTGCTGCGCCTACAAGCTGCCAAGAAGGTATTCGACGGTCTTCCCGCCAGTGCTGGTAGTGATGTTGATGGTGTACTCGACAGAGTACCACTCCGGCTGAGTAACAAGGTCTTTAAGGATTTGAGCTCTTGCTGCAGCTCCGAGAGTGATTGCTTCTGCGCCTCTTTGTTGTTCTCGATCATCTGCCCAGTCTGTGGTTGAATACCAAGGTTCATATCGGGGTCGGACCAGCGTCACTCACCTTGGGTAGCATTTCCCGGATGTTTTCCACTTCATCGCGGATCTCTCGCATCTCATCCCTTGTTCTCGCCTCTCCTTCGCGCATCTCGACTACCACAGACTCGACGTCCTTGGTGGCTTTATCCACCTTTTCCCTTTGTTCTTCGACGGCCGCGCGCACCGAAGCCGTCTCATCCTGTATTTCCTTTAGAAGAGCTTCTGCAGCATCGAACTGAGCCGTTAACTCGTCCCGGTCTTGTTCGTATGCAGTGGCCGTCGGGGGTTTCAGATGGGGAGCCAGGTGCTTCTGCACAGGGGTAAACAGGTTGCATTGGATATTGGCAGCGATGACTTGCCTTGAACAAGGACACGGCACCGTATACCACCGTTCCAGATATGACGGCGGTTATCTGAAGGTGAATGAATCGCCGATAGCTCCGCTGGACAAGCGAGTACACCTACGAAGTAGTCCCTCCAATCCCATGGTTGTGGTTGGAGAGCGTTGTATGGGGATGGGCCATACAACACGGAGTGTGAATGAGTTTGCGGAGAAGGCTGCAGGGGTGGTGTTTTGTTGGCAGCCTGTTTCAAGGCCTCCTCGATTTCTGGGCTGGTGAGACCTTTTGCTTCGAGGAATTGCACTCGCTGTGCGAGCGGAGCCTGCTGAGTCTTGTGGGGATCGTCAGAAGTGTGTCGGATGCTGTCCACGATGGCACTCACGCTGAAATCAGAGAGAAATGCGACTGCATTGCTGATGAGGTCTTGTCTGTCTGGTGTCGTCATGAGTGGGAGTGTCCTCGCTTACCGCCCAGTTCATTCTCCGCTCCACCCGCCAATTTTCTGACCGGTCCTTGCAACCACAACCAACCATGTTTCGTTTGGCCGCACAGAGAGCAATCGCCCACAGACTCGCCGGCTCGTCGAGAGGTATGCCTCCTAGCGTTGTTGACAACGAGCTCGCTTGACACCACACATTCATCCAGCCGGTCTGAGGGTGTCTTCCCTGCACACTCGTTGCTGGACTGCGACATGGAGGTCGTCTTCTCCACCACTCCCTTCGTTCTCGAGGATAGGTTAGAGAGCTGTTTAATCATACATCGACTTTAACCTTTCTACGTGCACAGGCCGCCGTGGCTACGCTGAGGCCACCAAGTTTTCTCGGACCAAACCTCACATGAACATTGGCACGATCGGTACATATTTTATGCTATTCATATCCAATTTCACCCATCTTGCCACGGAACAGGTCACGTCGATCATGGAAAGACCACCCTCACTGCCGCCATTACCAAGGTATTGGCCGACAGAGGCGCGGCCAAGTTCACCGACTATTCTCAGATAGACAAGGCGCCGGAAGAGAAAGCACGTGGCATCACTATCAACTCGGCTCATGTCGAATATGAGTCCGAAAACCGCCACTACGCCCATGTCGATTGTCCTGGACATGCAGACTGTTCGTCCTATGCTTGCTCGGAATTTCCCTCCTAACATTGACGTCGCGCAGACGTCAAGAATATGATTACCGGTGCTGCTCAAATGGATGGTGGTATCATCGTCGTTGCAGCCACCGACGGCCAGATGCCCCAAACACGTGAACATCTTCTGCTCGCCCGCCAAGTCGGAATCAAAAAACTCGTTGTCTTCATTAACAAGGTAGACATGATCTCGGATCCTGAGATGCTCGAGCTCGTCGAGATGGAGATGCGTGATCTCCTCTCCACCTACAACTTCGACGGTGAGAGCACACCCATCGTGGCGGGCTCTGCGTTGGCTGCTTTGGAAGGTCGCGACGATGAAGTTGGGAAAGATAAAATCTTGGAATTGGTAAAAGCATGCGACGAATGGCTTGACGTTCCTGCACGTAAGTCTTCGATAACCTGTCCCTTGCTACCTCTAACTGGCTCTCAGGTGATCTCGACAAGCCATACTTGATGCCTGTAGAGGGTGAGCAACTCAAGTCCTTCGACTCGTTTCCTGTTAACCGTGCGCAGACGTCTTTTCCATACCCGGTCGTGGAACTGTTGCCACTGGTCGTGTATGTGCCTTATTTGAAGGTCCTGTCTAACGTCTGTCTCTAATCTACAACATTTTAGGCGGAGCGTGGAGTCATAAACAAGGGTGACGAGGTTGAAGTTATTGGCCTCGGCACTTCGTACAAGACCACAGTTACTGGCATTGGTATGCAGAGGCATCTCCTTTTGACTTTTGGTATTGACGTGTGAATAGAAATGTTCCATAAGGAGCTCGACCGTGTAAGTTTCTCGCTCTACCATTAAAGCATGGTTTTTGAGGCTTGCGTGATAGGGCGAGGCTGGCGACAACATGGGCTGCTTGCTTCGTGGTATCAAGCGCGAGCAACTGAAGCGTGGGCAAATTATCGCTGCTCCTGGCTCGATCAAGGCTGTTAGGAAGTTTGTTGCACAGCTTTACATTCTGACCCCAGACGAGGGTGAGTTCACAGGTCACGGCTGTTGGCGCAATTTACTCATTTGGCGAAGGCGGTCGTTACACGCCCTTCATGGCTCACTATCGACCGCAACTCTTCCTGCGGACTGCCGATATCACCACTTCATTAAATTTCCCGGACGGCACTCCTGACGCGGATGAAAAAATGGTCAGCTTACACTGCTACTTCTCTGTGCTCGACTCAATCCATCACTAGGTTATGCCTGGGGACAATGTGGAGATGGTGTGCGCGCTCCACACTGATGTTGCTGCTGAAGCCGGCTCTCGGTAGGCTTTTCCAACCTTTCTTTTCTGCTCTGGTACTGACCATTCTTAGCTTCACTCTTCGTGAGGGCAACAAGACCAGTGAGTAACATGTCCTGTTAACATTGTGCGTGAAAGCTGATTCTCGTCGGTACAGTTGGTACGGGGATAGTTACCAAGATCTTGGAGTACGCGTGAGACTTAGGCTACACATAATTTACTGGTATAATTACATGTTAGATCATATCGCATTTTGCATCCCCTCTCAGTATTAACCGAGTGTTGCCACGAGGGTATTTGGAAGATTTTCTTGAGAACATCTGACCCTGCATTCTCCTAATGTCAATGCCGCCTGCCGAAGGCGAATTTTTCCGAGCCGTGTAAAAAGCACCCAAGGTCTTGGTGTCTCACACCTTTGCTACGTCTACCTGCTGTCATCTTTGCCAATTTTACTGCCATGTTCTCTGCAATCCGCTCCGCTGCCCGTGTCAGGGCGTTGCCGCCGTTGGGAACAGCCAAGACCTCTTTCATCTCGTTCCGTTTGGCCCCTGGGCATCGCACTCTTGTCAGTACGTGCACATCTTTTTGCCGTCTGCTGAAGGAGGGTGTCAGCCACTGTCCCTGACTTTTTTGCTTTCTGCTTTAGCGACGAGATACACCCAGGAGCATGAAGCAGTCGCATTCGACGATGCAACAGGTGTCGGTACCGTCTCAATCACGGATCATGCGCAGGAGAGTCTTGGAGACGTCGTTTTCGTCGAACTGCCTGCAATAGGTTCCAGGGTAGGCAAGGGTGGTGAGTATGCCAGATTCCAATTAGTTGCGGGGAAATGAGAGCCGGTCGTGTGAGGGTCTGTTCCTCCCATGATTTTGCTAACACCGTCTTTTTTTTTCGTGAACAGATCAAATCGGCGCTGTTGAGAGTGTCAAGGCAGCCTCTGATATAGTTGAGTGATAGCGTGGTTCTCATGTGTGGGATATACACTGAGAAGATACAGTATGCACCGGTGTCAGGTGAGGTCTTGGAAGTGAACGAACGTCTGAACGACGAGCCGGGTTTACTGAATCGTTCACCTCAAAATGACGGTAAGACACTCTTTCGGATGCCTGGGTTGGTGCATTGGTTTGACCTTGGAGATGTTCTCCAGGTTGGCTTTGCAAAATCAAGCTTGCCAACCCAAGCGAGGTAAGATGACCAGCGGTGGTTTATTCCATTCTAGTGCTAATGCTGTGGTCGAAAGATGGAAGCGCTGTTGACGGCGGAGGGTTACAAGCAAGTCTGCGACTCATAATGAAAGAGCGGGTTAACGACCGATGATATTGGGTCCCATAATTTGGCTTCAACTGCCATCCTCGCATTTCCATATCTGATCTCTAAATTGGACGATAGACATTCCGCTGTGTTTTTATGGGTTGGTCAATTGCTCTAACTTGCTGAATGTATGAGTGGGCAAAGATTATGTCTTGTGTTGTTGGGGTCCACAGTGAGATGTACAGGCTAAACACATGACTCTATCTCTACGAGGATGACGGTGAAGGTGAAGGCGACGATGGAGGGGGCTCGTACTTGTACTTCTCCCCCCTCGCCTCCATTCTCTGCTTTGCTTCCTTGAGAGCCCAGGTCTGAATGCTAGCGTGAGATGTGAGCCGGAGAGGATGGGATGGACGAAATGGGGCACACCTGGTATCTGGCTTGTAGTAGAGCAGTACGGCCGCGGCAAGCATGGTGCCAAACATCCCCACATACCAGATGTTCTCCCATTCCTCTTTTACTCGTTTCTGACCAGGCGGAAGAGGCTGCAGAAGTCAACACGAGAAAGTCGGGTGCAGAGCCGCATCAAGTACCTTCTCGCCGAACAACCATCCTCCTGGCTCGTTATAATGTGGGGCCCCGTGAGACGCAAAGCGGGGGCCAACTATTGCGCGGGGGTGGCTCCTTGTGGCATGGAGTGCCCGCAATAGTTGTGGATGGGTTGGAGGCATGACCGACGTTTGAATGGGGGCTGACTGCGTTGCAGGAAGGCTACCACGCTCATCCGAGTAAACACGTGCAAACAAGCCTGGGCAGTCCCAACCCTAACCATAATAATTACTGTACGGTCATACATACGTCTCACACACAGCACCTACGATGGACAAGGATGATCTGGAGACATACCAAGTACAACTCTCGCAGGTCGAGCTCGCGCTACAGACGGATCCGGACAATGAACAGCTGTCGTCGCTGCAGTCGGAGCTGAAAGAGCTCATCTCGCTCGCACAAGAGGCGATCGCGCAGTCTGAGGCTGCTGCGTCGTCTTCTCGCAATGGCACTTCGCGCAAACCTTCTTCCGCTCTGCCCATGTTTACGTGGAAAGCGGGAGAGGAATGCCTTGCCAAGTACTCTGGGGACGGGAGTTGGTATCCTGCGCGCATTATCAGTGTGGGTGGATCGACGGAGAATCCGGTTTACAGCATCGTCTTTCGGGGGTATAACACTACTGAGCTTGTCAAGGGCACGGAGATTAAGTCGCTGCCTGCCAATTACCAGGAGAAGGTTCCAGCTACGTCGAATAAGCGGAAGCTGACAAACGTGGAGGAAGAGGAGAGGGAGAGGAAGAAGAAGAAGAACGAGAAGAAGTTGGAGGCGAAAGCAGCTAAAGCCAAGGAACAAATGGCGAAGCAGGCTCAATGGCAAAAGTTTGCGAAGAAGGCAGAGAAGAAAGGGGTGCAGATAGCTGGCATGTCGGGTACGAGTATATTCAAGACGCCCGATAATCCGCTGGGACGAGGTGAGAGTTGTTTTTCCCCTTTCTTTTCTCTCATTTGGAAATTAAATGGGATATCCGTAGTGGGTGTGACGGGGAGTGGCAAGGGGATGACAGAGGTGAAGCTGATGGGCAAGCACAAATTTGCACCCGTCGACGAGACGGATCGATAGGAGAGAGGAGGGACACGGTCGACGGTGTATGATACACGTGACGCTTTCTTTTTTCCACTATAATATTTGTTGCAACCGCCTCACCGACGCATTTTGTCAGCTGGAAAGAAAATGTAAATATAAAGTGAGCTGCGCCGACGGGACATGTGCTCCTCGGGGTGCGAGGGGATCAACAAGGTCTGTGGTCGGGCTTCCCATTCTGCGAGGTGGATTATTTTCGGACTGTCCAGCGCGGTTGCAGGACGTCGTCGTGTGCAGTCGTGGACGACCGGACATGCCAACTCCCGAGCCCCACACTGCCTCGTCGGATGGAGAAAGGCAAGTCCGTGCACTTCAGCCCACCGTCCTGGCGTGTTCCGATCAGGTTTCTCTGTCTACGGTTCTGGACGAGTTGCTGCTGCTTCGAACGATATATTGCACGTCGGAAATGGCCGTGCGCGGGGTGTTTGTGCGGTGTACCCTTGCAGCGACGCGACGGTCTCCCTCTCTTCTGCGGGTCCAGCCGTGCCTGGCAATTCGTTCCCGCGAGTGGCTTCCGAAGATAGAGTACATACTGGCGCTGTCCTGCGTGTATAGTGGACTGGCTAAGCTACGAATACACATCGTCTCCCCTACAGTTGCCCTCCGAATGGGAATCCCATGCCATCGAAGCCGCTGCCCCCACTCGAGGACGGACTGCTCGAGTCGTACGTGCCGCCCTCGGAACCGAAGACGACGGAACCCGGCTCAGCTATATAATTAGACGAGGGGTCCACGTGTCGATACGAATCATTTCCATCGTGCGCGACGACCACTTCAGCGGACAAGTCCAGAAACTGCCCACACGCGTGACCGGTCAGTCTGCGAAGGGAGTGGTCGGGCACGTACGACTTGTTCCTCGGCCAGAATACTCTGGTGGAGGTTTTTGTTGACGCTCTGCATGTGCACGAGAAGCGTGCGAATGCTGCGCGAGGAGAGACCCCTGTAAGTGGAGACGCGCTCGAGGGCCAAGGGGGGCGTGTGCACGAGTCTGAGTTGCTCGTGCAAGTACAGGACGTAATGTTCCAAGCACTCTAGGTAGTGCCGCTTCTTCTCATGCGACGAAATCGTATCCCTATGTGTGTATTTTAATCACCAGCCGATACGGCAACGGAATCGTCCAAACGTACGGGTCGGTGGGCACGAAGCCAATTTCCTCGGCGACAGCACGCTGGCGGGCCTTGCGCTGTGTCTCTGTTTTGTTTACCAGAGCAGCGTCGAGGTCTGATGTCGGGGGGAGGGGATGTTTTGGCTTGTCAAGGCTGTGGCGATGGAGCAGGTCCGAGGGGGTGGGAATGAGGGTCTGTGGGGTGTCTGTGAACATGTGTGTGGGGGGCTGCTCTGGCTGGGGCGGTGGCAGGGCGATGTCGTAGGCATAGGTGTCGTAGTTGAGGGGGAGGTACTGGTGGTGGTATGGGAGCATGGTGGCCGTCGACGTCGACCGGGGGAGGGCCAGACCAGGAGCAAGATATAACCCGGCGACACGGCTCAGGGGTTGGTCGCAGAAGGCAAGCCGGTGTCCGTTTGGGGCAACTCCGGTTTGCAGATCACGCACTTCCCCGAGGAGCTTGTTTTCTCGAATTCCGGGCCCAAACCAGCAACTGTCCTGCCCCGTCTGTGCATGACACATCTGCCCCTTTGGGAATGTCTTCGAGCCATCGCGGAGATCTAATTCAAAATGATCCAGCCTCAGCGACGTGCAATTTAGACCAGAGCGGAAGGTAAGTTTAATATTAAATCTCCGACTCGGACTTCCTTTTCGGGGCCAACTGGTATTTAATCATTTCTGGCCGGCCCTCGTCCTCACCGCAAAGAGATGTACTCGGGCATCCCCATCGACCCTCTGCTTGCCGCCTACTCGTCCTCCTCTGCGGACATCTATGGTCTCGCAGAATGCCACCCAGACCCATCATCTCATCCGCCCTCCACACTCTCCTCCTCCACCGCCTCGTCAAGTGTGGACATCCCCCTCTCCACCCACCCAAAATTGTCCCCCCGCGATTCGAGTCGTTCAGCTGCCAGAATTACCATCGCACACCCCTACGCCCGTCTATACGCCAAAAAGGACAGTACGAAACGTCGCAAAATATGGAATCATGTGCTCGAAAAGCAGCTCTTTTCGCCCCAAGAACTGTCCGTAATGCGCTTTACCCCCGTTTCTGCTAGAACACCCACTCAATAGATCATCGCTAGATCGACCATGGGCGCCCCTCACAGACGCACTATTTACATCGCTTCCCTGGAAGCCCATATCGATCGCCTTCACAATCAGCTCCTCAGCAGTGGTTTATATCCAATCCCCTTTAATCGCCTCGAACCTTACCGCGGCCTCAATTCCAAAACTGCCAAGGTACCCGCTTACGTACCACGATCGCCAGCTTCTCACTCTCCCCGCAGAGCATGGTTGCAGGCCTCCAGCACGATGCTACACAGTCGAAATTAAAACTCCTCGAACTAGAACGTTCTGTGAGTTTCTCTCCCCCTCACGCACGCCCTCCTCGTGCTTACTCCCCCTTTAGAACACCAATTTGCGCAAGTTTCTGGGCAAATACGACCCCAATGCTATCTCCTTGTCGCATTCTTCGGCACCTTCCACCCTCGCACTCGAAGCTGACGTCCGCAGGCACTCGGTAGACTCGTCTGGGATCGGTATGGGCACACATACAAACGTGAACCACGGTAACTACTGTTCCTACTATCCGTGATCTTCCGCGCGAGGTATAGCGTACGCAAGCGCTCGCGGGTAGTGTTAATGTCTTCCCCCGAATTACTCAGTTTGTTGTATGTACGTTCTCTGAGCACTTCGATTTGCAGGCCTTGTCTGGAATCTTAATATTGATGATATCGTCTCACGCTGTGGTGCGAGAATGGAAAACAGTTGGGCGCCTTGTGAGTCATCTCAAAGAAGAGGGCATTAATTCCAGGCGCATTTTTAGGGGGCGTTGCGAGAGTCCACAAGTAATTTTCATTACATGTTTGTTGGAGCCCTTAGCATGCTGCGTTCCGGATATGCAATGGATAAAGTTGCCTGATAGTTGCTTCTCCGGCACTTGGCGAACCCCACTTGCGCACACTCACCGCTGCTCGTGAGAGAATACATTCATTAATAAAAGAAAAGAAAACCCTCGCGGCGAGACCCAGAACGAACAAGGCAGGGTCTTCCGCACCGGGCTGCGTTGGTGGGTGTGCTGGAGAGGGAGGCGATGGTGACGAGACTCTCAATTGCCAAACGCATGTGGCGTAAACCGGGTGAAAGCCATACGTGAGCAGGTGCGAACTTGTTCCTCCAACCCTGGACAAGTCTATTCCTTATCAACTTACTCAATTTTAGTGCCTTGCCTTGAGGTGATGGAGCATGCACCTCGCTGGCCGTCATCCGATCGGAACGGCTGGCCCTTAGGTCACGGTACACCCTAACGTACCACATCCTGCACTCGATCGGACGCCATCCTCATTACCATTAGTAGCACACACCTGCGACCAAGTAGTCATCGTCGTTTTTCTGGCGATATCATCGCCCCCCTCGCCACTCTCACCAAAACCCATCTCTGTCTAATTTTACCCGCCGATCCTGCTTCCCTTTGCTGCCATGAGGCCGACCTGCTCTTAGCGCACCGCGTTTACTGTGGTACTTTTTCTGTTGCCGAGTGCGTCTTGCCAGATCCGTCGCTACCCTTTCGCGTATATCTGGAGTATGCAGACTCATCGCTACTGTCATCTTCTCTAGTGTGTCAGGAGAAGGCGAGCGCGATCGTGGTGGAGACCGAGAGAGCTGAGAAAATCGACTCGATGATCGAGACGGAGGCGAATTATCTTGACTTGTTCCGTGATCATCAAGTGGCTGTGTGCTGGCTCCTGCTGGCTCAGTCACCTCAGCCCCGGTATCTTGCGATCCTTTGGGGCAACTTTCCATCTCGTCATCGCTTGCATCATCAGATCCTTGACTGTCCTCTTCCTCTTCTCCGTCTCCAGATGATGTATCGTTGTTCTCTCTTGGCTCCCCAGCCTTCACAGCTTCCATGTACTGCCAAGGAAATAATCAGTGCTTCCGCAGCCTGTCAGCAAACTTTGGAGACTAACCTCCTCCAGGAACTTTTGGTCCTTCTTCGCGAATCCACTGGCCGCGACCATGACATCTAGTCTGAATCCCTGACTTTCCTTATCGTCCTCATTCTTGATTGATTTGAATCGGGGATAAAGTGCGCTTTCGTACTTGAAGCGGCGGCGGAAAAACGTCCGGATGCATTCAACATCCCGGTTAAAATACCTGATGGAGAAACCGTCGGCTCGAGCCACCAAAGCTCACCCATCTACTCACCATTCTGCGTTCTCATGTGACGTACTGACCATCTGGGGAAAGTCGATGACGACAGGCTCCCCAGTATCTCTACGTATAAGTATATTGAACTCGTTGAAGTCACAGTGTATTAGTCCAGAATGGGCGAGTCGAACGATGATATCCATCAATGTGGAGTATAATCTCCCCGGGGAAGGGATGTCAGATATCTGTCGACTGGGATAGGCGTTCGTCATAGAAGCAAGTGGCAAGGGTAACCATGACGTACAGAGGATAGGCATCGATGGCCTCCATGAGTATGCAATGCCGTGCGTGGTCAACGGGTTTAGGGACGGGAAAGTCGTGTTCGTAAAGGACCTGAACGAACGACATTACACACCAAAACCGCATGGTTCCGTCAGAAAAGGCCAACCTTCATGAACGCCCACTCTTTTTGAGCGGCCAGACGAGACATGCACATCCACGACGCTGACTTGCGCTTTCCGAGGTAATCCCTCTTTTCCTTGATGGCGCGGAACGAGATGCGGCCCAATCTGAGGCAGAGAAGTCCGCTCATACGGACTGACAACAACGAACATGAGTGAGGCGCCTTACCTGTGGAGTTTCAGCACCATTTCATTGCCTTCCCCGTCTGCGACAATATATACATCTGCACAGATGCAGTGAGCGGTCGAGCTTCGTCGTGATACGGGATCTGTACTGGGCCAGGCAAATGATGAGACCAACGTACCTGCTTCCTTCCCCACCCCAATTTGATTTCCAACCGAGTATATGGAATCACGCTTAGACAGTGCACGCATGGCCAGGTAATCGTATCCGCCATATGTTAGTCTGTACCCGTCGTCTGCTCGTTCATCTAGTCAATACCCATCAGACACTGGGGGAATGCAGTACACTGACATTTCGCATTCTGAACTCTTCCTACCAAGTTTCTTTTCGCCAGCGAACCTAGAAGTTTGTTGACTCCGCCGTTTCTTAAGCCAGAAATTTGAACGACGAGTGGTGTGGGCACGATTTCATGGTTTTTAGACCCGATCTCGACCTACCCCCAAGAGTATTAGCGAGACGATGTGCGAGGCATGAGTCTAGTCTGACCGCTGAAAGCACTCTGAACTCGTCTGAGGTGATATATCGGAGATCAGTTGCATCGAGCTTCATTATGATCGTGTCGACCGAGACGAGAGTTTATGGAGAACTGCCAAGACGGGACATGTCGCCGGGACTCAGCAACTTCATCGACGCGGTACACTGTGATACACTAAATGCCTACTGGCAATGCAGCTATCCGCAAGGCCAACAAGGTTAATACATCTCTCCAGTCCACCGTATGTTTTCGGCCCCTCATGCTCCTATAGGCAACAGCGGTGGAACTCGCAGTTTCTGTCCCCGCCTTGTACCAGGCAGATGGTCGCCAGTACGCACTTTCTTCTCCTTTCGCGTGCATCTCTCTAATACGACTTAGGTTCAGGATCTCCGTAAGAACGGCAAAAGACCTCTCCGAGCACGAGCGCGCCCAGATATGGGAGTTGTTCGAGGAGAACATGTATACCCTGTACGAACGAGCTCGCAACACGCTCTCTCATTCGCAGCCTTTCTCACGTCGAAAGTTAGCTACGTCGACTCATCATTTGGGTGGACCCCAAGATCTAAGAAGCAGGAAATGTTCGATGCACGATCTCGTTTCATAATCGCTTCTCAAGAAGACGCCCTAACTCCTAACCCGCCGGACATCGTTGCATACACTATTTTTCGCTTCGACAGAGAGGAACGTCAGGATGTCGTTTACTGGTACGCCCCGAGTGATTTTCGTCGACCGACTCTTGCATGTCGCGTGTAAGTTACGAACTTCAGGTTTCCAAGAGCGCCAGACATTGTGGTCTTGGGAAACTACTCACGCAGAAACTTTCCGACATCGGCGCAACATGGGGAATGGAGAAAGTCATGCTCACAGTCTTCAAAGGTTGTGTGTAGGTTGAATGACCTTCGTACCTCTTCTAACCCCCTCCCAGATAACCAGTTGGCACTTTCGTTCTATCGCTCTGTCGGGTAGGAAACCTCTTCTAATCCATCCTCGTTGATGTTTATGATTTCCCTGTAGCTTTTCTATCGATGAGATTTCGCCAGATCATCTGGCCAATTCAGAAGAGGGAGCTTCACACAATACCGACTATTCCATTCTGTCAATCCCAATACTATGATACAGGCTCACACGTCCAATACTAAGCGGTAACATTTCAGAAGTATGTACATACACCGTACAGAAAAGCGAGCAGATACGAGGTAGGAGATACAATTACATGTCAGAATAGTCCAAGTAGTGCATTACAATCACCATGCCCAACATTTTATTCTTCAAAGTCCTTGTAAGGTGGGAGGTCCTCTGAATCTTTCTGTTCTCCCTGGTTCTGACTTGCGCCTCCTCCACCCGCACGAACACGCTCTTGTTCTTCCCTTTCCAGCCGCTTCTTCTCGTCTTCAGCAGATTCGAACTGTGGCTTGGGGGCGCTGGTAGCAGAACGCTCCACCTCTTCGCGCTCAAGACGTTTCTTTTCTTCTTCAGCGGTCTCCCCGTGCGATTGAGGGCTACCGTAAAGGTCGTCCACCGACTCCTTTCGGACTTGATCGCCGCTCTGAGCACCCACGCCATGCGATCCATTCCGTACATCCTTCAATGAACCACTGGCAGGTCCTGGACCGGAAGGCCCAGCAGAGAGAGGCACACCAGTTTCCGCGACCGTAGGGACGCCTCCAGGGATGGATGATCCGGGGGAACCCTCACCCACTGGATGCGGACCTGGGGACGGATGTGCGGGAATTGGTGCCGGGCTTCTGTTTAACGCATTCGGGTCGATAGGTGCGGGTGAAGGGCTCTTGCATTCAGTTTCGCCCGGGGGCGGAGTCATCGAGAGACCGGGATGTGTTGGCTCTCCTGCCGGTATATTGTCAAGCTCAGAAGCATGGCTCTCGCCGAACGAACGTGTGTCAGAGCGAGAAAGGTCAGCCACGGGTAAGGTGGTCAGTCCAGGCCTGTATTGGTCAAGAGCCCTTTGGAGAGCTGCACGAGCCCCGGCAGTTTGTTGTGCGCCGGTGTATGGGTTGTTCTGGGTAGGTGGCAACGCGGGCAGAGCTTCAATGATGGGATTCGCAGCTTGCGAGAGCAAGATCAATTTCTCGCCATACTGGAAAAGCAGGTCAGCCATCAACGAGGCAATCTATCACAAGTACTAGTCGCCTACCTCGCGGATCGCCTCCCACTTCGCCCTCTCGCTATCCCTGACGGCCTTACGCTTCAGGATCAGAATTTCTTTCTCTTGTGACTCGTCATTCTTTTCCGCCCGAGCCAGCTGATCCTCAAGTTCGGCGATCTGGCGTTCCGCGTTTTTGTCCTGGCTGTGCTCGAGTTTTCTGATGCGACTTTGCAAGTTGGCACGAGCGTTCCGCTTCGGTGTAATGGCCGATTCTGCGTCGCGAAGTGCTTTGAGAGGGGACCTGGCAGCATCGAGTTTGACGGCCAATGACGAAGCAATTGATCCATTTACGAAATTGAGATACGCCAGCCGATCCGTGACTGCAAGGGAGCAAGCAACATTAGTGACAAATCCGAGGCCGATCGCATCGATGATGCTCACCATCTCTGAGATCGGCTTCATCACCTTGACCCCAAGTGTACAATTCTTTGCTCTGCGCCTTGGCGTCCCTTGCAAGACTATCCAAGTCGAGCGCAACGCCCTTCTCGGTCGTGATTATGCGTTGGATAGGCGTGGTATTTGTGTACTGCTGGCCGATGTTGCGCAGCTGGAACTGCAAAGTCTCGAGGGTATGGGACCGGGTTCCACCGCCTTGGGCAGCTGCTTGATTTGCAGAGGGCTGCTCGCCCCCTCCAGAGGATGCACCAGGGACATGACCAGCCAGGGGGGACTGGTTGATCGCGCTCTGCGCTTTGTCTGCGATCTGAGAAAAGAAGCCTGAAAACGACATGATACAAGTCTGTAGGGAGGAAGGAAGTCACGAATGCGACGACAGCTGTGGGGGTCGAGGGTTATATACCCAAATTGCGGCGCAGCCACTATGGCGTCAGTGACGGTGTTGGACTCCAGATCGCTGCGGCTACACAGCCACTGGGACACACAGGTATTGCTACAGACTACACACAACATATTTCATTCATTATACCGGTCTTGCTATGGGAGTCTACAGCGCAGCATTCGAAAACTGGCCTCTCGGATAAAACAAATAAATCAGCCAGAAGGAAAATGCGAACCAACTCATACAGAAAAAAAGAGGAAAGCGATGTGCCCTAGACAATGATCTTCTTCGCTGTCTTGCCCTTCTTCTCCGAGTCCTTGTGGGACAAGAACTCCACCTCGGTCGCAAGCGGCCCTGCCAACTTTTGTGGCTCCGGATATCCAAGGACATTCGTCTTGAAATGCCGCCCTATGACCTCGATTCGCTCACGCAACTTGTCCTCCTCCAATGAGGGGGCAAGCCGCGTCCAAATCGAAAGTCGGTAAAACTGAGGTCGGGTCGAGACGATCACCCCGGTAATTAGCGACTGTGGGTTAGGGTCTGATGGATCTGCGTTCGTAAGATAGGGGTCGAATGTCTCCCCAATCGCAGCGAGCATCTATCATCGCTTCAGCGCTCAAAGGAAACCAACGCTGGGAATGTGCACATACCGTATAAAGCCACATTTTGTCTACGTTGCCCCTGTTCTTTTCCTTTGGCAGCTGTATACTCCATTTTCCGCCATGCTTGTTTGCCTCGTCTTCCCAAGCCGGGATGATGCCGTCCTTCAAGACTAGGTTTGGTGCGACGAAGTATGCAACATCACTCTGCACCTACCTTGAAAAGATAGTAATTGGCTTTCTGAGGAAGTTGTGAGGGAGGTACGATGTGGTTGTACAAGCTAGCAACTTATGAAAATCACGACGACGGCTGGACAAAGATGACCTACCCCCAGAACTCTTCTACGCTATCGAAACTAATAACTCGTTTGATGTCTTCCATCCACCCCTGCGCAGAAGCTGCGCTGGGTGTCTGAGGAAGCGGTGTCTGAGGGAAGGCGGTACTGGGGGTTTGGGGAAGGTTCCGGCCTTTTGTAGCCGGCGAATCAAACCAAAGTGTCCAAGCCGAGTAAAGGGGGTGCTGGCAAGTGCGACAGTGAACAATCTAAGATCAGCGGAAGTACGAAAGAGCATACTTTGACGTTGAAATTGGCGGGGTCGCTGAAGACCGTTCGGATACCCTCAGCTTGGGCCTGCATGTCGACTTCCTGTATTTCGCCAGGTTCAGAGTCATCCCCCGTGGACTTGTGCTTGCTGCTGTCTGGGTTCTCAGCCAGAGCGGCGTTGAGAGCGGCTTTGTTGGCTTGCTGAGCGGATGCAGGGAGCGTGGAGGCCATGCTGGGTTAAAACAAAGACAAAATTGATGCAATCCGGCTGCTTCTGAGAATCTTTGGGTGTGATACGACTGTCAAAGCCACTATCGAAAAGGCGAGCGAGGAGTCGACGCTTTGTGATTTCCAATGGGTGGGAGCGTTGGTGCGTCGTTGTGTTTTTTTTTTCGAGTTATTTATTTCTTATGTGATAAGATGAAAATAATAACAATAATAATAATAACTACGTATCCTCGGCCGTCCATCGTAGTCGCCTGCAGGATGGACGCATTCCAGGCCAAGCTCGTCGCTGCAGCGATAGGCTCCATGGCGACATCACTATCGAGTAGGTCCGCGTCTACACAGTCCACGCGAGTTGCATAATGAACACACGCTTTCTACAGTGACCCCCTTTGACGTCGTCAAGACCCGCCTTCAGACTCAACCCAAGGAACCGTTGTTTTCCCGGCCACCGCTCAACAAATGCTGTCAGCCGTCTCACATAACTTGCGTTCGGAACATGTCGTCCCTTGCCAGACCTCTAGAGGAGGTCGTGTGTGTATATGATCATGGCATATTGCGCCGCGAACGAGTCAATGGCTTCCTCGATGCTATCCGACACATATGGAGGCATGAGGGCATGCGCGGCCTCTGGAAAGGTGCTGGAACATCCCTGTAAGTACCACCACCCGCACCTGAGAATCAAGACACTAATTTTGGCAAAGCTTAATCGGCGTGCCTTCGTCGACCATGTACATGCTGACTTACGACCACCTACTGCGAAACGTGTTTCCACATTTCATCTCATCGCCTACCCTCGTACCTCTGGTGGCTGGAATCACTGCTCGGACCGCCATTACCACTGCCTTATCCCCCCTTGAACTAATTCGTACTAACCTGCAATCCACGCCCAAATCACCTGACCAGCCACATACGCTCCCTTCTGTGCTCCGATCAATAGGGGCAGTCGTCCGAAGACAAGGCGTTCTCTTCCTGTGGCGAGGTCTAGGCCCTACATTATGGAGAGACGTGCCTTTCAGTGGCATCTACTGGGCAGGGTACGAAGGATGGAAGCGCTACTTTGAGTCTCAAGGTCAAAGCGGTGCATACGTCACATTTACTTGTGGGGCCATAAGCGGCACAACAGCCTCTCTTCTGACGTCCCCTTTTGACGTCCTCAAAACCAGAAGGCAAGCATTGCTTATGGCCGGAACAATTCCTTCCCAAGCAAGAGGTACAATACCCCTGTGCCTGCGGATAATTCGCACAGAAGGCCTAGCCGCGTTGTTTGCTGGTGTATGGCCACGGACAACCAAGATTGCACCTGCCTGTGGTATCATGATCGCATGCTTCGAGGTACATTGCCAGAGATCCATTCGATGACCTCCCCGCTGACCCCCTTTCACCAGGGCATTGGCAAGTTTTTGGTGAAGAAGGATTAGACCCCATACCGTCTTGCATAGCTTTCACATTATGCGACAATATATTGAGCACTCACACATTCGTTTGATGCATCTCTACTGGTTTATGGTATCCGTAATAACTCAACATGGTGTCATTACATGGTCCTCAGCCCAGACAATTATGATCACCCCAACCGATTCAACTGCTTCTTGGCACTTGAAAGCTTACCACCGACACGGTCGACGTCGTTTGTCAAGCCATCGAGCATTTCATTGTGTAGCCTGAGCTCTGCACCGATAGCTTCTCCGAGATGCCGTTGGCGCTGCAGGATGGTCGTTAACTGAGACAATTGAGCATCCTGCTGTTCCATCTGCACTTTCTGCAGCCCAAGTAAGCCATGGTCATCGAGAGGGCGAGTCTGCTCAGTCTCCTGTGGGTTCTTCAGAGCCGCACCGAATACGCGTGAAACGGGCTTGTTGCTCCCGAGGAGGGCAACCCGGTCAGACTCGGGTGCAATGGAGACATTGGTGAATGTGGCAGGAGTAGGTGTTGTCAGAGTATTTGCTCGAGAGGTTTGACGGGCCACAGTAACTATCTTGCCCAGCTTCTCGCAGTCGTCCTGCAGTCGCGCGACCATGTCGGTCCTGCGCTGTAGTTCGCCCTCTGCCATCCCCGTCATACCTAGTTCCTGCAAACCCTCTGTCAGAATGCGCACACGAGAGAGGATCTCTGCTAATTTCTTCTTCGCCTGGACGTTTGCGGTGTGCGAGGCGCCCACGTCACCCCTATCGGAAAGCGTGTCCCGTCTGTTGATGTCCGCACGGGCGTCACGTATGCGGGACTGCAACTCGAGGTGCTCGTCAAGCCATGACGCCGAGGAGAATTGCATGGAGCCACTCCCAGCAGCTGGTGTTTGCTTTCCAACTGGCACACCCAAGAATTCCCGGAACGCATAGCTCTCTCTCCACTTGTCCTCTTTAGCGCCAATGATTGCTCGGAGGTACGCCTCGAGCCCCGCTCTACGCTGTTCAATCGTCGAGCTCTCGTCTTTAAACGGGCCTTTGAAGATGGCAAACGTGTTCTTGGGTGGGAGCACCGCGGGTGGTGGCGAGCCGGTCGACTTGGTGAGTTCGGTGTGGAGTTCGATGAACTCGGAGTACCGTCGCCACATCTGCCATGAACGAACGTGAGCTTGTATTTCGATGCGGTATACGACATGGGGTTTGGGTGTCTGCCGCTCTTCGTGCCCGCGAATAGAGACTGCTTGAATGGCAGCGGCCATGGTGGTATTGACGACTCTAGTCGCGTGCGCACGGCACTGATCTCCACACGACTCAACACAAACAAAGCACGTATCATCCGTACATATTATACAACACCTCGCGCCCCTCCATCACGAGCACGGGTTCTCGACAGCCTGCTGCACTTTATCCGTGGAGGACGACGCGCTCTCCTCTATTGAATCTATTCCTTCACCAATTGCCACGTTGCCGATGAGATATCGAAGAACGTCACTGAGGGTAATGATGCCCAGCAGCCGACCCTTCTTCCCCCCTCTTTTTTCCTCCTCCTGAATCTCGCATTGAGTATTGTTCTACGGATGCAAGAACCCAACTGACCTCTCCTTGGACCACCACTAGTCTGTGCACACGACGCTTCTTGATCAACTGCAGAAGCGTGCCGAGCGAATCTCCAGCTGTGCAGATGACCACCCCAGGAAAATCGGGGGATCGCTGATTCAATGCTTCAGAGATAGTGAGATCGAGTGCTTGGTAAGCACCGAGTCGCACAAGTGTCTACCGTAAACCTTCATTGAGAGTTTCACCTGAGATGCCCAAGTAACGTACGATAACGTCGACGGTCTCGTAGAGATTGACTACCACGCCGTCTTTGTCGATGATGGGAACGGCAGATATCGCGCGCTCTGAGAACATGTGCACGACATCAAACACGGGGGAGTCCAATGTTGCAGTGGCAATAGGCCAGTAAGGGTTAGTGTTATCCGGAGGGGGATTTTGAGAGACATAGGTTCCGATCTTCAATTTGCGCAAGGACAGGTGCAGTTGTTGAATTTCTCTCGTGCACTTAAAAAAAGAGGTTGATCTTGTGCGAAAGGAAAGGCAATGGGCCATACGTTTATAGATATGAATTTGAGGAGACGATATTGGGTCAGGACGGAGACTATGACTTCATGACCCGTTTCAGTGTCATAATCGAGCAAGGGGAGACGGCGGGCGTGGGTTTGGATGAGTAGTTTAGCGGCATCGTAAAATGTGCTACTTGGATGTTCACGAAGCATCGGGGGAGTTGCTACGCCGAGACTTTTCTCGATGTCTGGAATGATCATTGAGCAACACGAGCACATTAGAAGAGAGAAGGTGGACTGGCCTCTCAATGATTCAAGACGGAATGTTTCGACATCTGCTGTGGCGGTATCGTAGTTAGCGTTGTCGTAGTAGTACTGGATCAAGTGTATGATGTCCAGGACGGTCAGCATGCCTGCAAACTTGGATTTTTCGCTGTTCCAAAGGGGAGCAGACACGACTCCTGCGGGGAAATAGAACGATCAATTGCAGATATGCGATCGGAGAGAATCCGGCTTGCCATTGAGGAGAAGACACTGGAGGGCCTTCTTGACGTTGAGTTTGGTGTCGAGGACGATGAGCCTGTAGCTGACTGGGAAAGCGTCGTAGCAGGTGCGGCCCTTGAGGACGTTGCGGATGGCGTGGAGTGCGGCATCGTGTGCCTCCTGGGACTGCACAGGCGGGAGGTGGGAGGGTGCTCGTGGCCTGCGGGTTGACGGCTTGCGCTTGGGAGTGCGTGGGGACTGCGTCGGCGACAGGGACGCGTTCATGGGGTGTGTGCGACGAGCTCGACAGTTATTTTTATTTTTATTTATGTAGATTAGCATATTACATAATTATGATCGGGGGGGCTAGCACATCAACCCCGTCGTCGTCTCACCCAGTCCCCGTCATGGCTGCGGTCGTTGTCGGTGCGCATGACCAGTCCTACGACGAGCCCAAGGTCGATCTCCAAGTCCCATCATGGCAGGACACACTTTTTGGCACAAATCATCAGCCAGACTATCCAGACCAGCCAACTAACACTCCAGACCCGCTGCTCTTCGTTCTCCCGCTTCTCATCGTCCTCTCAACCTTCTTTTTCATTCTGCTGCTATTTCTCATATGTATCATATTCATACGCAAACGTCGCGGTATCTCTCTCGGCGACAGCGACGGCCCAACCGATATGAGTCGAGAAGACTACATCGATGGTGAGGGCGGCTTCGAAGGTGTAGAGTCTCGCTGGCTCGAGAGTGTCGCAGAACCGGTCCGCAGAGAATATCTCAGAGCCAAAGGTATTCTTGCACTCTCCCCTTTCCATCGGCGCAGCCTTCTCATCTCTTCCCCCGCCTTATAGACTACCAACTCCAATATCCTCCCAACTCACAACCAACCGATATCACCTTATCGCAATTTGTATCCATTCAGGAAAAAGGCGTTGCTGCCTGGTCTTTCGAACCAGACGACTTGACCATTAATTCCCTCCTCGTCCATGCCCGTACAGAGATCACTTTCCTTCCCGACCCTGCCACCGCTTCCAGTGTTCAGTCCAACCTCCCGCTTCCCAAGTTAAACGAAGTCTATTATTGGGAGGTCAAAATGTTCGATCTTCCGGAAACCACCACCGTCGCCGTCGGATTGGCAACAAAACCTTACCCAGCTTTCCGGTTGCCCGGTTTCAACCGTCATTCCGTCGCATATCACTCTAACGGTGATAGATGCTATAACTATCCCTTCACCACCACTTCCTTTGGCTCTCCATTAAAAGAGGGCGATGTCCTTGGCGTTGGTTATCGTCCCCGCAGTGGTACAGTTTTCTTCACCAGAAACGGCCGTAAGATGGAGGATGCGTTTGTTGGCTTCAACCGATTCAACCTATTCCCCACCATTGGCGCAGACGGTCCGTGCAGCGTTCATGTGAATCTAGGCCAGGCAGGTTTCGTCTTCATCGAGGCGAACGTCAAGAAGTGGGGGCTAGCGCCCAGTGTCGGAACGCTCGCTCCTCCGCCGGCCTACGGCAGCGAACGTGGTAGCATCCTGCTGGATGTCGGCGGTGGTGTCCGACCTGGTGGGATAACATTTTGCCCTCAGAGTGCGCCCAGCGCTTCATCTATCCGCTCACCTCGGCGTCACCGCCTCAGACGGCCAAAGAGCACACCTTCCAACAGTCTCCCCACATCATCACTCTCACGTGGTACTGGTACTTCTCAGCAGTCGTCGACTCTGCCCCAGCCACCTAGTCCCATTGACGAAGAAACGGATGAAAGCAATGCTGGACCATCAGCTAATCGTGGATACATCTCGTCTACCGATTTACTATTCCATACCCCCCCATTAGAACGCCACCCTCCATTATCATCCGAGGATGAAGGTGGTATACAGGAGGATCCGCACTCACCATCCTCTTCCCGCTCACGATCTTCCGACAGTGAAGATGGTACGAGTAGTCCCTAACCTCCTGAACCTGTAATGCGGTTCGCTTACCCACTCTTTACGATATCCAGGTTCGGACTTGACTATCCAGGTGCATCCACCACCTGATTCGCCCCACACGCCGGACTCTCCAACCCCGAATCAAGATATTCGTCTACAAGCTTTACCCAGTGCTCTCTCGCCGCACCGTGGAGAGATTGACAGCGGGGAGTCGCTTTCAAGGCGCGACCCTCCCGCGTACTCTCCACTGGATGCATACGCTTATCCGGAAGGTGTTCATATTGACTTGCCCGCGGATGTCATAGCTGCTGCGCTAGAAGGGGGCGCGTTGCCTGCCAGCTCGATCGGGCACGGTTCGAGCGCACGATCCGAAAGACGTCGCACTCGGCGGGAGAGACGATAAGGTGGATATATCACGATGGTTAGTTGAGGGGTTCCTCTTGTAATGAGGTACACATCAGTACTCACTGTTATGCTTCATCGCGATTTTAGGGTTCATACGCAAGCTCTGTAACATCGCATCTAGGATAAAGTAATCTCTACTTTTCCACTTACCGACGTCGTACGCTATGTATTATGGACTTATCATTTCACGTCCACCCTTGAACCCAAGACATTGAAACATGGAGGGCGACCCAACGTGTACAAAAGGCTGACAGCGATGTGATTATTCCTTTACAATTGTAGATCTATAATTTTAATTCTGGGCATGCATAGCTCTCCATGAATATGACAGGTTTTGATGTACCATCCAGTAGCCAACTAAGTCCTTTGATGGGGTATACCAAAAGGCATCTTTCTCAAGGCTCTAAGCGTTTGGGGTCCCTTGGGAACAGCGATGCACGTCTGATGTTATTGAGCTTTAAGAAGAGCATCAGCACACGTTCCAGTCCGATTCCACCTCCGCCGTGGGGTGGACAGCCCAAGCAGAAGCCGTCGAGGTAACCTTTCATGCTGTCCGGGTCAACACCTTTGGCTCGCATTTGCTCGCAGAGGAAATCGGGATCGTGGATGCGTTGTGCGCCCGACATGATCTCTTCCCCCCTCATGAAGAAGTCGTATGAATTAGAAAGCGTCTGGAGACATGGTTATAATCAGGAAATTTGGGGTAAACTCGAGACTCACGGGGTCTTCTGGGTCAGGCATAGTATAGAATGGTCGAAGGGCCAGAGGGAACTTGTCGACGATAAAGTAGTCAGTATCGTATTTGGCTCTGACGATGCGTCCAAGTCTCTTCTCGTTTTCCGTGCTGGTCTCCTTGTCAAAGAAACCAACGGAAGAACAGTGGTTGAAGACGCTTACTTGATATCATCCAACGCCTCTCGATCAACCCCGTCTTCAACGAGCAGATCGACAGCTTCTTTGAACGTCAGAACGGGTGTCTCCTCCTTCCACTTAAATTCCTCTGCTTCAAACTGTTGCCTCACCACCGCAATTTCGTGTCGATATTTCTCCTTCAAGCCTTTGAAGATCGCTTTGAACATGCCGTCGATCAAATCGCGGACCTCATGATAGTGCTCCTCGATCGCCATTTCCAAATCGAGGCCGACGAACTCGGTCATATGGCGATGAGTGTTGGAATCTTCAGCACGAAAAACAGGGGCAATTTCGTAAACTCGCTCGAAGTCTGCTGCGATTGCCATTTGCTTTGCTAGTTGGGGAGACTGTGCGAGATAGGCTTTGCCTAGCATGAAAGATGAGAAGCAGAAGTTGAAGAGTTTGAAAAAAGGCATACCCTTGAAGTAATCGACTTTGAAAACGGAAGCTCCAGATTCTGTGGCAGATCCTTGAAGCTTAGGGCTGTGAATTTCTATGAAGCCGTTCGCGTTCAAATAATCGCGGTACAAATTCCCGATAGCATGCTGGAGCTTGAAGATAGCCTGATTCGTTGTCGTCTGATGCCAACGTCAGATGTCCGAGTAAGAACAGAAGGATTAAACACGCACGCGAAGATCCAATACACGGTTGTTTAGGCGTGTGTCGAGTAACACTTTGTTGAACTGCCCCTCTACTTCTGGAGCGGTCTCAGATCGAGAGGCATCTTCAAGCGAAAATGGCAAACGGCTTTCGATGCCAGACAAGAGCCAAAGCTTCCAATCCGAGTGTCACAACAAGTTCAAAAAGCGTTGATTACTGTCGCTCACTTCTACAATGTGAATCTCGACCTCGCTAACGGAAGCGCTTTTGATCGGCTCTGGACTCTTCTTCACGACACCCTCCACAAGGACGATGCTTTCGTCGGCGAGAGAACCTGCCCACTTAACCATTTGCTTGCTGATCGTATCCTTGGTGACCGACATTAACGCCTGGACAGTATTCGTGCGTTGCCGTAAATTGAGGAAGACCATTTTGTTTCCCTGAAGACGGGACGTCTGGATTCGTGCGCGAAGGAGAACCTGCTTCCCATCGTCTTGAGCAGTTAGGGTCGATATATCAGTACGTTCGCGATTTTGGCGCGACTGCGATTGATGCATTGGGAGCTTGCCATATCGGCCAACGGAATAATCCTGTAGAGGATGAGCGCATGACAGCCAAGATGTGAGGAACACCCTTGCCTCGTCTGCAGCCGCACGAGCCTGTTCTGCTTCCATTGCTTTGGCCGCCTTCTCGGCCTTTTTCTTTGCCTTTTCTGCCTCCTTGGCCGCCTTCTTCAGAGCACTCTTGGTAGGGGCATCACCGCCATCCGCGCTAGACATTGGATTAATAGGTTGAAAGAAACTAATTATCGCTGATGGGCCTGCAGCGAGTCACTGATTACTTTCAGCCAGTTATCTCATGATTGCTTACATAAGTCATAACATATCGTTTGTCTCGAGGTTTCGTGATCTCGACTTTATTTAAGTAGAGGACTTATTCTTGTCGATCGCAGCTGGAACCATCCATACTTGCTTGTCATGCAAATGGCTCTACCATAGATGACTGTCGTCTGTAAACGCCCTTCAATGTCCCGAACAGTGCTTGCACCGGATAACACCGGTCTATTACCGACTTCCCGATTTGAGGCTGCGCCAAGTCTTAGCCTTTCTCAGTAGTGAAAGCCTGAAACACCTGAAAAACTCAACTTACACCCCGACTTTCACTATCCCGACCACTTTCCTTCTGTTTTTCTTGTAGTAATAATGCTGGCCACCACTGCCGTTCGTCGTTCCACTGCTGTCTTTCGTAGTACAGCATCGCTGTCGACGTGGGGTGCCGTGCCCGCCGGTCCACCCGACGCAATCTTGGGTGAGTGCTGTTTGATGCACATTCCCGAACGCGCACACTGAACTCCAACGAGGTATCACGGAGGCCTTCAAGGCCGACAAAGATCCCCGCAAAATTAATCTAGGCGTGGGTGCCTACAGAGACGAAAACGGAAAGCCGTACGTCCTGAATGTAGTAAAGAAGGTCGGGCGTCTGGTGTCTATGCTATCTATGTCCGTCTGAAATGCCGTTCAGGCAGAGGAAAGGATTGCAGCTGCTAAAATGGACAAGGAATACCTTCCCATCACCGGTCTTGCATCTTTCACCCAGAATGCGGCGAAGCTTGCCTACGGCGCAGATAGTGAGCCCTTGAAACAGAACGCGGTTGGTCGCCATTGTCGTAGCCACAAAAAAGACACAAGGTCTAAACTAACTATGGTTGTCAGATCGCTATTGCACAATCCATCTCCGGAACTGGAGCTCTTAGAATTGGTGGTGCTTTCATGGCAAGGCATTACCCCCACATTAAAGCTATATACCTCCCCACCCCGACCTGGGGAAACCACATACCTCTCTTTAAAGATTCTGGCCTAGAAGTGCACCGTTATAGGTATTTCGACAGCAAGACCGTGGGTTTGGACTTTGCGGGTATGAAGGAGGACCTCAAGGTTTGGTCGGTTTTGTGTGTTCGAGTGACTTCGGCTCAGATAGTTTGCTGTAGAATGCACCTGAGGGCGCTATCGTGTTGCTCCACGCTTGTGCACACAATCCTACCGGGGTCGACCTCACACAACAGCAGTGGAAGGAACTGTCCGACCTCGTCGCCGAAAAGCAGCTCTTTCCATTCTTTGACATGGCTTACCAGGGTTTTGCTTCCGGGTCCACGGATCGTGATGCATTTGCTGTCCGTCATTTCGTCTCACAAGGTCACCGCATTGCTCTCTGCCAATCATTTGCTAAAAACATGGGTCTGTATGGTGAACGGGTGGGCGCGTTCTCGTTGACGACACAGAACGAAGAAGAGAGGAAGCGAGTTGACAGTCAAATTAAGATCATCATTCGTCCGATGTTCTCGAATCCTCCGCTTCACGGTGCCCATATTGCCAACACCATTTTGTCTGACCCGGAACTTTACCAGGAATGGGAAGGTGAAGTGAAGGGTATGGCTGGCCGCATCATCAACATGAGAGAAAGGCTGTATGATCTTTTGACTCATGAATTGAAGACTCCAGGAGAGTGGGGTCACATCAAGAGCCAGATTGGCATGTTCAGGTGTGGGAGACAGAGAACTTTCTTAATCCTAATATTGACTTCGCATCTAGCTTTACTGGACTACAGACTGAACAATGCAAAGCTCTTGCGGAGAAGGCACATATTTACATGACGATGGACGGACGTATCTCGATGGCTGGCTTGAACGGCAGTAACATCGAGTACTTCGCTCAAAGCATGAACGCTGCAGTTAGAGGCAACCTGTGATTTTCCTGGAATAGATGCTGATAATGTTATGGCTTTCATATTATTTATTTCCCTTGGGAGGACTTGCTACTCAGTGAAATGCAGTATGCATCGGGCACCCAGCACCAGCACCCCTCGAATTTTTGAACGTTGATGGTGGCGAATCACTTGATTGCGTGCCGTGTCTCTGCACGTACTGTGACTTTGTTCAGGCTCTTAGTGCGGGAAACTCCGATGTACTTAAATACCACGTCCATCTTTCTTTCTACCTACATATGCTGACTCTCGAGCAGCCCACGGGTGTGCGGTGCCAATCGTGAGCTTCGTGGTCAATTTAGAGGTTGAAGGCTACGGATAGTAGGTCAGACAGCTAATGCTTTGCACTGTGCGAAGGTGCTTCCCCATCCACGCCTTGAGCTGACGGCAGGACGACACCTCGCTGCGAATCATTCTTTCATTATCCCCTATCATCCCTCCAACGTTTCCCACTGCTGCGACCACTTGGCACTCCACAATCTGGGGCAACACCGTATAGATGCCTTCACTAAGTGATGAGCTCACGGTCGCGGATTCAGCTTCAGCTAGACCCACCTCTGACTTCGAGGGTGTTGACTGCGAGGCAACAACTGAGTAAGTATCGCCCGCGGACGCCAGCTCGGCTACGCGTGGATCGAGCGTGTGTTCACCCTCGGAAGAAGTCAGTGACGTCAATCACGAGAATCCGCCTTCATCGGGAGTTGCACCTTCCAATCGTCGGAGAGTGTTTGAGGGAATTTACCGTATTTTCCGCGTAATCAGCATGATGGCACTTGGTTTAATACGGGTAACATCCCACCCTGCCACCCGCCTTCAAATCCTCAGACCGGTTTCCCTGCCTTGTTCAAATGATGGATGGCTCCATATCGCGTCCTCCGTCTTCGCAGGTTAACTGTCAGCGATCCTTCAACCCTGCAAAACATCTCACGCTGCAGCCAACGGGTACGGAAGCTTTCCCGTCTACCTTTGATGGCCTGGGATTGTGGAGTGAAGGAGAAGGAAAAGAGTTGGATTCGAATCCGCATCTCGCGGAAAACTTCCAAGTTCCACAAGACTCAGAGATGCATGGAGCGGGAATGGCCATCCGCACACCTCCACTGTCTGGGGACCAATCCCCCCTACTCCGCCACACGCTCCCAACGAGGCATTCTAATGGCATCATGCAGCGCATTAGGAGGGCTGGGGCCCGCATCAAAAGCTTGGTTAGGCGTCAAAAAAGGAGTACGGATAGTGGTGGATTGATTCGAAGTAGTAGTTCTGGAGTCGCCATGGTGCCTGGGAGTGACGATGGAAGTGTCGAAATTGCCGCTCCGCTCCTTCATGGCAAATTTCCTTCTACATCGCTTCCACCTCAGATTCCTCCTCTTAGCTTCGATGACGGGGGTACACCGAGTGAAGAGGCAGAGGCGAGCCCCGAACGGTTACCCAAACTAATTCTCTACCGCAGCCCCTCCAAACGTGCCTCTACCAGTGGCTCTGTTCCTTCGCGGGAAGGGAGGACTAGCAGGACGTTTAAGCGGCTTTCTCTTGCCACATAAAACGACCGTGGATCCACTTCCTAGTAGACTCGCGAGTATGTTTGTTGGTATGTTACTCTTTTAGTCCTTCCTATACACCCAATATCCATGCCATGGATTTTTTTACCCTCGTATCCTACCTTGTACCCCATTTAATGGGTCAGTTACGCACCCTATTGCTTGTTACCGGTGTCCTCCAGGTTGGCTGACACCTTACTTGTATTAGTGCTATAGCCGCTCGGCGAAGTAGGCAGCATCGGAATTATTTTGCACAGCGGCCTTGACGTATCGTGCATGACATTCCCGGACCCATAGTATTGTGAATCTGTTGTCTTCTTGATGGCCTAGACACACCCCTCGGAGTAGGCGATACTACGTTGTCAAGCGGCAGAACAAGAGTAGTAGGGACCGCGCGTATGGAATGGAAGTCGGTTAATCAGGATGCCTTCATTAATATGACAGAACAATGGCGTCGGTCTGCAATTGTCCAAATAAGGCAGGTAGTAACAAAGAACAAAACCTCTCTTGCAACGGCATTCAATGCCTCCGGCTGAGGGACCGGGGCGGTTGTCAATATAAGTTCGGTGAGACCACAGGCTCTCATCACGTTCACTCCCACTCTTCCTGTCTGCAGTCTCCTTCAACCAGCCGTGCAGGACCGCGCGCTTTTTGGACTTCTCCAGTCGAAACCTTCACGTTTGATACGTCTTTGAGAATCATGCTGGCCGATCTTTCGAAAGCCACCACCCTCTACCTTACACCGATCCTAATGCTTACAGCTGTATTCCTCATACTTTTTGCATACCTCTCACCCGCTGCCATGCTCCACGGCCAGGTCGCCCTCCTTACAGTGACACCATCCACCGTATTGACTCAGCCAGGGTCGAATCAACAAGTGGATGGTCCCACACTGTTTGCGGGACTGCTAGGTCAGTGATCGTCTGCTTGTCATCGAATGCAGAGCCCATGGCGGCGACAGGATCATGTTCGAAGCCTAACAATGCTGCGGGGCTCACCTGCGCCATGCCCTCTATTACCCCAACCTACAGTCCGTTTTCTCAATCACCATTGCACATGTTCCCTTCTGAGCGCACTCTACAGATATGTCAGTGTTCACTTCCAATACTCCCAGTTCCGTTCTAGCAGCCCCTCCTGCAACGACCCCGGCGTTCCTCGCTGTTGCACTAGGATTCACAATCGTCTTCTTCGTTATGTATACTGCCATATCCTTCCGACACTTAATGGGGAAGGCAGGAGGTTACTGGGAGAAACCAGTTGTGCAAAGGGTATCTGCCTGGATTGGGATCTGTTCCTTCTTGGTTGGTAAGTGCTACAGTTTTAGGCTTGACAATGACGAAGATCCGATATGCTCTCTTTTAGGCCTTGCATCTTTCCTTATAATTCGCATGTACTTCGGAAAGGCGGTCTCTGACTTTAATCAAAGTATCCAAGGGCAAGGGACTAACGGGCCTCAACTCATCGCAAATACGAGCAATGCCTTTACCAGTAAGTGCCAGTCGTCCGCACAGCCATCTCGAAGAGTGACGCGCTTGGCCAGTGGTCTGGGTTGGATATGCATTCTTTGCCATTCCTGTCATCGTCTCGCTGGCAAAGTTGCATGTTCTTGCAACGAAATAATGCATGACATTTTACGCGTACACTGAGCATGTAGACTTTTCAAAGACGGACATCAAGCACACTATTTTAGTTTTTTTTTTTTGGATGTGGTATTAGGCATGTATGTAGTAGGACTTTCAGACGCCCTGCATAATTTTGGTCGGCGCCTGAAAAACTCGCTGAAAAGATTTTATTTTTCACTCAAACCCTCGTGCTTCTTGCTTTCCCCTCGGTTTGACCGCAACGTACCAGGTGAGTAGTTAGCGTTCTTCGATATTTTTTCCCCCCAAGTATCCTGGGACATACGATGAGTGTTGTATAATCAACCACCAACTGGCACCTCTTAGTCGACTTGATACCGTTCATCCAACTCAGGCTGTACTGTATCACTGACATGAATGACTTTCTGATAATTCCTTCATTTCGTCTCACTCGCCGTGTCGGCATTTGCTGACGTCCGAGTTCTCTTTACAGTATTTTCAGAGGTGACTGCACTTGTCAGTCTAAACATCATAGGAATCCCAAATCACCACCCGATGTACCCGCGTCCAACCCACGTCTAGCATGTGTTCGTGTATGACTATCAGTTATCATGTCGTACGTCTGCCGTAGCGAGTAATCCTATCTTGCTTTTGATGAACCACTGAGTGTATTGTCCTTGTTCTTGCCTCTGTTCGACGATGCCGTCCTGGTATGTTCTAACCGTTGACAAACGGCAACGCCAGAGTAAATCAATACTGTCACAATAGCTGATTCAACAATCACCCGAACCCTCGCGGCTCTCCGGCGCCCGAGGAGATTGACATCGCCAGCGCACCCGTGGAAACTTTGCTTGTCAAGCTTGCCGCTAGCGAGTGGCTGTCATTTAGTGTCACCACTGCATTCTATAAGGTTCTCCCCAACTTGTAGTTGTCTCGCCCATCCGAACCCGATGCAGAGCATTTGCCCTCTCTTAGGTCAACTACTTGACGGAAATATTTGTCCAGCGTGCTTTGGCTCGTGCCACTGAGCTTGACCAGTACTTGAAGAAAAGCGCAAAAGTTACTGGTCTGCTACGTGGCTTGTCTGTTTCCCTCGAAAGACCGATTGTGTATCAAGGGCTTGGAGACAACCATGGGATATGTATCTTGGATTGAGAAGGATGTGGACAACAGTGCAATTCTTGTCGATATCCTATACGACTGTGGAGCAGTCGTCCCGTTCGTAGGCACGAATGTGCCTCAAACACAGATGACAAGTTACCATGGGTGTACTCTACGGCTTGTCATCTTTTACTGGTGGGGAGAAAAACTTAACAATACACGCGGTAGAACAAGTACTTCGCACAAGCGGTTTGTGACGTCTGGCGGTTCTTCCGGTGGCGAGGTAATTCCCTCGCTCCTAGGCTTACTTCTAACCCTCGCATTGCAGTTCCATTCGCATTTCGGCTCCTTTTTGCAGTGTCTATGGCCTGTAACCTTCCTACGACCGTGTCCCATATGGTGGTGCAGTGAGTTCCATAGAAGGGTAGAATTCGATTCTGTCCGACCATGGCTAGGAGATCCACTCGCAGTGCGCGAGCACCGGAATCATGAGAAACACAAGTTGGCAAATCACGGACATGGCAAGGACCTTTGCTTTGCAATCATGTGGGATGATGAAGTAGTCATCCACCTGTCAAGAGAGCACTTGAAATGACGAAGGCGACGTAATCCTTTTTCCTGTCTCAGGTCGCTTTCTCCTAATTATTTCGGTTGTAGGGTGGATGCCCTTCAAGTACCGGGGACTGTCTGAAGCTGTCGTACGTGCGCCGTCTTAGTGTCTGTCGGTTACCTCCGAATCTGAAGCATTTCTTCAGTTCAATATTCGGCGTTCAGGTGTGGTAGAAGACATTTGCGGTCGCTACGTCGGCTACTAGGGAGCCCCTCATCCACATCATGTTACCTTTTACCGCTGTTCCGGAAGCAGAGTGGAATGACGGCTCATCAACTCTGGCAAGTTCAGTGTCAGCTTTCAGTTACACTGATTACGCCTCAATGTGCAGCGTGTTGGATTTCACTTCCTCGGTCACAAGTGCCGACCCGGACTTGGACGCAAAGCGGCTTCCCCATCATGTATAGACACTTTTAGACTAAGAAACAGAATCATGTTTGTGTCCATCAGGAAGCAAAAAAATGGTTTAAACTTGTTTAAACCTGTCACTGACTGGTCGTGACCGCGATTCCGTCATTTCCTGTCCCTCTGATGTCCCTCTGCTGGGCATCCCCCTCGTATAATCGTTCGAATTTATGTCTGCATAGGTGAGTCGCAAACGTCCCAAAACGCCCCCGTTTGTTTGCAGCTAGGCAGAAATTGTGAGTTCCGCTCTCAAAGGGTGAATGAAATTTATGGTTTTATGTTACATATCGATACGAACATGGATATGAGTGTCGACTAAAGTTTGGATAAAGGCAATGCCTCGTTGATAAAAATCCCTGCGGCTCCCATGCCGCTGCCTACACACATGGATGTACACAATACTTTTTCGTGCCTCCTGCGTAGTTCTGCGAGGCCAGTGACTACTTGTCGCACGCCCGCTAGGATGAAAGAAACATGAGTGAGAGTTGTATTACAACGACGAGAAACACACTCATTCCGAGAGGATGCGACAGGGCAATAGCACCGCCACTAGGTAAGAGTCAAATCAGTGACTCGGAAGCCACGCGATCTAGCTTACTTTGGATTAATCTTGTCCATAGGAATGTTGAGTTCTTCTACGCAATATGCAAATTGTGACGCGAATGCTTCGTTGATCTACGGATGGTCAGCGCAAGGAAACAAGACGCTAAGATACCATCTACCTCATAAACGTTGATATCCTCTTTGGAAAGACCGAACTGAGCCAAGACTTTGGGTATAGCCACTATCGGGCCGATACCCATGTGTCTCGGTTCGACTACCTATGCTATGTGATTAGCATCACCTGCACGGCTCAGATGCTTACGTACCGACAACAGCGCTCCCAACCCATTTCCCGACGATATCCATTCCCTCTCGTTGTGCACGCTCCCTTGTGGTAAGGATGCAAATTGCAGCCCCGTCGCCAATACCGCTTGCATTACCAGCCGTTGTAGACCCCTCGCCCCAGTCGGGAAAGACCGGCTTTAGAGCAGACAGGCCTTCCACCGTCACTCCAGGACGAATTGTATCGTCGACTGAGATAACGCTACCCCGAACCTCGATTGGTAAGATTTCTTCGGAAAATATGCCATTCGCAAGGGCCTGTTTCAAGGAGCTTGTATATATACCGGGGCTCGAGGCTTGAATACATACCTGGCTAGCTCGCGTGTGCGAAATCAATGCATACATGTCCTGTTTCTCTCGGGAAACGCGGTACGTCTGAGCGACCATCTCGGCGGTCCACCCCATGGGCTATAAAGCATTCTGCAAGTAATTCATCGCATACGGATTGAAAGAGGTTACCTGAATGCAATCATGAGCTTGGTGATTCTTGTCTACTGCCTCAGATATCAAAGGGGTGGGACGAGGACTGTGCCAACGTGTTGGAATGCACGGAAAGGACGAGCAAATCTTAAAAAACAGGCTCGACGTACTTCAGCGTCATATTTTCAACGCCGACTGCAAAGCCGAGCGATATTTCGCGAGACTGAATAGCTTGTGCAATGTATCGAATGGCCATGAGTCCAGATGAGCACAATCTGTTTAGAGCCGTGATGGGCACATGGTGTGGTATACCGGCAGCTAATGCAGCCGCTCTCGATGCATAGGCAGGGGAGGGTGGATGACATGTAGCTTGAAGAGGGTAGTGAGTACAAGAACACCCCGATAGTTATTGCGCAGCCGTTACCGACGCAGATGTCGTCTATTTTACTGGGATCCAACTTAGTCTTCTCGAGCGCGGCCTAGGGGGAACTAGTAAGTCGAATGCTCAAGTGGTGGGAGCGTCGAACACGCCTTGAACATGGCCTGCATCATTTCGTCCACGGGAACATCTTTGAACTGGCCTTTCTTCGCCCTCCCCATCGCCGTACGCTTCGCAAACGTTATGACAACATCGTCGGGATGTTTCTCGAGAATCGCGGGCAGCCCATTGGCAGCTCGCGTAGACATGTTGCGCATGGTCAGTGAAGCGAGGCCAAGGCGAAGCGGGGGAGCGGGAAGCATGACGAAGTAGACAAGAGGCAAGACTGACGCCGTAGGGGGGCCTCTGAGTCGTACTATGCTACCACACCAGCAACACAGTATATTAAATGTGCTCTAGCTGGCCGTTGCATGGTGCGGCCAGAATTACAAAGTGCAGGTACTGAAGTACGCTACTCATGGAGCAGGAGAACGAACGCGTAGAGGTAGCTGGGTAGCAGGGGTCGGTCACCGATCTACTGTGTCTGCTGCTGGAATGACATACTTCAGTTCCGTTGTTCCTTCTTAGAGTCCCGTCTGAGTCGTGAGATGATGCTGTCGTAGCAGCTTCTGCACGCGTGGTGGGCAAGTTTGGGTTGTCCGCAGCCGGGGCAATGGACGATGTCTGGCAGAGGGATAAGTAAGGAATGTATACGACGTGCAAAGACTGACTCAGTTTGTCTTTGAGACCCTTGTGCGCACTGCGCATGGCTTTGCGCGAGTGGGACACTTTTTTCTTGGGGACAGCGAGCACGATGGGCGGGAGTAATTCCCATAATGATTGGAGAGTAGGCAAGGCCAAACTGAGGGAGAACGTCCGCCATGGGGACTGGAGGGCCCGGGGAAGTGCTATGGAGGTCATGGCTGGAAGGAGTCTCCAGCGCAAGTTTTTTTGGCGTGACCACCCTTTCGCCTCCGAACGACCATGTTCAGACTCACGCGTCCGTTGCTACAACAAGTCCTCAAGAAAACTACTGGAATCACGGGTCTCGCAGTACACCCAAACCCCCTTCCAGAACTCGTCCGAACCTATGAATCCACCCTTTCCGTCCTCTCTACCATCCCCCAGACTTCTGTCTACAGACAGAGTGCAGAGGCACTCACGAAACACAAGCTCGACATCGTCAAGGGTGCCAATGGAGATGTAGCCTCCGTAGAGAGACGACTGGACGAGGGGCAAATTGAGGAGTCATTAGATATTGCACAGGACGAGTTGAGGGTAGCAGAGAACATGCTGGAGTGGAAAGCGTCAGTCCGGTCTTTCTCGACGGTGCAAGATCATCTCTGACAGCGATACTCTAGGTGGGAACCGCTGGAGGAGCGACCCCCAGCTGGCCAGTGGGAGTATTTCGGGAACACATCCAACCCAGCGTCGTGAAGGGTCCCTCAGGCAGTGTCTACATAAACACAGATGCTCATTGCTGGATAATGTACAGCGCCTCTTCTGCAATACTACTGTCATCTGGTTGCGTCTACTAGCGCCAGACGTGAACTGCGCTGACGGTGTTCTCAGCTCCGGAGGAAATTCTCGCAAACGTCTGCGCGTCAGCAAGACTAGTAAGTGGGCTGGAAGAGAAAAAAAAGAGGTTCGGCAACGGGGAGGTTTATATGACTCTCGGATATGACCGGAAGCACACACTGATTCGTCAAGAGTAGTCGTTTCATGCAGGTGAATATAACATGGGTCACAAGAGAACCATACAGACAAGCGATCATACGAAGGTGGATCGAAAGTAAGTAGCACACGCGATATGATGTATATGACACAGGTAGATTTTCGCTTGGAATAAGAGGAACCAGTGAGAGAATATCTTGTTTGGCACAACCAGACCGTTCTCCACGACCAGATACAAGGGTAAGAAGGTATGAAGGGAGGGGACATGGTGCCCGATGCCTTGTTCCTGCTTTCTACGAGAGCGCAGGGAAGGCTCTCTCGTCATCCACATTGACACCAGTGGATGCGGTATTGCCACTGAATCCACCACGGCCTCGGCCACGTCCGCCCCGGCCACGACCCCGGTCGCCTCTGTCGCCTCCGCGACCACGCGTTCCGCGTGATGGACGGTCGAAGCGGGCCTCGATTTCGATAAAGACTTTTTCCTTCTTCTCGGTGCGGGACTTGGCTGTATTCCTGGTCTGCGAAAAGAGTGAGAAGCTGCACAAGTCCAGATAGAAGCGGGTGAGTAACCTTTCCAGCGAAGTACGCGTCGCCTTCGCCTTTCTCGAGGCGGGTGGCACCATCCCAGATACGGTCGTCGGAACCTTCGTTGGCCTTGCGAGACTCGAGCTTCGGTAGCAGGCTGGATTCCTTCTCCTTTTGCTGGGCGAGGTACTGGTCGAGGGTGAGGGTGTTGTCCTCTTCTTCCTCTCTGTCGCGACGACGACTTTCGGTTTTGCCGGCTTCGGCTTCACCTTCACCGTTGACTGGAGCGGGTGCTGAAGCGTCGGCGGGACTTGCACCCCAAGCATCATCGACAGCAGCACCACCAGCCCAGTTGTTGGTGTCGCCTGTCCCATCGGCAGCACCGTCACCGCTGACACCAGCCCAGTCGTTCACGTTGCCCGCCGCATCGACAGACTCTGCGGCGGCGTCGTTGGTGGCAGCCTCCTCTACCTTGAGTTCGGTAGAGCCATCGTCGCCGCCCCAGGACTGATGGACTTTCTTTTCAGAGTCGCTAGAGTTCGTGCAGGTAAGGAGGAAGGGTTGTGAGCGTTTATATCGACTTACGTCTTGCCCGTGCCGCTATGCCTGTCGAAGGCCCGTCCTCTTCCGCCACCACGGTTGCCACGACCTCTCCCCCTGCCTTCCCTGCCTTCCCTGCGTTCGCCGTCGACTGAATCACACCCAAGGTTGATCAAGGGGTGAGATGAATGGATGGGCATGAAAGTGATAATGGCTTACATCGACGCCTGTTAGACTCTGCACCGGCTGCGGGTTCCTCCGCAGTGGTAGTATCGCGATTGGTGTCGGTGTTTTTGTTGGCACCGCCGCCTCTGTTGTAGTAGCGACCGCCGCGAGAAGCGGGGCCACCCCTGCCGCGCTGGTTGCCCTTGGAGGGTTTGGATGTGGGTTGAGCGGGGACGGGGGCATGGTCAGTGGCAGGGGCTGGGCTGGAAGGGCGGGATGACTCCTCTGGGGGGGGGGAGGTGAGGATACCAAAGAGAGACACGAGACAAGCTCACCGTCCAGGACAGAGAAAGGGTTCTTCGAGGCCACCGACATGGTTTGGCGGGGCCTTTTCAGCGATCAGTCGGACGTGACTTGAGGGTGATCTGTGAAAGACGGATGCTCACAGGTGTCGAGGAGGAAAAAAGGGAACGGGACAATCAGGCTGGGGTGCCAGGGGGTCTCTGCAAGCCACACCCACTGGCTGTACAGTTCCATCTATAAAAGGAAGCCCGGGTGTCGGCCGCTCTCTCCAACGCATTTTACACAGGTGAGCTCGTCGTCGTTGTCGTCGCCGTTGTCGAGGAGGAGACTAACGGGTATCAGCCTGCAAAAAGCATCTCGACGACGAGTCGCTTGCCTGGAGCAATGCAGGAGTGGAGTGAGTCGAGGACCTTGAGACCGTCTAGTCGGGCTGGAGATGGACGTCGATTCGACGGGACGTGGGTGCGACGTCGTCCGTCGTTGCGGATGGCTGTTCGTGGCTGCCGTGTGGACGGGGTCGCAATGTCCTGTTGTACATACTGTAATGCACCAATTTGACTACGAGCGCCAATTCGATTTGTGATTTCTCTGTATCATATGTACTTGTCCCATCGACGATGTCCCCGCAACGGATGGCCATCGCATCGCTGCTCTGTCCAGACGACCAGCCCAGTCCTGCGCACGAGCCAGGCCGTGTGAGACACCCAGAGAAACCACGCACGATCGATGCCCTTCTCCACCCCGCCCCAGTGCCGGCCTCCACTCAGCCCCACCCAATGATAGTGACAACGACGACAACGGCGGCGGGGGCGGCGCTCTCCACGCCGGGCACGTCTCCCTCCCAGCACCGAGCCATGTCCTCATCGTTCTCCTACTCGCCGACCGACTCCATCAGACACCCGTTTCCCTCTCCCCGCTACTCCCCGCTCCACTCCACCCGCACGCCCTTCGCCGGTCTGCAGGCACTCGTCCATGTTGCCTCTGAAGAACATCGTCGCATCAGCACCCTCGACAGAGAGCGAGAACACCCCGATTCTCGTCTGCATTACCACCACAACTACAACTACCCGAGACACCCCGACATCGACTACCACCACCGCCCCAACAAGCGTCTCCGCGTGTCCCGTTCCGCTTCTCCATCCCGCCCCCCATCCCCCAACACAGACACACACCCCTCCACTCCTCCTCCACCTTTCCAATCCGAGCAACACGCTGCACGCGGTCGCTCGGCTAGCGGGAGCTCACAACACAGACAACCGCCACCAGACTCGCAATACTCCCGTTCTTACGTCCACCTCGTGCATCCCACCAGCCGTGTGCCACACCCGAGCACATTCTTCCCACCCGTGTCGCACTCCCAACACTCGCCTCTCCTGCCTTCCCCTCCCATACACCTCTCCCGCGCCCTTCCATCGCCATCGCGCCATCCGCCACTGCACTCGTTACTGCCACAACCACAATCATCTCCCCAGTCGACACGTCCTCCTCCCTTCTCTGGCGCAGCCTTCACCAGCACCACCAGCGTACCGAGAATGGTTGGGGGTATCTCGCTGCTAAGAGAGGACGTGTCGCCCCCCAGATTCGAGACATCGCGACACAGGACGGACCCTCCATACTTGCGAGTGCAAGAACATCTGCCGGTGCAGTCCCCAATCCCACGACTACCAGCAGTAGCATGGGATGTCCGACAGGACACCCCACCGAGCGAAGTAATCCTCTCCAGTAATCGAGAGAACAAGTCAGAACTCCAACAACCTCAATCATCCTTTCCGGTCGTTCCCCTGCCCTCGCAGTTCTCTGAATTCGAGTCGCACACCGCCGTCGGGCTACACCTACAACCTGGTTCTCTGCCTGTGGGCAAGACTAGCAATCTTCTAATGCAACAGCGATCGGTGCAAGACACACACCCCACAGAGCAGGTCTTCTCGTTACCACTTGCGCGTACGGACAACTCTGAGGTCTATATCGAGGCACAGTCTTTTGCTGACAGCAGGGATGCACAGGAAGACGGCAGCTCAGTGGATCAATCTACAGCAAAGACTTGGTCTGCACAGCGTGGGCCTACTCCACATCCAGGATCGCCTAGCCGTACGCCGTCTTCACTACCAGAGCGGAATCTGGCGGGGGATACCCCATCGCCGGTGGAAATCCTAGCAACGCCTCCACCCGTATCTCCCGCCCCACCTCCTCGAGGAAGTCCTCCAGTTGCGTCGGTACCTGCGTCCCCGCATTCGGAAAGAGTAGCACCAGAGCACACATATTCTTATATGACATCACCCCGTCCAACACCATCTCCGCCACCGCATGCCGTTCAGCGCGAGGCACGCCAGGGAATTGACAGTGGACGTACACAAGCTCCCGAGCCTGAAAACGAACCTTCGCAGGCTCTTGCACCTACGAAAAACGAAAAGGTAGAAGAGGAACTTGCAGATCTTCTCCCCGAGCCGATGGCAGTCGATGATTCCACTCGGAAACCGGCACTGCCGTTGGAACTTGTGCTAGGAGATGCACCAGTGATGCCAGTCGTTTCACCAGCAATTCAGCACTTGGAACCCGAGTTGGGTCTCAAGCTCGAGGGCGAAGGAGGCGATTTCCATGTCACAGAGCCTGCAGCGAGCAGGGGTAGCTCTGCGACACCATCCACATGCATCAAAGCAGAGGTACACCCCGAAGCGGACAATGTCGACACCTTCCTACCCATCTCATCTCCGCCCGAGGTGGACTGTAAATCTGCACGAAAGTTTGAAGGCAGTCATGACATGGTTGGCATGGACATCGACGTCGACGAGGAACTTCTGAGCCTTATCGAAGATCGGCCTCCTATACGCCGTGTGCAACCCCGTAGTGCCAGTGCACAGGCGCCAAGGGTCGGCGAAGAATCAGAACAAGGGCCAGCCGTCTCGCGGGCCTCGGCAACCGTCACGGATGAAGAACCCGAACCGGACTCAGCGCTGCCCCCTATTCAACGCACGAAGAAAGGCGCTTCCACGACTGCGGCTAAGAAGAAAAAGCAGGAAACTGCCAGCAAGGTACGTCTCTTCATTTTCAGCTAATGTCCGAATCAAATATTGAATTTCGTTCCAACTGGGTTGTAGCCTCCGACCAAGGCTAAGCAACCTCCAAAATCTCGGGCGAAACCTGCTGCGAAAACAAGGGCGAAACTCGGGGTTGAAGAACCCAAGGACGCCTGCAAGAGTATCCTCAAACCTGCTGGTGCAGGTGCTGGGTCACGTTCCACGTCTGTTATGCCAGCCAACGATTCCAAAGAAGACAATGCACCAGAGGGCGAGGTAGAAGAGAGTGATAAAGAAGACGACAAGTTGTACTGTGTATGCAAGACCAGATATAACGAGGATCGGGTGATGATTGCGTGTGATAGGTATGTGGCTGAATCACACTTGTCTTGGCTGAATATACCGACGCGGTGATGCAGATGCGATGAGTGGTATCATACACAGTGTGTCAATATGCCTGATCTCGAGATCGACTTAGTCGATCAATTCATTTGCCCGCCGTGCGTGAAGAGTGGGTTTTGGACTGTGTCTCGGATCCCCGTTTTACTAACATTTGCCTACAGAGAATCCAGAGCTCCGTACAACTTGGAAGCGACGGTGTCTGTATGGTCTTCGACACGAAAATCCTTCCTCACCAAGCGCATGCCACAAACCCGCCCGTGGCGCCTTTTCTAAGTATTGCTCAGATGGGTGCGGTAAAAAGTACATGGAAATGCATATTTCAAAATGGGAATCCAGCGGTGGCAATCGAGATGCACTTTGGGAGGAGGTCAAGCACGCAGAAAAACGGGAGGGCGTAGTTGTCCGCCTGGACGAAAACATTGGGAGAACGTCAGCTGGCGGTGAAGTTCACGTTGACGGCACCCGAGAAAGTTTCCCCGAGGTACCCTCCAAATGCAGAGTTGAATGGGAAATCGGTCGGTTGAATGCACGTCTTGAGGAGGTTGTGAAGCAGAGAGAAGTAGTCAAACTTGAGATGGATATGGTACTGTGGCGAGAAAAGCTTGTCAACCTGGCTGCCCAACGTGCTGCGAAAATGGACGAATGCGGTTGGGACCAGAGGCTTTGCTTCGGAAAAGAGGAGTGGACAGATTTTGGAGCGGAAGTGCTAGACAGCTACGAGGAGAAAATGGAACATGGGAATGACACTATGCATGTCGACGACACATCATCTAACCATGGAGAATGGTGGTGCGTCGGTAAAAAGAAATGCGAGCGCCATGCTGGGTAAGCTCTGCTGGGATAGTTTGTGTTGTATGATTGATTTTGTGGTCAGATGGCAGAAACTCCGAATGGCGGAGGTCTCATTCGATAAAGAAACGAAAGAAGGGGTACTTGTCAAACTGACAACCTGTGAACGCGAGATACGCAAACGCATCGAAGATATCCTGTACCCCCGAGCTCATAGCACATCTCAGAAAGCACTTGTCCCGCTAAGCCCGGGACTTCGCCTCAACGGAACCCATAACTCCTAATCGGGCGAAACAACGACCGCGTCTGCATCCATAACTATTCTTCGTGCACGCATTGCCTCTCGACCTTGTCACTTCCTTTTTATTCCCTGCGCATAGCCTACCTAGAATCGAGTGAACTCTGCTTCGCAAATGTCGTGAGCAGCCATGGATACGAATGCATCTCTGAGGATAAAAATGAAGTGATACAACTGTTGCGTGTTGTCAATAACCATCACCCTCCCCTCCTTCCTTGCAAAACCCCTTTTGTTCATACAACACCCTAGCCTTGAAATCTTCTCGACCTTTCCTATCAGCAATGTCCATTTTATGATATGGATCGAGCACATTATAATCAACCTGTCGTAATGGGATGTCGTCCTCCTGATCGAGGTCCTGGTGGGGATGTATGAAAGAGAGACGGCGATGACAGAGGGCCTGCAGAAACATACAATTTCACCCAACAGCACCACGTTCTCACCCCTAATCAAAAATAGGCCGTGCCAGTGTTCGGCAAATGCATTACCGTGGTATATTCGCTCTACAGTATCTTCGAGAACCAGATTTGCTGTGTGAACAGCCTGTTGGAATGTAAAATCCTAGATGATTAAAGGCACGTACGCACCGAACTGATCATAGGAGCGCAATACACCATGTAATTTTCGACCGTCTCGAAGAACCACAAGCATCTTTCCTAAGCCAGGGCACAGTGAAACAAAAAACATGGATGACTTGGGGCGAATGAATGACAGGTGGTCAGACGTACTGTCCACGCAATCTACTAAGGCTCCAGAAGTAGTGAATGGGATCAACGAATCCATTGAGGGGCAACGCTGCCACCAGGCAGCCAGACGGTGTAATGAGCGTAGCGATAACGACGTCGAGAATTTGGTGGAGGACGACGACTCACAAGCAATTACTGTATTATCCCTGCAGCCTTGTCCTGTAGTACAAATTTTGAAGTGGACAGACAGGTTCGTCAAGCTGATATGGCCGAGTCGTTAAGGCGAGTGATTTGAATTCTCAACATCACTTGGGCATTGCCCGCGTAGGTTCAAATCCTGCTGTCAGCGAATCTTTTTTGGCTTTTTTGTATTTTCTATGGCTAGACGGTCTGGCATGACCAGAGGTATGTCTAACCATTGTCACTCATTCGCACGATGATCGAAACGATATACATCGCTAGGCATGGTCAGCACCACAAACCAACCGACCCAGCAGACATAGCTCACTTGTCATGGTTTTCAGGTTTTCGATCAAACTGGGTTGACCCCATCTGGTCTGTGTTGTCTACCAGTTCGTTGTTGGGCTGCACTGACGAACTGCTGCAGCGGATCTCCTACGGGCCTTCCAAGAGATTATCCCTTGGCGGCGTACGGAGAGGTGATTGTCGCAACCTAGATATGTATACAGCACCAGGGGTGCCAGTTCACGATTTCCCCCCCAGACTCAAGCACAGGAACTCGCTGCATACTTTCAAGCCCTCCCTGTGTCAAACCGACCAACCGCGATATTCTCTTCCCCATACTGTATGTCGTACTGACCTCCCCTCCTCCAACTTGTCTCTGATGGTCGATCGCTTACCTAGATCGCTGCCTTCAAACGGCGTTACCTATGGCTTCGGCCCTAAATCTGCCGATTTACACTGAGCATGGTGGGTGTTCAAAACTGTGCCCGACTCGGAAAAGTGACCACTGAGTGCTCAGGCATCGCTGAATGGTACTCTCCTGTTGTACCTGGGACAGGTTTACACCCCCGTCCAAAGATTGCCTCTGAACTGAAAGCCTACTTCACTGAGATTGATCCGTCGTGGTCTTCCGTTTGGTATCCCTCTCGCAAGGGTGAAGACGTGGACCAGGTTCATGCCCGTGTCAACGGATTTCTCGAGCTCTTCGTTCCCGAGGTCGAAAGACGATTCTCTGACAAACACAAGTGCATTTTGTTGTTTTCCCATGCAGCCACGATCATTGCACTATGTAGGGGTCTCCTAGCCCAACCCGACATGCCACTCAGGGTAGGCTGTTGTTCCATCTCCGTGTTTACTCGGAAACCAGGTGCAGTCGGTATCGTGGGTGCCTGGGAACCTGAATTGCTGGCAAATGGAGACCACTTGAAGGATGGGGCCTCGCGAGACTGGGGCTTTGAAGATATTCACACCTCCAACAGAAAGGTATACAAAAACTGAGTGAATTACACCGTCTTATTGATCGAAATTTCTAGGTAATCAACCATGTCGGCATTCCTGGTACAGAGCATCTGGCGGACGACACGTGTGGACCACAAATACAACGTAGTTCCCTTTGAACTATACCCCACCCATGACAGAGGAACTAGATTTCTATCGACTCAACAGCTACTATACCTACTCGTTGGAACAGGGTTTAAAGATGCGAGTCTGTTTCTAGATGTGCAGTCTATTACAAGAAGAATCCGTTGATACACCGTCTTCGTTGTCTACAAGAAAGACACGTATGCACTGGCGTAACTTACACTAGAGTCCCTAAGATTCTGACATTTACTGCTTTGCTCGTAGTGCACCCACTCGACCTTTGGGTGTTTACCATGCTTCTCGAGCTCCATGAGGGCTCCAAGGAGCACACCAATCGGATGTCTGCCACATATTGTATTCCCTGTACGGTCGAGGTAGTCCGAGAACTTTTTGTGAGACTGGGCCGCAGGTGTTTCTACCTCTGGCGTTGGGCGAATAGTCAAGATGTCCGTGGCTTCGTGGTCGAGGTCGGAAATAGAGGCGTAGATCGGCCTCTGTGAGAAATTATACTGCTGTGGGCCAGAGCTCCTGAGGCGCACACCTGCAATTTCACTGGGGAGAGGCTCTGGATAGTAAAACGTGTATCGGAAACGAGTGCCCCTAAACGACAGTCAGCATGGGGTCAGTGCGAGATAAAATCCCCCACCAGTGGCAAAAGTCACTGGAGATGACGAAGAAGTTTTCCGGATCGGCTAGATAAGGAGCCAAAATGCGACCGTAATCTATTTCTTGAGCTCTGTCAATTGCTCCCACCAATATGGGCACCACTGTGATGTTGCTACTGCATAGATCACGTCAGAAAGAGCGGGCGAGAAAGAGAGGCGTTTGCTGACTCTTGAAATACATGATAGATGTATGGTAAATGCATCTCGATGCTGTGTTCGTCTTCGTCCGTATCTAAACTCATTGTCTTGAACTTGCCAGTTTGCAGTAACTCATCGTTAACTAGGTGATGTCTTGAAATGAATTCACAGAAAGTGTAAAATCCCCTCACCCTCTTTATCGATGCTTAATTTACCCAGAGGCGTCTCATAATAATCGCATCCGGAAACATCGCATCGCGTGAGGTATACATGATGAGAGGGGCCAAGAATGAAGACGCGTTTGCTGCGGGAGGATTGTCAAGGCAAGCTTCTGAGCACTGGAACTACTTACATCCCGGTTGTATCGATGGTCTTATACGCCCAAGCGGCTGCACGCCCCGAGTACGAATAGCCGGCATGTCTGGATAAGAAAGTCGTCAATGTGTTGGCGATTCTCTGATTAGCACGATGGAAGCGCACGGCCCGATGATTGCTTTGCATCCTGCGATAGGTGGCTCGAACTCCTGCTCCTCCGTGGGTTTGACGGCTGCAAGCCATCCACTCAATTCCTGACCGAGCCGATAACCTGGAGCATATCTCATTGTACGTGAGAGATCCCGATGATCCATGGAACACACCATTTCCTGTGTACCATGAATCGGCGTGTGTCGCACAGGCTTCGAATAAAGGGGTGAGTGGCAGCAAGGCGTACTTGAAAGGGCCTTACCGATGGCCGCCCATGACAACGGTCGACTGTGGTGAACGGGAGGTGATTTTACGGAGGAACTGGGAGAGAGAGAACCACATCTGGCTTTCAGGGGACATACTAGATTTGGGAGAATTGTACATAGAAGCAAGCCATAGGAGAATGAAATATAGAAAATTGCACGCGAGCATATTTGCATGTCGACTATCTCCTACATATGGGAATGGATACAGGACAGTGAATAACCATCTACTCCTCTGACCGCAGCCGTGCTGCAGGGTTCGTCACCTTGACACCGAGAGCCTTTGCCCTAGGACGAAACTTGTGTCAGAATGCAATGATGCGGATTGACAAACCAGAGTCACCTCTCAAGAATCAGAGCACGGTTTCGACTGCTGACGTTGTGTGCAATCTCTGCGGCATAACTTTTATTGTGCATGAGAAGGATATCAACCTCCTTCACGTTGCTGACAAGGAATTTCTTGAGGCCACTGGGCATTAGGTGGCGGGTCTAAGGAGAGCGACGGATGTACAGCTGAGTGCGACAAGCTTGGAACGGATATCGTACCTTCTTGTTACTGCCATAGCCGATCTTAGGCATGGGGAGTTGACCCTTGAATCTGCGCCTCACTCTGTTGTCGATACCCTTGGGTTTCCGCCATGCCTCCTTCACACCGTGATACCGATCAGACTGGTGACGCCTATGCAAGCAATAAGTGAGTGTGTATCCGAGTTGGCGGGGCAGGTGACGAACTTGAATGCCTTCGTGCGCTTCTTGACAATGGGGATCTTGACGGCCATGGCGGTCTGCAAGGGTCGTCAGTATTCAGCGTGATAATACCTCCACAAAACAAGACATAAGTGGTCCGATCGCGGTACTACATCGCAGCCCAGGTAAGTCCATCCAGCCTGTTTGGACAGTAAAGTTTCCCGTGAACCGGATGGAAGTGCGCGATTGCAGTGTTGACCGACGGTAGCACGAAACACCAGACTGTCATACTCACAGTTTTTTGAGGTTTGGGTGTCGACGGCTTGCTCGTCCACCAGACGTGCGTTCTCTTTTGGCCGGAAGAGGGTTCAGATAAACAAATGTCAACAAAGCGCGTGGCTGTGCTGTGGGTTTGCCAAGCTCCTGCTTCACTCTGCCCGCGACAACCTTACAGTCTTACACGGTGCTGTGATGGGTCACTGCGTTGGGTGTCACCCACAAGACAGTTTGTCTTCCGTTCCCCAAATGCTCGCTTTGAGCGTTACTCTCGGCATTAGGCTCCACCGATCAATAACGGTCCCGTTTGAACTGCTACTTTGTGTTCCTTGCACTCCACAATATTATGTCCATCCCACCACATTCAACAAGTGTGCCTTCCCCGGTGTTTTTCTGGATTACCATTGTCGCACCGCCCGAAGCGCTGGTGGCGATTGGTGCTGTGATTGCTGGTTTGGGCACGATTGAAATGAGTTTCAGAACGTGATATAATGGCAGGGATGAGCGTGAGAATCGATGATGGGGTACTGGTGAAATCAAAAAGCCCACCGCCATCGCATCCTCTCTCGCTGTGGACGTCCTTGGCTTCTGCTTTCCCCCCCCTGCGCGCGTGCCAGTTTATAACTCAAGCCTTCATGCTGGCCGAGTCTACTTTCGACCGGACTTTTGATGATGATGACTGGCTTGCCCCCGCTCCATCCAAATTGCACAGGACAGCAAGCGTCGGCAATAGCTGGGGTGTTACCTACGTAGGGCGTGGTTTCGGTTGGAGTACGAAGGACGACGATCATACGGAAGATATCCCCAGCCTAGATCCCCACGCGCTGCCCGACGAGTCGCTGAAAAGCGAACCTGTTAGTTCATCCAGCTCAGTGCAACGATCACCGGTAGCTTCTCCCGTGCTGATCGTACCCTCGTCCTCTCAACCATCTCGTCCCGCCGACCTCGGACCGCTGATCATACAGCCTTCGCCGTCGGCTCCGCAATTCTTCGCATCGTCCCCAGTGGCAGACTCTCCAGCTTCCTTCCAGGCTCCTTCCTCCCTCAGATCTCACAGTCCCTTGTCTACCTATCATTCGAATGCACCCAATGCACGCCGCCCCTCTCTTTCGCGATCTCCCACTCTCCCGCGCCCCCGACGGCGGTCCTCGCAGCAGCGTGTCTCTCTCATAGCCGGACGGGTCTCCATTGCACCTATCGAACCACATTCTCCTCTTCCAATGCCACAGATACTACATCGCACGGGTAGCTCCACAAACTTGCTCTCGTCTGTGGCTAGTACAAGGGCTCCTTCGCCTGTGCACGATATAGTTCCAAGTAAAAAAACGATATCAGATTTCTTCATTGTCGGAGATTTAGGCCGAGGTGCTTATGGACTTGTCAAACGAGCGCGAGAATGCAACTCAGATGGATCGTTTGGGGTGAGGATGGTCTGGCATTAAATCAAGTTTATCCACCTCATGCACTCGCAGCAACTTGTAGTAATAAAGCAGATCATCAAATCTCGGATTCTCGCTGATTGTTGGAAACGCCATCACAAGTATGGCACCATACCGATAGAGATCTTTGTCATGTCCGTCATATCATCCACATCGTACGAGCTTCCTCCCGTTCGTCCATGGAATCCGGGTCGCCGGCACCACTGCCCACCTAAGACCGGGGAAAACGAATACTGGGAAGAGGGAAGGATTGTCAAAGGACATCCAAACATATGTCCTATACTGGATTTCTTTGAGGATAACCACTATTACTATCTCGTTCTGCCTTCGACCGTACCCGAACGCCTTCCAGAGCAATCGCCACCTCCAACTGACCTGTTTGATTTAGTCGAAGCCTACCCGGAAGGCCTTCCCCCGGGCCACATTCGCAGTTACTTGGGCCAACTCGCTGATGCGCTGTGTTTCCTGCATTCCCACGGCATAGGTGAGCGGCTGTGGACATCTTCATTTCTTCTGTTTTTACCGTCTATGCAGTGCATCGCGATGTCAAGGACGAAAACGTCGTCCTTGGACCAGATGGGACCTGTGTTCTGATTGATTTTGGCAGCTCTGGGTTGGTCAGAAAGAATGGTTGGGATACATTTAGTGGGACGTAAGTTTATTTGATACTCCATTTCGCACGCGTGTTCACGGACTGCTTGTAAAGTCTGGATTATGCCGGCCCCGAAATTCTGCGAGGCGAACGTTACTACGGAAAGGAGCAAGATGTTTGGGCCTTTGGGGTCGTTGCATACGTTCTTCTCGTCGGAGAGTGCCCATTCCACACGGCAGCGCAAGCGCAAGAAGGCTTGGAATCACCTTTCTCGGATGCCTTCATTGCGTTGGACGATCGATGCGGCGATGAAAAGCAGAGAGCAGGTGAAGAAGAGGATGGGGGCGGAGCGCTAGGGGATGCTGCGGTGCTGGTAAGGGCATGCCTGCGGGTGGATGTGCAAGCTCGGCCGACATTCGAAAATATACTTCAATGTCGATTCCTGCGCGGTTATGATGGGTGGGGGATGAAGAGTCCCTATGGGAGTCAACAACCGCTCTCACCAAAGCCAGGTGCGTTTCCTGCATGTGTCAGCTGATTGGAAGCAACGGGTAGGAATGTCCCCTATAAACTGTTACCTGATTGCATGGGATAGAATGTCATTGGTTGTCCGTATTAATTTCAAGCCGCTTTGCACCTGTTTGGTTGATAGTATGTATTTATCACACCACCACCCTGTCGGCCTCGTATCAAGCTTGCATCTACATTACAATCGTCACATCATGTCTTACTGTTACTTGTTGTAGCTAGCATCACAGCCACATCGAAGGAGTCATTCATCGCTTACTAAGCATCTCGGGTGGCGCCGAGCGGAGTTGAAGAGTTATGTCAGTTTATCATCAAAAAATCGATGTCGATAAAATTTTTCGATGCGGAAAGGGTATAATTATCAGCAAACGCCCTCTTGATCTCTCTTTCTTTCATACCACCACATCCTCTCCCTTCTTCACTTTTTCTTTCTTTCTGTACTGTTAAGTGAGTATCGTCGTCGTTGTCGTCTTCTTTTCTACATCAATCTGCATATTCTGTTTCTTGTACCTCTCCATCGTTATCCAAATCATCATCCGCCGCCCTGTCGTCGTATACTGACACACCATTTCTTCATAGAAATACATCAAAATGGGAAAGGAAAAGACCCACGTTAACGTCGTCGGTAAGTGTTCTTTGATCTGCCCATCGGGTTGCGATCTGACTCGATCACAAGTCATCGGCCACGTCGATTCCGGAAAATCAACCACTACTGGCCACTTGATCTACAAGTGCGGTGGTATCGATAAGCGCACCATCGAGAAATTCGAGAAGGAAGCCGCTGAACTCGGCAAAGGCTCCTTCAAATATGGTGGGTCTCTCGGTGACCTGGACCGGCTTCGCATCATAAACTCATCCGATCCTGATAGCATGGGTGCTTGATAAGCTCAAGGCTGAGCGTGAGCGTGGTATCACGATCGATATCGCCCTCTGGAAGTTCGAGACACCAAAATACATGGTTACTGTACGTATCGATTTCTTCCTTACACGATCTTGGTTACCGATCGCGGAATTTTTTGTAGGTCATTGATGCCCCTGGACACCGTGACTTCATCAAAAACATGATCACCGGTACCTCCCAGGCTGACTGTGCCATTCTTATCATTGCTGCTGGTACTGGTGAGTTCGAGGCGGGTATCTCCAAGGATGGTCAGACCCGTGAGCACGCCCTTTTGGCGTTCACGCTCGGTGTCCGCCAGCTCATTGTTGCCGTCAACAAGATGGATACTACCAAGGTACGTTTTGTCCTTCGATTGCCTCTATTCGAGCGTTTACGAGATATCATTAGTGGAGCGAGGACCGTTTCAATGAAATCGTCAAGGAAACTTCGACTTTCATAAAGAAAGTTGGCTACAATCCCAAAGCCGTTGCATTCGTCCCTATTTCGGGCTGGCACGGTGACAACATGTTGGAAGACTCCACCAAGTATGCTTATCTCTTTTTGTCGCAGACCGATTCTCATCCGTTGAATAGCATGCCATGGTACAAAGGTTGGACCAAGGAAACCAAAGGTGGTGTCGTCAAGGGCAAGACCCTTCTTGATGCCATCGACGCCATCGAGCCCCCCGTTCGTCCTTCTGACAAGCCTCTCCGGCTTCCTCTCCAGGATGTCTACAAGATTGGTGGTATCGGCACAGTACCAGTAGGCCGTGTCGAGACTGGTGTCATCAAGGCTGGCATGGTCGTCACGTTTGCACCTTCGAACGTTACCACTGAAGTCAAGTCCGTCGAAATGCACCACGAGCAGCTTGTTGAGGGTGTTCCTGGTGATAACGTCGGTTTCAACGTCAAGTATGTAATTTCGACAGGTTGAGGGAATTACTTGTTGACCTCACCCATAGGAACGTCTCTGTCAAGGATATTCGTCGTGGTAACGTCGCCTCCGACTCCAAGAACGACCCCGCCAAGGAGGCTTCATCTTTCACTGCTCAGGTCATTGTCCTCAACCACCCTGGCCAGATCGGTGCTGGCTACGCTCCTGTGCTTGATTGCCACACCGCCCACATCGCCTGCAAGTTTGCCGAGCTCATCGAGAAGATTGACCGTCGGAGTGGCAAGTCGCTCGAGCAGGCTCCTAAATTTGTCAAGTCCGGTGATGCTTGCATCGTGAAACTTGTTCCATCCAAACCCATGTGTGTGGAGTCCTACAACGAGTACCCACCTCTCGGTCGTTTCGCCGTCCGTGACATGAGACAGACTGTCGCTGTCGGCGTCATCAAATCCGTCGAGAAGACTGACAAGACTGGAAAGAGTATGTCCCTGTATTTCCTCCTATCGCCCCGTTCATGGTTGACCATATTTCCAGTGACCAAGTCTGCGGAGAAGGCCACCAAGAAGAAGTAAACGATTGTAGAAGTAGTGTATCGATCTTCTTTGTTTTTCTCTGTTTCCTTAGTTTTACTTCTCGGTATACATACCTGCATATCTGTAAGCACATCAATGAAGACAGCGGGATGCAGTATTCCCCGCCCACGAAAGCGCTCGAATCAAAACAATCACAACCTCGGAAAGAGGTGGCAAAGAAAGACAGTACGACACGAGCAAGTCAGGGTGAGAAGTTTTAGGACTGTTAAAGGAACATCGTACAAAACACGTTCTACATGACCGCTGAATGTGACTCACATACCGTGTGCGACGATCCCAGCGAAACCACATCTGGTTCCCAATATTACTGTAATTACTCCGCTTACAATCGACGCGGTCTCCTCAGCCGACTCCTAACAAACATGTTCCAACTTCTCCCCCTCGTTGATCCTTGGCCCAAGGTCACGCCCGATGGTCCTCTCGAACACCTCCAGCATGAACGTAAACAGCGATCTGGTAAGCGCAGCGTCCCACCTGCCCTTGGACGATTCATCGCGAATAAAGGCGTGTTGTGCTCGCACCTCCAGGAACTGCAGCACGGCGCCTTGTTAATAGGTCGATACAGTATAGTATAAGCATACCGAACATAGAACATTTGCGTCCTCGAGTGTTTTCCGAATCAAATCCCGCCCAGAGCGTGGGACATGGGTGTCCTAGGGACTTTCACATCAGGAAATGAATGCTGGGGGAAGAAACGTGTTTACCTCCTTGCCGAATATCATCTGCGAATCCATGGGTTGCATCAGCAAATCCATAATCCGGCGCGGATAGTACTCACCACTAGTTCCCCCTTTCCGGTCATGTCACCCTTGCGAACAAGCTCTAGCGAGTTGTCCTTCTTTCCCTTTCCCAGGGTTGCGCAGTGTATATCTGTCGCGAAGAAACATACAGACGATAGAACCTTGGCATCAAACGCAGCCTGTAAAATATTGAGTGTAAAGTTGTAAAAGCTATACCGATGTGAATACCCGGAAAGCCTAGGTGTAATACGATCAACTCGGAGAAGGATAAGGATCAGAGAGTTACAAACCAAATGTCCACCAAGACACATTCCTGTCGCTGGGGAGAGCATGATATACCGATAACAGAGGAAAGGGCGCATCTCTGACCTGCAATGCGACCATTACAGTTTGGGAGCGACGTGAGTAGGTCGATCGTAAGTGTTGCATCCTAAAGACAAATCCTGCGTAAGGGAAGTGCAGGTGGCACCGTCGGCTAACAGTACTTCGTCATAAGCTTCTACGGTTTTTTCAATCTTCACAGAAGTCATCAGAATATTGGCTAGTGTAGCAACAACAATCTGACCTTGTACCTGTTGCCTCGGTCGGTGCCTGAAAAACGGTGATTAGCAGGACGCTGATAGGGGCTTTACAGTACTACCTTCCGTGTCGTACGGGATGGGTTCGGGTCCTTCAAATTCATGGAAACTCGATGGACATGCTGCGCGACTTAAATGCGTTCCTAAAGATGAGTCGTCGTACGACGCACCAACGACATATCCGTGGCTTGCAATCTGTCCAGCGAACCTCTCCACTGGTCCAGTTACTTGATAAATCTCACTACAGCCCAATATTGTCGGTTCCGATAGATCACAGCGACGGTATGAGTGCGTACGTACCTGAAACATACGACACCTGGCCTCGACTCTGTCAGTTCTGATTGGGTCCATCTTGGTGGAGAAATGCACACCTGGGAACTTGGCTTGGGGATAGCCGGGTACCACAGGAGAAATCACGAATATGCGGATCGGCCGCTCGTTGCTGAGTTTGCTGGGCACATCGTGATAAATCTTGGTGATCAACATGATAACTTGCAGAACCTGTCACTGTGTAGTAGATGGCTCGTCCAATCACTTGATCACGTATATATCCGTTGCTTTGTCTTTTTCTTTTGGACCGTGTTCCGTACTTTACCACTAACGGTGTTACTAGGACATCCGACTTGGCCTGTTCAACAACGCAGATGTCGTAGAACTGGCAGTTGACAGCGACAGGCACAAGTTGACAAGGACACGAACGTGCGACTGTGGTAGTACATATGCAGTTGAAGGCTGGGCGTATACACTTTTACACTCGACCATCCCATGGCCGCGCCGAATGCCCAGATACGTCCTTACAAACTCAAAGATGAGAAGGTGGTCAAGTTTGCCATTGGAAAGGCACTGATGGAAGGGTTAGCAGTTGCGAACCGACGAGGTAGGTTCTTCTGATATCCACAATTCCGCCTCTCCTTCACTATTGCGACCAATCAGCTGTTTTCCACCCCTTCACGCTGAGTATATGGGTTGCGCTGTCATGTATTATGGTCGAGTACTTGGGCTGGTGGCCGAATCTCGAGCACGGTTTCTTGCGATTTTTTTCTCCCATGCCTGCTTTTGCGTGCTGGGCGGTCCTAATCCTGGCTTTGATTGACTGGTCTGTCTATCTTTTCAACTCTGATCAATGCTCTGAATTTAGTTGTGCAGGATCAACCGCCCGTACTTCGAGGATGCTGCGTCCGACGCTCTCCATAGGCTAGATGTTGGGAACATCGAAGAATATTACGCCCGTTCACCCTCTTCAGGGTTTTTCGTTTTGGAGTATGACAGCTCTATTATTGGACTCATAGCAATCGATGCATCGGAGGACTCTCAATCGATCCAGGGTTTCGAAGAAAGCAACAAGGTGAAGGAAGAAAAAAGGGGCACCTCGTCGGTGGCTATGATCCGGCATTTCTACGTTGACGAACTCTTCCGGAAGGCTGACGTGCAGGACGATCTGGTCGCGTTCGCAGTCAGGTGTGCTTTCGGCGCGTCAGGAGAAGTGAAGGAGATCAGAGTAGCGACATCGTCTCTGCTTGGTTACGTGCAAAAGTCACTTAGTAAATTCAGGTTTAAAATGGATGGAATGACGAGGATGAATCTGAGTGTGTACGGTTGGACGACGGGGATGATGAACTTGAAGAGAGCCGATTGGGAAAAGGAGAAGTCGGTGTTTACTTAGTCTAGCCTGTCGTTTTGTTACAAGTGACGAAGGCAAAATGTCTCGACTTGCATCCATCATCGCCAATCCAAACGGTCTCGTTATCTTGCAGTCATCGGTGTCCCAGACGTGTTTGCCCATCTTGCGGCAGGTCCTCAAACCAACGAGACTACCACCGCCGCAGACTCTCTTATTCTCCTTCCTTTACCCCCCCTCTTCGTTGATCGGGAGTTTAGCATCAGATGCATCTCTTATTAGCGTCTTCGATTATACCGAACGTATCCCCGGATACGATACGTGGACAGACTCGCAGCAAGATATTCTTAATGCTATCAAGGCAGGTATGGACCACAAGGCTGTAGAACCTATGTTAGAGCTGATGCACCTACCAAAGCACCTCCTGGTTCACTCAGGGTGGTCATCGATTCCGTGGACACGCTTGCATCAGACATCTCGTCCGACTCGCAGACGTTCAAATTCATAAAGACAATCTTCAATTTAATCTCTTCCCGTCCGCGTACGTCGCAATGTCTCCGGCACACCATACCTTTGACCGTTTGTTAAACAGAGCCCTCCGTCCTCGTGCTCCATCTCCTGTCTTGTTCTCTCCTGTCCCTTCTAACGCAGACGGCATTGTCACCCACACTAACGCACGTCATCGCGCACCCCCCAGTGTTGATTGAGCACCTCATAACGGCATACTCTACGCCCCCACCTCCAGCGGGACCAGCAGAGAAGTTCTGGAGTGTCTTCATACCTATCTCTGAGCGTGCTCCTGAGAGCCAGCGACTCGTGTATGGCCCTGATGGAACGGGTGCATGTACGGGAGCTGGGGATGATGCGAAAGAGTTTATTGTCGAGTTGATCATCAGAGGAGTAGGCATCGAAGGTGGGAAGCGTACTACCGAGAGAATGCTGGAAGGATGGAATGGAGAGGCTGCAGAATCCCCCGAGAAGTTAGGGAGCTTAAAGGCCCTCTTGTCTCGGAAAAAGGTTGACGAGGTAAGATTTCGACGACCGACCTCTCGCCTTGCTAGATGTATCATTTACAGAAACCGCTTGACCCCATGCAAAGCGTGTCTTTCAATCTCCATCTTACAGCGTCTCAGGAAGAGTCACGCGGACGAGTACCCCTTCCATATGCCCATCAACTGTCGGCAACATGTTCGACTATTTATTATGAACCGGATTCCGCTGATGACATCGACGATGATGATCCCGACGAAGACCTGGATATTTAGACAGGGTCGTGACACTCTGAAATGCGTATATATATGATCAAGCAGCGATAGCTGCAATTTAAGTTCGCGAAAAGAAATCCCCATTGAGCGTAAGAGTGGTATCGAATTTGAGTGGAGTGTCACCGCGTGCAGAGAGCTAAGGAAGTGAACGCTTGGTATTCTAAGGCGCACTATTTGATCCTCTTAAGCTAGACAGGGCATCAGCGTGTTTCAAAGCGTTTATGTGAGGCCACACACCCTTTCGGTCTGTCTGAAGACGCCACCATCAAGTTCCGTAGTTTTCTTTCCGATAACATCCAGTCGCTGATTCTGAGCATCAAGCTCTTGTCCCATGGTTGTCCCAAGGGCTTTCAGTCTCTTTGCAACGTCGGATATTTCATTCAAGTTGTTATCCAGCTCATCCTCAATTTCATCATCTGATGCTCCCGCTTCAAACTGGTAACGCTTTCGTTGCTCCTTCTGCGCTGCGAGCTGCCCAGCAGCTTGGGTGGAGGCTCTGGAGACGCCAGCACCTGACACCCCCTCTTCGTCTTGCTGACCGTAGGTCATGGCGCGGCCCAGTCTGTTCTGCGTCTCTCGAATGTCCGTCATGGCTTTCTCCCTCTCACGACGTTCGTCTTCATAGCGTTGCATTACCTTGGCATCTTGGGCGGCTCGTTTGGCGTCCTTGTTCCAGGTAATCACTGGACGGAAAATCGACCTGTTGAGTTGTTTGAGCTCATCGATCTGATCTTCAGCCCTGTGTGTATGGCCTTTGGCGACATCGAGATGACGTTCTGTGTTGGCCAATTTCTCTGTGCTGATTTGAGGACTACTGGAAATGCGGCGATCGGCAAGGATACATACCCGATTGGTCGCCAAGCCGGGTTAAGGTACCTGTAGCGGTTTCTTCTGCCTCTCTCGCAAGGCGAAGGGCATTCCTGGTGGAGGTGACGCTCTCTTGTTTAAGAAACCTTGTCTGTTGCTTGATGCCCTCTACGTCGTCGTCATTCTCCTCCCCGTGTGCGGGCTCCCGGGGAAGCTCGGGGCCATCGAAGAAACGACCAGAGCCTGCCCTGTTGGGATTGTACCCTGCAAAGAGTTCACTGCGTGCACGGTCCAGCGTAGGGTCGGATGGGGGAGGGACTTTTGCTGCGGGAGAGTCGTGATTATCGTGAGGATTGGGCCCGTCTCTGCTAGGAACGTAGGTACTGGCGTTAGAGCGGTAACTAGGAAGAGGGGAGACACTGCGAGAAGAGCCACGAGTACCAGAGGCCGCCCCAGCGTCCGCCGGGGGGATGAGATTTTTGTCCTTGCGTCTGAAAAACGACATGCCTGCCCACCGCAGCTCAGTGCACGACTCGACTCTATGTACTCGGGTGGCGGTGCCACACTGAGACCACGTGACACTGCATGAAAACGCGGTCACGAGCGGATTCTGTCCAGTTCGGACTGCAAGATGGCCCCGAGTTACGCAGAAGAGCGTGAGGCTAACATCCATCGTAACAAGCAGTTGCTCATCGGTCTTGGTGTCGAAAAACTCGTGCCGACGCAAGAACCAAGGGAGACCCTACGAGTCAAGGCCAAAAGGACAGCTACTGAAACGGACGAGGAGTACGAGGACGATGAACGTCGACGAAAATTGGTCCGCACAAATGCACTCCCGAAAGCTACCTCAGAGAGCAGGCGTCGCAGTATCCGCCTGTCAAGTCATGCCTTGACGGGAGAGCAGCAAGAAGACACACCTGTCCCTCTCACTGTGAGAAACCTCTCCAGCTTCTCTTCCGGCTCAAACAAGCAAAGGACACATGACCCGTAAGTAACCGTTGAAACCGCACAGCATTCGTTGAATCCGTGTGCAGGAAGGTATATGGTCACATACCTGGCGTCGAAGTTGGCTCGTGGTGGGCTTCACGGTAAGTGATTTGTTAGCTGATTTCTACTTGTAAAACTCACACACTTTTCAGGGAGGAATGTTCAAATGATGCGGTCCATGCGTACGTGGTGTACGATCTGACTTTCTTCCTTGATTTGTTGACAACATACAGCCCCTGGGTAGGTGGCATCGCACCCGGCCAAGACGGTGCATATTCGGTTGCAATATCCGGCGGTTACGAGGACGACATCGATGACGGCTATGCATTGTGAGTCAATTTTGGGCATGGTTCTTCGTTCAGGTTGAGATGCATACCAGCACATACACTGGGGCCGGTGAGACATATTTCGGGCGTTGCCTGAACGCCTCAAACTTAGGGTGTTATAGGTGGCAGAGACCTGAAGGGCACAAAGACAGCTCCAAAAAACGTACGGTCCCCTACTCAAATTGTGTATCGACCTCTGATATCCCTTTCAGCTTCGGACCGCGCCACAAAGCTCTGACCAGACATTTGAACATAATCATAACAGAGCACTGAAGGTGGGGTAGCAGTGGATGAGCCAGACAAGTTGCTGATTTGCCCTAGCGCTCCGTGGAGACCGGGAACCCGGTGAGAGTGATTCGCGGTTACAAGTTGCAATCAAAGTACGGCCCAAGCGAAGGGTAGTTAGAGCACGTTCATCCCACAACTCCCAAATTTTTGACCTCAGCGTTCCAATGCAGATATCGGTATGATGGCTTGTATACCGTGAAAAAGGTAAGAATGCCCGGTGACTAGTTGCTCACGTGCTAACTCAGTGTGAAAGTGCTGGAGAGAGGAGGGCCTGGGAAAAGGTGGCTACCTAGTATGCAAGTTTGCCTTTGTCGTAAGTTTCTTACGGGGGAAGTTGCTGTATGAACTCATGATAAATTTGCACTCAGCGTTTAGAGGGTCAACCACCCATTCCCGTGAACCCTGCTAAGGAAGGATGAGGACTATGAGCTCCTGAACCGAACTCGGCAGTTGGGGATGCCGACGATATAATTGTGGATCAATTCCGTGTCAGAGCAGAGGTTTTATGGACCGCTAACTCTTCGTACACACATGATACAGAATTTCTGTGTAATCTACGGCTATGTAGAAAATGGTCTGATTGTCACACGCACACGTATTTGACCCCCCAAAAATGACCCCTCCAAATTCTCTTCTCACAAGCACTTCATTCTCCCCGCCGCAGGTATTTCCAAAGCACAACCCAGGACCCCACACCAGTAGGTTGGCAAGAAGTTCTATTACTTCCTTGTGTAACGGCGAGGGCAGGCAAGGCCGACGATGAGACTTTCTTACTTATTCCCCTACTTGGCTTTGCCAGTGTTCGTACTTGCACAAGTTGAGTGCTTTACCTCTCTTCTTCGCTTTATGCGAACATCGTATCTCCGTCTAGTCTGCTCAGGTGACGACTTCCTGGGTCGTGCAGCAAACTGTGGGTTCAAACCAGCAAACTAGCACCATTTCGACACCCACGGTCATCACCATCGGTCCAACAACCAGCCTGACGAGTTCAGGTTCGGCGTCACCCACTGGTAACAGTACAACTGCAAGCGGATCGGGTTCGGGCAACGCGACCAGCACTACTGTGGCCAGTAGCAATCTCCCGACGGCCCCTACCTCTGTTGCTGGTGCTAATGGAGGCGGTTCTGGTGGAGGGGCCCCTAGTCCTGGAGCGTCGGCAGCAGGTGGAATATATGGACCCCCCGACGGTTATATTGCCGGTGCAGAAGCCCTCAGGAGCGCCACTGTTTTGGGGGGCATTGGATTTGCAGTGGGTGTGGCATTGACGTTCGCATAGACTTGTGGTTTGGCTCTTCTGGATGGTGTTGATGTTGGACATGACCCAGGAATTCGTGCTTTCTCCTTTTCACCATCTTGTCAATGGACTCATCCGGCGCTGACGGACTGTCTCGCACATACGTTTACCATATATCCTGCATCTGCACGGCTTAGTTCGTCGACACGCTACACTTATTTTTCAGACAATTATCCAAGGACTTCGTGCAGCCAATGAATATTTAATACTTGTTAATTGAGCCTGTGCTTATGTAACGTGTATGATATCAAATGGTCATTCGTCACCTTCCAACTTCCAACACCACCGAACAGATATGGAGGCAAAGGTTCGTTATCTGAGGAGGAAGCGATAGCTGGGTTCGTGATCTTGATTTGTAGACAATAGGAACCCACAATGGCACCTTTCACTGTGATGAGGCCCTAGCCGTCTTTCTCTTGCGACACACCCCCACTTATCGGGAAGCAAGTACGCATTTCCAACTGATGCAGCGCTTTTAAGCTCATAGCCATTTCAGGTTTGAAAAGAACCAGAGATCCGTCCATCTTGGATACGTGTGACATCGTCGTCGATGTAGGAGCCGTGTATGATGTTGAAAAGAGGCGTTTTGATCACCACCAACGTGGTTTCGAAGAAGTGTTTGGGTATGGCTTCGGGATTAAACTATCGTCGGCTGGCCTTATCTACAAGTACGCTGTTTTTTTTTGTCAATGAATGTTCATCACGTTCGCAGGCACTTTGGGAAAGAAGTCATCGCCCGTGAATTAGAGTTGGACATCGAGGATCCAAATGTCACAGTTCTCTGGTTGAAACTGTACAAGGTATACCTGGTACCACATATATACCCTCCTCGTTCATCAATTCCCTAGGAATTTATAGAGGCCATCGATGGCATTGATAATGGAGTATCTCAGTACCCCTCAGAACAAAAGCCGCGATATCGTAATCGGACCGACTTGTCAAGTAGGATCGCTTGGCTCAACCCACCTTGGAATTATCCGACGGATGCAGGGGCCATCGATGTGCGTGATACACCCTTGGGACGAGCGCTATTCCCTAAATTACTTGCCAGTCCCTGTTTAGCAAGGCCTCACAGCTTGCCGGGGAAGAATTTCTTGGCAGACTGAGGTACTATGCGAATGCGTGGTTGCCTGCCCGAGGTTTTGTTGGAGCCGGCCTTACTGCTCGGCGTGGGGTCGATCCCAGCGGGAGAATCATACTATTCGAACAGTTCATTCCCTGGAAGGTACTGTTGCCACCGCCGCCGAGACTATTCTTAAGCAAACCGATTTCTTCAGGAACACCTTTTTGAGCTCGAAGAAGAGCAGAATATTGCAAGCGACGCTCTCCCATTGTACGTCATATACCCTGACGAGTTCAGCGGTAATTGGCGCGTTCAAGCCGTGCCTGTCGCGCCGGAGAGCTTCGAGAGCCGGAAGGCACTACCCGAGAAATGGAGAGGGCTTCGGGATGATGAATTGTCTCGGGCTTGCGGCGTGGAAGGGTGCATTTTTGTACACGCATCAGGATTTATAGGAGGTGAGGTAAAAGACACAGACCCACTCCTTCGTCTCATAACACGTTCCCTAGGCAACAAAACAAAGGAAGGAGCGTTGGGGTTAGCTAGACTTGCTGTTGTGATGTAATCTTAAGAAATCAACAAGCACCTCTTTTGATCTCATCAGGTATTGTCGTGCTTTTTGCATAGCCTCTCACAGCCTTTTGGTGCCATCCGTACTGCGGTGAGTCGAAGTATTGAATCTGCGCGTAATTCAAGTGTTACGCACGCCTGGAACACGTGTTCGGACCTCTCAGCGGCCACATGACCCGCTCGAGGCACTCTTGAATGTACACCATGAATGTGGAGTGCGTCGGATAGAGAGCCTCACGCTGTTCGCATGTTTCGCATTGCGTGTTGAACGTTGAACCACGGATAACCCTCACCCGAACCTCTACAAACTTCGATATCCAAGAACATTACTTCTCTCTCCCCACATTGGTCCTTCAACTGTCAAACCTTTTGACGATGCCCTACATCAAGGCACATTACCATCCAATCCTTTTCGCTCTCATTACAGTTTGTGCTATGGCTGAGCTGGGCCTCGCAGCATTCCTCATCAGCGCCGGGAACGAGAACAATAACTGGCCGAGTGATCGTTACCACTCAGTGTAAGTGCTTCGGAATGTAGGTTGCTCCAAAGTTGGCTGATTCTCCCAGCTTGATTCTTTTCGAGTTCAATGCCGTCTGGACGACCTTGTTTGGAATAGCATATCTTTTGTGGATAATTGACGGTGCTATACATTTCCTGGCAAGCATAGCGAGCTCCATCATCTGGCTTCTTGTTACCACGATTCTATGGGTGGGTAAAACAAGACACGAGAACGAGTCCTATCTTGACTTTTTTTTAGGGAGCTGCCGCTGGCGTGATGCACGGAGCAAGATCGGGAGGCAACTGTAATTGGATATCCGCTGTCTCTGGGTTCGTGGAGGGAAACTCGCCATGTTATCTACCGCAGGACCTGAGCAGCGTCTCCAGGTGCAGGGAAACTCTGAGCGTGGAGGCCATAGGGTGGATCGAGTTTGCGCTGTGCGTCCTCACCCTCCTGGCAACGTGCATGTGGGTGAGAACAAGTAAGCGGAGCTATGTGAGTGAATATAGCAAGTTGGCATGATTTTGGATGTAATGTTCTCCCCTTTGACATTGACGCTGTGACTGGAATCAAACAGCAATCTAGCTTTTACGTATAACGACTAGCGGGACCAATGGACCTGTAGAACAAAACATTTATTTCCTTCATGCGACCCGTACCTAGCCCGAGTATGTACTCTGTCAATTCGTGTGTGTATGAGGCCTAAGTAAAATTCGTGTGCGCAGAGCATACCGCTTCGAAGGTGGACGAAAGATGGCGTGAGACGTGGGACGTCGACATGACCCCTATTGCTATTAGCCCTTCATGTCCCGGTTACCCTTTTTTTACCTCCAAATTGACGTGATAGACTCTTCTGGGCAACTTGCTAGCCTCGAGTATCTATGCAACCACGTCACCTTGTTGGTAGATCTTTCGCACGGGCTGTTCCAAATACACTCAAAAGAGATCAGGTCCCGTAAAGATGGCACTTGGAGCGTTAAGAGCCTGGCATTGGTGAGACAAAAGATAGTATACTACTGTGTACAAAGGAAAGAAGTGCGCGTAAGCCAGTGGCCCCTTTTCTCTCCAACTTCGGTGTGGTCGGAGGACACCGTGCAGGCAGCGTCATCGGGATCATCCGTCCACAAACTCCCATCATATAGTCCGTCGAGGTCTTCCACTGATGATGACGAGAATAACTCTGCATCTTGCACATCATCAGAGCCAGGTAAGGTCTGACGCCATCGTTCGACCATGCGTTTGGTTGCGATGAGATCTCGAGGCCGTACATACGGTATCGGGGCCCAATCGGAAACCTCACCAGAGGCACCTCTCTCAGAATCCAGGGCAGGTACTACCTCCGCGGCGTGTGCGGACGATGCTGGCTCTAAAACGTACTGAGCGTGATGAAACCAAAGACGGGGGCGCGGTACCTTCACTTTTCCCGGTCCAGCTGGACAAAGAATCGACGATGGTAGCTATGTCATCGATATTGTCGTGTGGTGGAATGGGTATTTCACCTATTACATAATCTACCGGTTCTGGGATCTGGTCAAAGATTCCAAGCCTGTCTGAGAACCTACCAAATTAGGCGGAGGCTTGCTTACGCACATAGGGGGGAACGTATCCATCTTCGACAGCGAGGGCAGAAGCAAGCCAATATATCGCAGCATGAATTACTGTAGGATCTCGTGATTGGGCACCCATCGGTGGGGACACGAAGGCGTTCGTAAAACCTACAACAGTTCTCCCAAAACGAGCAAACGGAATGATAGGTTTCACATTACCTCTAGAGAATGCACCAAAAACCCACTGCTGATAGGAAGTCACTATGAAGTATGTAGAGTGTCGCCGAACACAAGTATCCCAGAGCTACTGCCTGGTGAGCCATAGAACTTTGCGTGTTACTAAACATACCCTGGCCCAAAGACGTTCCTTCGCGCGTAGGGGTGGTGCATTGTTTGTCGGAAGCTGATGGTACATCAGTATGTTTACAAACAATAGATTCCAGTACTCACAGACTTCAACTCGGTGAACTGCCACATGTCCTCGTCGGAAAGCACCCATGGCGGTTGACATACCACAACCACAGAATTATATCTAATATCTGGTGACGGTGGATTACGTGTGTCTGTGAAGTAAAATTCTTTGCATATGTCTGTGTTATCGGTTCCGGTATTATCTGATACGAAATTCCAATCCCGGATCTGAGGAAAAATGATATGGAGGACACGTTGTATTGTCCGCAGAGGGAAGTGGTCAATCCAAGACCACAGGCTGTGACTGGATTAGTAAGCTTTCTGGGGAGGTGGCATGTCATGCTTACCGGGTGGAATCTGTGATAGGGGCTGGTATGGTTGTGCTGACCTTGAATTTCCTCGCCGATGGAACGGTTATGATTTCTCCACTCTCCTGGTCTTCGTTCCGGAAGCCAGCTGATTTTGCAGGTACACGTGCCGAAATCCCTAGGAAACACACAAATTAAGTATTAGCTGGTCTGCACAAAATTGTTCTTACATTCAGTAACCATTTCATCGAACGACGGTCCCAAGTAGTGGATGGCGGACAAATGCCTGTATTTCCTGAATCGCGTAGAGAGGGTATTGCGATGGCTCTTATGTCCTGGAGGCGGTAGATCTGGAGTATCCGGGCCGTACTTGAGCTCGGGGAGGACAGCATCTCTGAGGTACCCTCGAAGATCGTCTGTCCGTTGCCATATCATGGTATGAAGTATATGTAGGATTTCGAGTTCGCCATCCCTATAAATCCTCAACCTTGACGACCAGAAGTACAAGACTTGCTAGTATAAACCACAGTAAGACCACAATAGCCTAATTTGGTTATCGGCGGGATCCGGTCTCTCGGTAACTGCCGTTGCAGTCAAGTCCGCTACACACTCCAAGGACGGCCTCGTCATCGTCCCTGCGGTTATCGCATCAAGCCCAATCCAAAAGGTATGTTTTCGCCGCTTGATACGCCCGGGACGCCGCTCGTGGTGGTTGAACGCTGAAGTGCTGTTCAATCCATGTGTGTGGGAGGGTGGATGCTGCATCAACCTCCCAGATGTTTGGTTGCCAGAGTTGACTGACTTACTCTTATCATCCCAGCTTGGAATATGGGTGCTTACAAGTATGTCAGCGAGTTGTACAAGAAGAAGCAGTCCGACGTGTTACGATTCCTGCTCCGTGTCAGGTATGCGGTGGTCGATATCCAAGGGTGCATCTCTCAGTCCTATGTAGGTGCTGGGAGTACCGTCAACTGAACGTCATCCACCGCGCGTCCCGTCCATCCCGTCCAGACAAGGCTCGCCGTCTAGGATACAAGGCGAAGCAGGGTTATGTTATATACCGCATCCGTGTGAGGCGGGGTAACCGCAAGAAGCCTGTGCCGAAGGGCAAGTCCTGCCGTTTGTGCGCACTTGGACTGTTACTGAGCTTGAGATTTAGGTGCCACTTATGGCAAACCTGTGCGTCAGGGTGTCAACCACCTTAAGTTCCAGCGTAGCTTGAGGAGTGTCGCGGAGGAGCGTGTCGGCAGGCGCTGTAGCAATTTACGAGTCCTGAATTCCTACTGGGTGAATCAAGACGGTGTTTACAAGTACTACGAAGTCATCCTTGTTGATCCCAACCACAAGGCTGTGAGTTCCCGGTCTCGTTTTGGTCAGCTCTCCTGGTTAAGATGTCATAGATTCGTCGGGATCCCCGTATCAACTGGATCACAAAACCTGTCCACAAGCGTCGCGAGGCCCGCGGCCTCACCAGCGTTGGGAAACAGGTTCGCAGATCCCGCTCACTCCTCCGGGGTATTTCCACTTACACTGTTCCAGAACCGGGGATTGGGCAAAGGTCATCGTCACAACCACGCGCCTGCACGGTCCACCTGGAAAAAGCACAACACGCTCAGCTTGCGCCGCTACCGGTGATTTTGCATGGGCGACCAGCCTCTTTGTTGTATGCACTATACGTATCCATGTTTGCTACGGTCATGCGTTTCCTCGAGTTGCAAAAGACAGCATTCATCTATTCTATTTTTTTTGTCTGAAATCACCGATCGCCATTGGGCGTAGGACTTGGGCTGTGCTGTGTTGCAGAGTTAACCTCGTGCGGTCTGCATGTCTGTTTACGTACGCGTGTGGGAGCCGACCGCAGCCTTCTAAAATTTACGTTGTGGAGAGCTCTCGCCAAGTGATATAAGTTAATCTCGGAGGGGAACAGCCCCGTGTTGGATTTCTACTCTTATACCCCCATCGATACCCAGCCTGAGCTTAACTACCCTCGCAATTTCGACACCTTCCAACGGGACACGGTTTCAAACGATGTTCCGGAAGCGCAGCCCCTGGAGTATATGGGCACTATGTGCCTTTGCGATGACGTCTGGGTCCATCGCCCAAAACACGAGTGTGATATGGGTGATTGAAGATACGTATGAAGGACAAACTTTCTTCGAGTCTGTCATTGTTTCGCATGTTTGCCATAACGTTGGTGTGCTGACACGGTGCCCAAGTACTTTTGATTTCTATACCGGAACGGACCCAACAAAGTTCGTAGGCACCTTCATTTGCCGCCCACTCCACTCTGACTCTTGTGTTTTCCCTTGCGAAGTGGTATGGTAACGTGAGTCCAATGGCTCTGTTCTTCCGGTCAGTCTTTCCAATCGATGGACGAATATGCAGGTTCGTCGACCAGCAGACTGCATTCTCCAGTGGCTTGGCGTACGTCACATCGGACAACAAAGTCATCATGCAAGGTGACAACACAACCTGGTTGCCGTTGGGTACCAATCGAAGCAGGTAATGCTCGCATGAAACCAAGGTAGATTGCACTCGTTGACGTCAGCAGCGTTCGTATATCGAGCCAGGCTATGTACAATACTGGCCTGTTCGTTTTAGACCTCGATATGGCACCATGGGGTTGTGGTTAGTATTCTTTATGTGTGTGGTTTCCTGAGCTGATCTCTCGATGCCTAAGGTGTTTGGCCCGCTTTCTGGTAAGTGAATTCATTTAACTGAACATTCTACGCTTGAAATTCTGACGTATGTATGCACAGGACGCTAGGTAGTGGAACATGGCCTTACGTGAGTGCTGTCGCCTTTCCCTCAAGTTGCTATAATTCTTTCCCAAGAATGGCGAAATAGATATCATTGAAGGTGTACACGACAACGAGCATAACCAAGTAACCTGGCATACTGCTCCAGGTACGTCCATCTCACAGTTACCGAATGCACTCAAACACAGGCAAAAAAAGATTGCAACTTGACAGCTACGACCAACTTCACTGGTACTATTGTTGTGAGTATCATCCATGGATAACGCCAGGGCTCCCCTCATGCTCCATCCCAGCAAACCAATGGAGTCGATAACCTGCAATGTAACGCGTTTATAAACAATAATGCTGGCTGTGGCGTTACTGAATGGAGCCGAGCGTCTTATGGCCCATACTTTGACTCCCAAGGTGGAGGCGTTTTTGCAATGAAATGGGACGATAATGGGATCGCCGTCTGTTTGTACCTGAATCATGTTTGGGAGAAGCAAAAAAACTCAACCTTTTCAGGGTCCTTCTATCGTGCTGCTGTACCTGAGGACATAGTCGATGGTTTACCGGACCCATCCACCTGGGGCGAGCCCGTCGCAGAATTAGCTCCGAATTCATGTAATATCGCTCAGTTCTTCGCCAATCATTCCATAATTTTTGGTGAGTGACCTCCGTGGTGTGGTCGCGGATCTCCGTCAACTTTCCCGACAGATATTACATTCTGTGGTAAGACAGCCATCTGATTCGCAGGAACCTGCCGATATCAACTTTTTTTCTAGGTGATTGGGCTGGAAACTCCTATGCAACATCTGGATGCCCCGGAACATGCGAAGAAACACTGATGGATCCCGCGAACTTTGTGGTGGGTACACCAGGTTGCTGTATTGGAGTTATATAATTCCTTTCATTCGTAGAACGCTTCCTGGATCATCAATTCTCTGAAAGTCTATAAATCAGCAACACTATCTTCTGGATCTTCCAGTGCTGCCACGGCATACTATTCCCAATCAGCTGTGTGGATCGCCGCAGTCGCGATGACACTTGGCTGGCTCTCACTAATATAAGATGCTGGCATCTCATAGTTTTCCAATAACGACTTGCGTGGACCTTTGCAAATATATATTACTATGTTGTGGATCTTCATCCTTTTAACTACTATCATGCCACCCCTTTGCGAATGGACCCTAATCTGCAACATTGAAAGTTTGCCTCAGTACACTCTGCAATTGAGTGTAGAATATGAAAAAAGTTCAAGTGTGGAGCCTAAAAAGTGGCAAGCAAAGTCAGGTACTCAAATTAGGCTTGAGGTATTCAGTACATGTCTCAAGATCAAGAGCACTTGAAGACATGGATCCACTTTGGTTCAAACAGTACACATCAAAGGTCTCACATGGAGAGTTCTTCAACAGGAAAATGGTCCATGATGCATACAGAATATAGTTATCAGTACAGTGGTGTGAATTTCAATGACTGACAGCTGAAGTTGTCAGACTTTGACAATACTATCACTTACCCAGAGTTGCAAAAATGACAAGAGGTGCAAAATCATGATTCTACTACAACACAGTCAATTTTTTGCCCATCCAACAGTCAGAGAAGGATTCCCATATGTTTTATGACCAGCCCCTATTTTTTGGTAGAAAAAACAGTGCTGTAAGGAGCAAGATTCACTCAATACACATCAATTTTGTTATGCCCACATCAGGGGTCTTTCCTTTTTCAACTTCTCATGGTCACATGTGTCACATGCCTCATCATGCCCCTAATAACCATCATTGTTATGGGCATGTCCATGCTCAACCAATGGGTTGGATCTCCAGCAGTTGTGGTATTTCCAATGCCCTCTGATGCTGCACACCTGTAGGTGATCCAGTGTTCCACCCCCATCTCTGATGAATGGTCAATTTCATGTTTCACCTCTGACTCATATTTATTGCTCTGATTGTTTACTTCTTGCTCTGGTGTCAGGCTCCTCACTGTGCATTGATTGTGCAGCCAGTATAGCCATTGTTCCCTATGCTACCCCCATCATATGACACTGTATGACTCCTTTCTATTTCATTGTTTACTGCTGCAGATACTTACCATCACCTTGGCATGACTTGTATGGTACTCTTGTCCTGAGGTATATATACAGCCATACTGTACTCTGTATCCTCAGTTTTTTGATAGCTTGCAACTCAGCTTCATCCCTTTGCTTTTGTCCTTGTTCTCTCCCTGTTGTGATCTCAGAAGAACTCACCAGTGGAGCAAACCTCTGTTGGACTTTTGTGATAACTGAGCCATAGGGGTTATGATAAGTTTGGCCTGTAGTCTCCCCCTTGCACCACTCATGACTAGTCCATTTGATGAAGTCACTTGGCTTGGGCATAACAAAATCAAAAAACTTGTGCAGCTTTTTCGGGACTTGTTACCCTCTTCATGAAGGACAACTTGTCCCTTGGCTTACTGAACTTCAACGAAACCTCTTAATCTTCAAAATTGCTTTTGAGCAACATCCTTCTACCCTCAATCAATTTCACCACTCTACAGGCAGCCATTAGGCTTTAATAGATTGCCTCCCTAGAGTCTGGGCTCATGTCTCCCTACATGTAAAGTCACTCACCCACCACCCTCAGTTGCTGACAGGTTTTCTTCAGAATATAATTCCTCCCTCAGCCTTTGTTGTCACTATCCATAAAAGTGTCTAACCCACAGAAATCAAGGCCACTGGTCCCTCCTTGCTCTAATCCTCTTGGGCTTGGACAAAACCTGCCCCTGCCTCCTATCCTGCTTGGAAGACTAGGACCTTTGGTTACTGCAACAAATCCCCAGTTATCTTATCTATCCTGTTTTAGGGAGTCAGAAATTGCACTTAGTTCAGAAGAAGATGATCAGAAGTCAGAATCTTCACTCAGATCAGTCCTCAGAGAAGAACAGAAAGCCAATAAAGAAAGTATGTCCATGACTGTCAGTCATGGAGAATCTGTCCTGGAGATGCCCCCAAGAACCATATTGGAGGATGAGATGGGACAGAAGTTGGAGGAACAAAGAGTGCTGATGGCAGAGGAGCTCTGCCAGGCAATGCATGCAACTACAAGTGACCTGTTTCCTCAAGGTATGCCTACTAACTCAGCTTTGCAAGACTGGTATTGCCAGAACTTCAGGAAGGCTGTTCCCCCAGAGATCCCCACTAGTGGGGGCAGTAAGGGAAAGAGCCAGAACAACAAAGATGATGCAAAGTACTTGAGCCACCCACCCAATGGAGGTCAGGAGTTTAATGTTGGGTGACCTGGTGAATATGATGGAAGCCACAACAGGCTTCAGACCTGGATCATGCAGGTTGAAGGTTACCTGAACCTTAATTGACATGTTTATAACACCAAGTCACTCAAAATCTTGTTCACACTGATGTATATGACAAAAGGAGTGGCAGTTTCATTCACTGAGAACTATCAAAATGAAAACAAACTACTCGATGGAAGCATCTACTACACAGACACTTTCCAGCATTTCATGGAAAGGCTAAAGGCTATCTTTGAGTCCAGTGATCAAACCATGCTTGCAATTCTGTGTCTTTTGGATATCACACAGGGGAAATGAGAACTTGAGTTGTACATTGTGGAGTTTATGGGGTTGGTTAACAAGGCCCAACTCAAAGAAGAATTGTGTGAAGCAGGGATCTTCGGAAAAGGATTAAACAAAGAATATCATGACTGGGTCCTAAACTCCAGACAAGCACTGACTATGGTGGTTGAGTGGATTCAGTGTGCTGGGGAAGCCTGCACAGTGACCACCATGAAGCATATCCTGGAAGGGAAGGAATCTCGGTATGAATGCAAATACATTCATTACCATGGAGGTTCCTGAGATCCTGATGTGATGGACATTGACAAACATAAAAGGAATGTGCACTGATCTGGTTCAGAAATTAAATGCTTCAAATGTGGAGAAGCCAGTCACATTCAGCATGGCTGTAAGAAGAAACAACTTTCTAATGTTCACATAGTGGTTGCAGAAGATGGTACCAAGACCACCTACATTGGCAACTGGGAAGCTAATGGCAAAGAAAAGAAGTTGTTGGGTTTTTAAAGGGGACCTCTGGAATACCTGCTACAGTAGGTCCCATGTCCATATTGTCCACTAATTGTACCTCTATAGATGACAAGTCAAACATGCAAATTTGTTCTCCACTCAGATTGGTCATCTTTCCAGACTACAAAGCAGGAATCTGGGCATGCATTGACTCAGGCACTGAAGTTTCTTTGATCTCAGAGAAGATGGTGCAGAAACTCAAGATCCTGACCTACTGGGTCGAGCAGAAGTTTGAAACCACCTCTTTTACCAGAAAAGATGAAGAATGGGTTACCCACAAAGTAACTCTGAAGATGGAAATTAAGGAGCATATCATACAAGTCAAATGCTATGTTGGTCCCCTCATAGGGAAAGAACATGTTCTCCTTGGAATGCCCTTTCTCAAGGAATTCAAACCATGTATGAACTAGGAAGCTGGGAAAATTATGTGTTGGGATGATGGGTATGTCTATCCAGAAAAGGAGAAGGCTAATGTTTCACAGGTAACATCTTTGGACATGGACAGTAAGAAGGAATCTCTCAGTCTGTCCCTGAGAGTGGTAAAATAAAATCTGGTGAAACCCCAGACATAAAGATTAATAAAACTACCCTGTCCACAGAATTAGAAGTGGCTTTAGCTTCTAAAAAGGAAGAGGTTACTCTTCCAGAATGGTACAAGGAATTTGCTAAAGTATTTGCAGAAGATGTCATCCCACTGCCAAAAAATTGCCCTGGATTAGATCATGAAATCTGGTTGAAAGAAGATTTCAAGCTGAAGAAAGCAGCAGTATATCCTATGTCTCCTGATGAATTAATGGTTTTAGATGAATTCCTTGATGAAAATCTCAAGTGTAAAAAGGTTTGACTGTCAACCTCACCTCAAGCAGCCCCTGTGTTCTTCATGGCAAAGAAGGATGGAAAGAAGCAGTTGATTCAAGATTACCACTACTTGAATTCATTTACAATTCAAGACACCCATCTGCTGCCCAATGCTCAGGCTCTGTTTGACAAGCTTGTCAAGTTGAAATACTACACAAAGTTTGATATTTGATGGGGGTTTACTAACCTTCATGTAAAAGGAGATGAGTGGAAAGGAGCTTTCATCACCCCAAGGGGGTTGTTCAAGCCAATGGTAATGTTCTTTGGCCAGTGCAACTCACCTCCCTCTTTTCAAAGGTATATGGATTGCACCTTCAAGTCTCAATGAGGAAAACAGGTGGGGTATATGGATGATGTAGTGGTCCACACCAAAACCCTGGAGGAACTTCACCAATGGGTGTGGGAGTTCCTAAAGATCTGTGAAAAGGAAGAGCTGCCCCTCAAAATTAGCAAGTGCTGTTTTGAGGCTGAAGAAGTTGAGTTCCTCAGAATGATCATTGGGAAAGGACATATGGAAACTTTGCCAATGAAGACCAATGCCATCTCTATGTGGGAAGCCCCCAAAAATCTTACTGGGCTTCACTGCTTCCTCAGGTTCTGCAACTTCTACCACAAGTCTATCCCTTCCTTTTCAAGCATTGCTAGACCTCTTCATGACCTAACCAAGAAGGGGGTGTCATACCAGTGGACTCCAGAGCAGAATGCCACCTTTGAATGGCTAAAATCTTTATTATGCTTGTCTCCAGTCCTCACTATCCCAGACTTTTCAAAGCCCTTTGCTCTCTTCACAGATGCTTTGAAACTTGGGACCAGAGTGGTCCTGGCTCAGAAGGGTACCAACAACAAATGGCACCCCTGCTCCTATCTATTGCAGTCCTTGGTTGGGGCTGAACAGTGCTACCAGGTCTATGATCTTGAGATGCTTGCCATTATTCATGTGCTGAAGGCCTTCCACCCATATCTTCTTTCCCCTATTGAACCTATGGTGGTCTTTACTGACCATAAAAATCTGGAGTACTACCAGGAGCCACAGCAGTTAACCCCATGGCAGGCCTGGTGGGCTGCAACCATCCAGTCCTATCCTATCTGTTTCTCATGGCAGGCCAGCCATCTTCAGGTCCCAGCCAACACACTCTCTCACAAAGGCACCCTAGAGGAGCCCACTCTTGTGGCCATGGTTCTCCTGGAGAACCTTTGGCTTTTGACAGGGGTGGATTCCTGCATTTGCCTTGTTTTGCCAACTTTTTCACTTACAAAAATACAA